ACCCTCATGCCAAATGCAAGCTATGGGTTTTAAGCCACATTTCTTTCCAACTGGTACAAAGGACTCATTGAAAACAATAATTCGCGGGGTAAATAGAGCAATTTTATATTGATCTAACCTTGGAAGCATAATAACCTTTTGCAAATCTGCGGAATAGCAGACCTCCAAATTGTTATTATGATCCATTTTGGCATCGTTCCTATACATATTTCTGGATTCCTCCGCTTTTTTTATGTGTTTGGTATAGGTCTTACAGATGTCACAATCAGGATCAATATTTTCTTTTGAGTGGCAATGGTTTTCAAATATTGCACAACATTCACACTCCTCATGTCCCAGTTTAGTGAACGAAATATTTTTAGCCTTTACGGCTACTCTATACAACTCGTAGGAACAATAAAAGGTAGGGTGTTTAGTTAAAAAGTCTTTATACATTAACGTAATCGACACATCACTTGGTAGATACCTTTTATTTGGAGCATGCTCCCTTCGATAATGGGACACTGATGGGTGAAAGCTCTCAATATGTGCTTCTATAACATCCTTATTAAATTTTCTTGTTTTAGGATATTTTCCTAAAACAAAAATAAATAATTTAGTAAATGCATATGATTATTTTCCTTGTAAATACCTCTCATGTCAGAAGAAACAGATATGTGATTGTCACTTTTGCTGATAGCTTGTAAAATAAATCTATCATTTTTTTCGTGGTAGCCTAAAGTGGTTAAAAAAAACGTTTTACAAATTTTGATTCTTCTCCCAGTTTCATCCTGAAAATAATATGTAATGCTGCGGCACCTTTTGGAGTTTTCAGTATTATTTAGCTCAGTTTGCTCTGTATTGCTTAGGATAAATTTTTTTCTGTCTGTAAAATTCAGTGATTGATAGTTTTTATTTAGTTCAATCCTCCTATTTTCTGGAATATGAAGGTTGCATTTTTTTGGACAATTTTTACATGGGGGTTTTAAATTAAACTTTTCTTTTGCTTTTTCTTTTTTTTGTTTTAAACGTTCTTTTAAAGAAATGTTGTATTTTTTTCTCTTACGTATTTCACCCTTCTTAGTAAGAGTAGGATTTTCGTTAGTACCTGGTGGGTCTCTTTCTAATTGAGGATTTTCAGTTCTTGGGGGAATAATCTGAATATCGTGAATAACAATTTTTGAAGAATTTTCAGGAGATATTTGCGGGGGCTCATTTTCTAAATTATTTAAAACACTTTCGTCAAAAATACTGCTTCTAAATGAAAACTCTAATAAACCCTCATCGGCCTTTAGGTCATCAGTCAAAATAAAATCATTGATGGCGCTAATATCTATTTCTTTATCACTAGGTATTATTGGATGCTCATGAGAAACATTTTCTGCAAAAAGTACACAACTTAATACTATTACCCTTATTTAATTATTAAAAAAAGTTGTAAAACTTACCATCTACGGGTCCTAATGGTGTGTGATTCCTATCCTTTAATTTCAAATCAGTTTCAATAAAATCAGATGTTTGATCTAAAAATAGTTAATAAAACGCATTTTCTTAAGTTACAAAAAACTGAACCGCCATAAATTTAGTTAGATAAAGACACACCTTTATTATTAGTGGTTAAAGGTGGAATAGTATCGTCAGCAACTTGATGGAAAATTTCATCTTTATCATATCGATTATTATCAACAACTTTGTCATTAATTTTTTCTTCACAAGTTACACTACTAGAGTTATCATTAAGGAATAATGCCACATTTTCCTTATTGGCCAAATTTATTTCGGGGTAGTTGTAGGATAGTTCGGCTTTTTGAAAGTCTAATTTCGCTTGTTTTCCTGTAAAAATATCATTAAAATACGAGTTACTAACTACCAAAACCTTGACTAACCACCACCAGTTACACCACCAACACCACTTTTTTTACCAGATTCACTACGGATATTCTCCATAGATTCACCTGTTTTTCGTTTACATGCAATGGACATTAATAATTTAGTTCTTGAACTTATCTAAAAATACAGTTAAAACATTTATTCAGTATTTAAACAATATTAAAAAAACCAGCTCAGCGCCTGGGACTTTTGGGAGATACAGAGAGTAAAGTAAAAAGAAAAAATTAAAAATCAAAAACTAGACCGAAATTTTTGGGCTATGTTAATGATGATAGCTTCAAATAAGGCGAAACATTTTTATAAATTTTCTTATTAATACTTGCTCCTAAATACACAGGGTGTTAATTAAGTATGTACCATGAAAGGGTTTTCTACTACCGTGTGTAAAGTACTCACTTTACGCACTAAAAACAGTGTATAAAGTAGCACTTTTTCGCACTAGTGCATAAAATAAGTATTTTACACACTAGTGCGTAAAGCAGTCTGCCAAAAAATTGCATCAGCAAAAATTTGACACCTGACGCACTGGTTTTTAGTTCGTTACTTTACGCACTTACTAGTGTGTAAAGTAAATTTACTTTACGCCACTACGGTGTAAAGTTAACGACTTATTTTCTTTATTTAATGAATTTTCGGGAAAAAATTGAGGGTATAAGAAAAAATATTGTATGAAACACGTGTGGAAAGTTCTTTTTTTAAAATGAAAAACAATCCCATTCGTAAAAAAAGTATCACTTAACACAATTGATACATAAATAACGATTTTATATTTTTAACGAATTAAAATGTAGTTTTTCTTTTAAAACTCTGAAAACCTAGCATGTTTATAGGATTTTTTTTCGTAAAATATTTTTTAAAAAATCGTCTGGTAAATTTATTGCACGTACCTAACTAACGGCCGTAAATTTTCTACTAATAAATTGAAATAAATCCACAGACTTACCTTGCTATCCATTATGACGACAAAACCACAAAAACACACAATTTTTAATTATATTTTTTACTATTTGATAACCCGGTAATAATATTATATTATTTATAATACTAAATTAATAATTATTATTTAAACACCTTCGCACCTTCGCATCAGCTAAAAGCTCAAATCGATCTGTTCATTCTTACAATAAATATGCTGTTTCAGTGTATTTTCTGTCCTTTATACATTAATAAGTTTAAACAGAGACAGAAATACGATTCATCAACAGTAATCTTGCAAATGAAATAGGTTAGAAAACCGTTAAAGCTTACGCGGGAAAAGTTACTGCACTTTTCCTTAGCAAAGTGTGACGTATCGCGTCACTAATACAAGGGTATAGGCGTAAGTTATTTGTGAATACTGCATTGTGATTGGATAATCCATCGTACTGCGTTTTTTGTTAGTAATAGATGATGTTTTTGACTCCTTGTACATGTATAAATTATAGCAAAGTTTGTTGTACTGCGTTATTCATTAGGATTTCTAAGTTACTGCAGTTTACCTTAAAATAAAGTGATTTTTTTAATGGAGATCCAAAGCAGTTACACAGTATATTTTTAAATACTGCATTTCTCGCTAGGATAAGTGCTTACTGCGTTTTTAACTAGTAATATGATGCTTTAAGCGAGTTACTGCAAACTTTTTTTTCAAATTTTGAAAAAACCAAATTTTTTTTGGAAAAACTGAGTTGGTAGAAAGATAGAGAATATGTTCAAGAATACGAATTCACCAAAATCTCAAAATCGAAAAAAATCGAGTTACTGCGTTCTTCATTAGGACGGCAGAAATGTGGTTAAAGTAAATGGGGGGGGGGTTATCGAACTCAAACTATGGGGTGAGAAAATTAAAATGAAAGTTTTAGACGTGCCAATTTAAAAAAAAAGTTAACGATGTTTGTATTTTGTTTATGCTAATTCTCTTACATGTAGTTTTTTGCGAAGAAATATTTCATTTATTTTTTAAAGTAAAAGTAAATATAATTTTTAAATAGTAATATAAAGCACCTAATATAAATAATTTTGATTTCTAATTTTTTATTTATATTTTCCTTCCATTACACTGCATGCTTACAAAATTAATAAATGTTTATATTTCATGATTTAAAAATTTGTTGTTAATATAACAAATTAGTTCTGTAATTATTATTATTTAATAAACCAACGTTGCCACACACAAAAAATTTAGAGACTATATTATTTTTAAATAGGATCTAATATAAATAATTTTGACATCTAATTTGTTGTTTATATTTTGGTACTACTTAAAAAAATATTTATATTAAATGATTTTAAATTTTGTTGTTAATAGGTATAACAAATTATTACTGTTATTATTATTTATTAAACCAGTCTTTGCTTAAAAACATTAAAAATCATTTTCCTACACCCAAAATAACAAGTATTATTGCAGTGTAACAACAGAATATTAATAAAAAAAAGCAGAATATATAGACATACTATCCCTAACTAACTAAAGCCAAACAATAATATTCTTTGCTAATATCAACTAATACCAAAATATGGCAACAGCGCCCTTCATAATGTATTTTCTGTGTAAATACTAGCACCTCAATAAAAAAATAATGTGTCCTTATCTATATCTGACTCCGCAAAAAATCAAAGATGCCGGCTTCTTTCATAGCTGTCGGGTTTCTCGGAAAGAAACCTAAGTCGCCGGGCGACAACTAAAATTCAGTTAATATTTTATTATAATCGATCCTGACGAATAAATGAATTTCATAAATGAATGAATTTTATAAATGAATGGTTTTTGCTGCCGAATTACTAGAATACAATATTTCAAGGCAGATGACGGATCTATTCGATAATTTTTATTCGAATAGTTTTCAACGAATGTTTTCTTACTAACTATCGAATTATTCGAATGAATTGCAACTATCGAATGTTTCTATAGTATTCATTCGATAGTTCCCACTGTTAGTATATACACCAAAAAATCACTTACAAACCACAATTACCCAATTTTTAAAACACTATATTTTAATTCTTCTATTTACAGCACTTTTACAATAGTTTTTTTTTCATATATGTAGCATTTTTAAACCACCCTCCACTTGTATATACACCGAAAAAGCACTCAAAAACCGCAAAAATCGAACTTTTTCAACATCCTAACCTAACTCTTCTTTTTGCAGTACTTCAACTCGCACACGCAAGTACTGGAGCCGACTTCAAGTACGTGCACGTACTCGTCGGTTGGTCAGCACGAACTCTATCCGTTATGACGTCATTTAAAGCACCACCAATCGGCGATCCAGATCTCGCAGAGCGGATTGACAGCTCCGGGCAGTCCTACCCACAGAGTAGTGCACTCGTGTAGTCCATCGCCCAGTTCCATGCGAGTGGCGTAAAGAAGAAGAATGAAAAGAAGATTTTTTGAGGTTATGGATGTAAGAGAATCGTTTTTTTTTTGTTTGAATAAAAAGATTAAGAGTATATTATGCTGTACTGTTTGGTTTGGTGTGTGGCCGAAGGAAATATATATTATATTTCAGAAATTATTCGGAAAATTATTGTGTTCCTAGTAAAGCGATAACAAACAAAAACTTACGTGTTGTTTTCTTAAATTTGAAGCAATTTTGAGTAGCAAATTGTACCTAAATTTATTATATGTCGTGTTTAGAACAGGAAATATAAAGAAAAGAAGACAGAAATAGACTACTAGCATTTAGAGAGAAAAATCAATAGTTCTAAGTCTCCCTCGTTCTTGTAATAATGTATGTTTTTAATTATAATATAATATAACAATCTTACGGGGAAAATATACGCTTCAAATTTTTTGTTCTACTCTGTTTCTATTTTTAGCTTTTAATAATAATAATAATAATAGCATTTATTACAGCCTTCAAGATTTTGTTTGTTATCTGTCAAACTATTTTTTTTGTAAATATATTTTATTTTGCCTTGTGTCAAAAAATATATGAAAAAAATATGGACTGTTAAATTTATGTTATTAATCTTACCACCCTCTGTATATAAGATTTTTAGATCATGATTTACTAAGAATGTTTAAAAAAAACTTTAATAAGCTGTATACATTATTGACTATTTTTATGCTCATTTGTATAGATCATATTCCTATAACTGTTATGATATAGAAATATTTATTTAAAAAAATGTAATATAGGAACAAAAATGTTTATAAACAATCAATTTTTCATCTTTCCTTGTATAAGGTGATCAATACAAACTCTCTAGTGTATTTCTCTCAAGTTTTGATTACCTTATATAAAAATAAATCTGTGATATACTTAATATTAACATAGTATTTTGTTTAATGTTTCTTTTATAAAAAAATATATAATAATTGTATCGTTATTGTTGTACAAAGTACTTGTAAGGGACTAAATCAGTATTATATAACAATATTGCACATTGTACATATTTCTAAAACATCCTATATATATATATTTTTTGATCCTTTAATTGATTTTTTTGTTAATATTCTTCAGCTTGTACACTTAGATGATTTAGTTTTTGTAGTTTGCTAAAACTTTTATTTCTGTTGTATTTTTCTTTTTTTGGATATGACCACAGACTAAATCAGTCTGTGATATGACTCAAAAAACATATTTTTTGTAAAATACTCTAAAATTCCTTATGTCCCAAACGTATGTAAATAAAAAAAGTATTGTTCACAATGCAAATAAAATTTAAAGAAAAATAAATGTCGTTGATGTGATTTTATAGTTTATTTACTGTTATTTGCATATTTTACACTATTTGTATTCTTTCCATAAGTTATAGGCTTGGTACATTCTCCGCCTGTGCTGCCACCATCGGAGAATATCGTAAACAACTATTGTATACAAATACACGGGTTTAAATAGGGAGTATACGAAAAATTTATTATTTAAATTATTCTAAAAGTGTTCAAGTATAATTTGTGAAAAGTTTAAAAATAAAAATAAAAAGTAAATATTTTGATATCTTGGTCTAACTTGTATTATAATTTATGATTCCAGCTAAAAAACTTTTTAGATGAGTTCAACTAGAGTAGCGGGCATAGTTTTAATCACCGGTTTTGCTAGTGGGGTTATAATTAACTCTATTTCGGCTATAACGAAATTTTTTAAAGGTACATAATTATAATTTTAGGGGATGTTCATAAAACATTAAATCACTAGTTGATTAAAAAATATATATTATTAATATTGATTTTACTATTTAATTTTTTGATTATTTAACGTGCACTTTGTTTACTCACTTGTTTTTTTGAGCTGCTTGAATCCATTTTGGATTTTGATCAAATCGGTATGAGAAACTATGAAGCAACATTTTATATGTTGTTTCGGGAGAGTTGAATATCCGGGAAAGTTGAATTTTTAAATGTTATTGTACCCAACTAGGCCCTAATTACGCTCTCCTTTATGCGTTAATATTTTTTTGGGCAATTTTATTAACAATTGAAATTGCCACAACCACGACACGATGCCTAGTTCGAATTCTTTTTTACTTATTTTTTACTACCCGAAACAGCGTTACATCACACAAACCTCGTACCTGAGTGTTTTATAGTCTTAATAACTGCCCTAGCAACAAAATAAAATACTTAAATATTATGACAAAGCCACGATTTCAATAATATTTTAATGCGATCAACATGAACTGTAACATGAACATGTACTGATAATTTCTGATTTCTGCCGTTGAAGCGCTGCGGTCGGAATTTTTTGAAATCAACTGCAGCCTATACTGCACCAAGCCTATACTGTTAAGGCTGTTCTACATTAATAAAAGTATATGCTAATAAGTAAAATTCAATATAAATATTTCATTTTTGACATAATACACATCTTGACAGAACCATCTGTGCCTGCAACGTAATACGTAAATTTCTATTAATGTAGATCCAGCTTTATACAGAGTTGTTCACCACATACGACACGGAGTATTGTAGCTAAACCACTAGATTTTTACAAATTGTAAGTTTTGGGTTCGTTGAAGGACTATTAGAGCTACAATTTAAAAATATTTTTACAAGATACAGAGTGTCCCAAATATATAAAAAATATCAAAGTTGTATTTTTTTAAATGGAACACCCTATAAATTATTACATTTTTAGTTTCTACGATTAAAATAAAGGTAAATTTGATTAAGGTTTATTACACTTAAACTTTACCGTTTTTGAAATATTTTCAATTTTGTGAAATTGCAGTATAAATTTTAAGGCTTCATTTCTCCAAGGGTATCAAAGTTTTTAATACTAAATATTTACTGAAGTTTATCTATTGATCAGTTATTGTGTTGCAATAATAAAAACTTTACTACCTTATACAGAGTGTCTAAAATTTATTTTAAATAATTACTAGCTCTAAACGGCAATAACTTGTTTAATTTAAATGGAACACCCTGTATATTTTATGAGAATCAGATGCACAATTTAATTGTCTATCAAATTGTATTATACCATTTTTTACCTATCTCTTCAAGTTTCCGTAGAAAATGCATTTTCTTGTAATTTAGAACTCATTTATCAATATACCCATGGAATACTGACATTTTAGATTATTTTTAAAGATGTACCAAATTTTTAAAGAGTACAGATACTAATATTGTCGATATAGTTCGTTTATTTCATTAAAAAATAAAAAAAAACTGTTTAAATATTTGTTAAAAAGGACCAATTAATATGATACCAGTATTCAAACTACATTAATTGACGGTTTGCGTTGATTAATAATAATTGCTCCAAATACTAAAAAACTGAATTATGTATGTGTATTAGACAGTGTGGTAAAAAGTAACACCTTAAAAATGATATTTAATTTTTTGACAAATGCTTATTTATAACAACGTTCATTTTCATAACTTATTATTATATTAATTTTTGATTCAAATCCACATTTATTTAGAATAATTTATTAACGAACACAATTAAGTATGTAATTAATTAGTATTTGCGCGGAAATACTGGTGGTATATTTAATTAATGGTATACTCGAGGGTATACTCTTTTATAAAGATTTAAATAGTTTTCTTTTTGCATACAAATGGGCTAGTAATATTATCGTTTTACTAAAAACGATAATATTACTAGCCTGTACATTTTGTACATTTGTTGTTTTAAAAACAATTTAAAATGTCAATATACCATGGGTATATTGATAAATGAGGTCTAAATTAGAAGAAAATGCATTTTCTACGAAAACTTGAAGGAATAGGTAAGAAGTGGTATAATACAATTTGATAGACAATTAAATTGTGCATCTGATTCTCATAAAATATACAGGGTATTCTATTTAAAGTAAATAAGTTATTGCCGTTTAAAGTTAGTAATTATTTAAAATAAATTTTTAGACACTCTGTATAAGGTAATATATTTTTTATTATTACAACACAATAACTGATCAATAAATAAACTTCAGTAAATATTTAGTATTAAAAACTTTGATATCCTCGGAGAAATGAAGCCTTAAAATTTATACTGCAATTTCGCAAAATTGAAAATATTTGAAAAACGGTAAGGTTTAAGTGCAATAAACCTTAATCAAATTTACCTTTATTTTAATCGTAGAAACTAAAAATGCAATAATATACAGGGTGTTCCATTTAAAAAAATACAACTTTGATATTTTTTATCTCTAATAGTCCTTCAACGAACCCCAAACTTACAATTTGTAAAAATCTAATCGTTTAGCTACAATACTCCGTGTCGTATGTGGTGAACAACCCTGTAGATTATTTTATTGTATATAAATACTTAATTTTTATTTCAATTTATCTTATTACCTACTTTCTTGAGATAATCTCGATTATCTCGTGTTGTGTCGTTTTATATATAAAATGGAAATGAGATAATAAAAATCTAGAACTATATATGTATATAACCGTCGTTTTATTTACTATAACACCACCAGAGACAATAACATGACCTTTTTTAATATACTAAGATTTACATTTATCACTATCATCGTTTTCTTTAGGTATAGGTAATGATTTATGTATGAATTTTCTTTTTCCCTCTGAGAACTCACTGGCAGTATGGTCGACACCTCTTAGCATCCATTTTGTAGTTAGAAGTCCTTCAATTCCTACGGGACCTCTGGCGTGGATTCGGGAAGTACTTATACCTACTTCGGCTCCTAAATTCGAACAATAAATTAACGATAAAAAAATATAATTTTTTTATACTCTCTAGCACATGAGGCACAAACCTAAAAATGGTAGTAAAATATTGTTGCGGACCGGTGTGGACTCGACCTAACCTAACTATATGGCCCGCCCTCGGATGACCTTAACATCGCATTAAAGAATAGACACGGTAATGATTCATTCGAAGATTCGAGAAGAATCGAGCTGCACTGGAATGGAGTAGTACATACGAGAACAATCGAAACCTTCTCTATGCACCTAACGATCTATGGACTATTCTAGAGATCTTTAGCTGTCGGTATAAAAGCCGGCGGCTGGGGCCTAGAGAGGGCAGTTATAAATAGACGAGTGCAGTTGACGCGCTAAAATTCAAAATAAATTCTTAGTTATAAATCGTTTGTAAATAGTTCTTTAAGTCTTTTATCGTTATTGTTTTTGTTAATTAGTGTTAAATAAATAGTGTTTAAATAAATTGTGACTTTCTATCCACACGGAACCGACGAAAAACGTAACAATATGATACTACAAACTTACCTAAACCGAATCGGAAGCCATCGGCCATTCTTGTACTTGCGTTGTGGAAGACACAAGCCGAATCAAGCATCGCTAGAAACTTTTCTGCCACTTGCTCTTAATAAAAATTAACATAAATTAGGTCCCTCTAACCCTTTTACATTAATATGGCATTTAGTAAGGCGTTGAGAGAATAATAAAAAAGATACTTACTGTTTTCCGTTATTATTGACTCAGTATGCCCACTTCCATACTTATGAATGTGGTCTACAGCTTGCTGAACATTATCCACCACCTCTAAACAGCATTCCATGCCACTGTATTCATGCTTCATGGTTTTGGCTAGCGGTGGTCCAAACTGCAGGTACTTCATCAAATTGGGACCTATCAAAAACAGTTTTTTAGACGTTTCGAGGTACATTTGATCGATTTTTATCATGCCTGAATGAAGGGTGACTCCAGATTCCTTAAGCATGGAACACAATTCCGAGAAAAAGTCTCCTTCCATAAGATCTTTGTGGATTAAAATCGTCTCCACGGCATTACAACCAGAGGGGTAATCAGTTTTGGCATCCTTGAGGATTTTCAGGGCTTTTTCAAGGCACATGTCTTTGTCGACGAATATATGACAAATTCCTGGACAAATCAAGAAAATAAATCCAAATATTTTCACACACTAACACTAGTTATCGTGCAATGCGTAAACGTTACCTTCTGAATGTCCCATCACTGGAATTCTTTTGGCATTGTCCTGGATAAATCTCACCAGCTTGTAAGAACCTCTGGGTATAATCAGATCGATGTACTGATCCATGTTGATCAAATCAGCAATCTCCTCTTTTGTGTTTACCTTTATTTAACAATATAGTATAATATACTATACTATAGGTACTATAACAACTTAGAGCAGGTCACACAAGGCTCAATGGAACGACAATGGCAAACCAAACCAAACTTGAGATGGGATTTTTCCACTCATTGAAAATTAGTACCACTAATTTTGACATTCTAGATTCTTACATTCAAATTAAAGGAAAAAACTTCTACTCTAATTGAAACAACTAATGAAACTAAGATGCAGGAATCAACAGAGAAGGCATGTATACAAAAAGACACGAATGCCTTTGCCTTTGCAGATGATTTAGTTATCTTAGCAAGAGATCGGAAAGAGCTGATATCGGTGACCTAAAGACTGGAAGATCAAGCGCAAAAAGTAAGAGTGTTTAGTGAGAAGAAAACCAAGTTTATGGAGTGGTCAGATAGGGATTTTGAGGAGGGAAGATGTCTACAAATAGATTCTGAAAGAGGGAAACGTTTGAGGAAATATAAGTTTGAGGAAGTAGATGCATTTACATATCTGGGAACTGGTATTTTTAGGGAAACCAAATGTAACTCAGTAACAAGAATAATGGCGGTGTTAGCTCACTACAGAAAGAGTAAAACGTTTCAACTAATTGAAAATTACTACCATTCCTGAGTATTTCAATTTCAACAGTATTATGCTTACCAATCCCACAGCTCCGGAGCTATTCACCGAGGCCAAAGCTTCGTCAATGATGTCCATTAGCTTCCTGTTTGAATGAACGGCTTCGTCGCCACCTTTCAGCACCAAGCCATTGCCTGAACCAATGGCAAGCGAGGCGATTTGAGGCAACGCATCCGGCCTGGACTCGAAAATGACCAACAGCACGCCTATGGGCACTGTCACTTGTGTCAGTTCCAAATTTTCAGCCAATCTAGTAAAAAAATACAAAATATACAAAAATGGTGGCAGTAGGCCAGTTCGGAGAAGCAACTCTTAACGATAATGGAAATAGACTATCAATATATGCGACCAAAATAACCTCCGTATTTTGAACGGCTTTTTTCAGCACCGTGACATACATAAGTACACCTGGATACAACATTCTAGAAATTTGAAATCCGTCATAGATTATGTGATAGTCCGACAGTATACAGCGTTAAATATTCAAGACGTACGAGTCTACAGAGGAGCGACATGTGGCAGTGACCATCATCTTGTCAGGTCCAAAATATTACCCTTTTGAATGGTAAAAAAGAAAATAGACGAAAGAGAACAGGAAGAAAAGACAACAGAAGTAAAATATAATTTAGATAGCTTCAACCACGAGAGCGTGAAGGATTTATACAAAAATCGACTGGATGAAAAACTTGTACAAGAAAATTTTGAAAGTACAGAAGAACAGTACAATTATATTATAGACTGCATGAGAAGTGCATCAGAAGAAGCTTTGGGAAAATACGCCAAACCCAAAAGAAGAGTACCATACTGGTGGGATGAAGAAATTGAGGAAATGATAAAAGCTAAACGAGAAAAGTACAACAAATTTCTAAATATAAAATCGAACGAAAGTAAGCATGAATACAAAACAGCACAAAGAATTGTACGGACAGCTATAACAAAAAAGAAAAACGAAAGCTGGGAAAGAAACTGCACAAGAATTAATACATATATAGGAGCTACTAGAAGTACCGAAAGCTGGAGAATATTAAGGTCCCTTCGAAAAGAGAAGACTAAAGATATCATCTCACCAATTACATTACCAAAATGGGACGAATGCTTTGCTAAACTGTTGACTGAAGAAAGGGCCGAATATCAACAAACATTTCAGCCACAATCCGACATTCAAATAAGAACCGCAGCTTCTCCACTGAGGATCAATACCAAAGAAGTAAAACAAATTTGCCAAACCCCGAAAAATAGAAAATCGCCTGGTCCAGGTGAAATTCCCCCAGAATTACTCAAGTACGGCACGGATAAATTATATAAGCAGCTCGTTAGTCTTTTCCAAAAGTGCCTTAATGGTGAAAATATACCGAAAGAATGGAAGACATCATATATAACAACAATACGCAAGAAAGGAAGTAAAGACGATTGCGATAACTATCGAGGAATCTCCGTGCTGAGCTCTGTTTCAAGGGTCTATGGAACATTGGTCAAAAAGAGAATTGAGGAAGAATACCGGAATATGGAGGCTGAAGAACAAGCGGGATTTAGAGCTAGTAGATCCACGGCCGACCATTTATTTACACTAACACAGATAAAATTGAGAAAAAGATGGCAAGAAATCAAGAAACGCATCTCCTCTACGTAGACCTCAAGAAAGCATATGATAGTGTACCCCAGTCTAAATTGTGGGAAGCCCTCGAGAAAACGAATATCAGCATAACATTAATTAAGGCTGTCCAAGAACTTTATAAGAACAACACTAGCCAAGTAAAGAAAGGACAAACAGTATCAAAGGGATTCAGCATAAACAAAGGTCTTAAACAGGGCTGCTGTCTATCGCCCACACTGTTTAAAATCTATTTGGAACAAGCTCTGAAAACGTGGAAAAGGAAGTGTGAACAGATGGGGATACCATTAAACGACTCGATACTTTACACTCTTTGTTTCGCTGATGATCAAATAATACTAGCTCAAGACTACGAGGATCTGGAATATATGACCCGCAAACTATTTTATATATATCCTGCTATGCGTTCAAATTGTACCAAATTATTTCTTTGTAGAATAAAATAAACTGCTTTGAAATTAAAATGACAGAACCATCTATCACTGACAAGGATCTTGTCGTTGGACAGACATATTGAATGAAGCCATAACGTGATAAATTCAATGAGCCCCCGTAACTATAATTTCTCAATATGTAATTACTTACAAGGTATTACTTTTAAACATTTTTATATTATTGGGAAGGTTTAAAAATGTTTCAAAACTATTTGACGTTTGAAAAAAGAGTAGCATGTTATATTCGGAGAGTAAAAATGATTTTTTGTGCCTCGCCTGTAATGTTCAAACTTCAGCCTTTCCACATTTTTACTTCTAATAAAACAATATACTATTTCTAATTTTAACATTTAAAGTGACACTAAAGGCATGTTTACACCAGTCAAGTGAATTGTTTTATTAAACTATTCTTATTGACAATTTCCGCTATGATGGATTCTTTATACGCGTTTGATATACCGTATGATCGAAAAAACGGCGTCCAGTTTTTCTTGGAAATGACGATCGATGACATTCTCCTTATAATTTTACATATAAAATGACAGCGATTTTCATTTAGTAGCCATTGCTGACGCGGTTTTTTTCGATCATATTGTATATTTTATTTTGCTTTTTTTTACTATTACACACACCGGAAAAGTCTAGGGATATTACAATTTTATCCAGCCATCGTCAGTAATTTTATTATTTGCATTTCTGATATAATAAAATTAAAATAAACAAATAGTTTACAGGGGTACTATTTTTTTTTTTTTTTACTTCAATAACTAATTGAAGAGTATAACAAGTGGGGGCTGGAGGTAAACCTTAAGAAGACGGAATATATGTGTATCGGCGGCGAACAACAGAACATAATCCTAGAACAGCAACAGCAAGAATAAAACACTGCCAAAAATATAAATATCTTGGCATGCACATTACCAACGATGGTAGCCTTGATGAAGAAATTAAGTGCAGAAACAACCAGGGAAGACAAGCAATTAGACAACTCAACAGTATTTTATGGGATAAGGCCGTATCAAAAGAAAACAAACACAAAATTTATAACAGCATAGTTAAAAGTATCATTAGTTATGGTAGTGAAGTATGGCCTTTGAAAGAAAGAAACCTTAAGTTACTCGAAGCTACAGAAATGGACTTTTGGAGGCGCGCGGCCGGAAAATCGAAACAGGATAGAGTTAGAAATGAAAGAATTCAGAACATCATGGGCGTTAAACACCGAATATCAGAAGACATCAAAATTAACCAACTCAGGTGGTACGGGCACGTACAAAGAATGGAAGAGAACAGAATCCCGAAAAAAATACTCAATTGGACACCACAAGGCAAACGCAAGAGGGAGACCTAGACGGAGTTGGAGAGAAGGAATAGACGGGGATATCAGAACAAGAAGAATAGACGAAAACCTCTGGACAGACAGAGACCAATGGAGACTGAAAATCAGAAGACGTCGAAGAACGTTATAAACTGATTTGTATATACATATATATATTATTGGCCATTATTATACCTAATACGGAAGAATAAAGAGAATTGACAACCACAAAGTTATTGGAAAAATAGTTTCAATTACACCTTCAACTTAAAAATTTACTATTATATTTTTTTGAATGAAGCGAAAATTCGACCTAAACACATCAAATAAAGCTTACTGGGTTTTTCGTATGATTTTTCCAAGAATCTTAGCGCTGTATTCTGAAATTTGTCTTAATCCAACACTAAGTGATTTCAATTTTGGTTCATTCAGTTTCAGTCTGTCGATAAGGACAGTGCTGTAGCCAATTTTTTTGGCTTCTCTGATATCCAGCTCGTTGGCAGCTATGATTTCCTTGCTTTTGGACTCGAGCAAGTCAGCAATTTTCTTGATGCATTCAGCTCTTTTCTCACCAGGCAGCAGAGCAAGAGCTCTACCTCCTGTTCTTGCTGAAAATTTTGTTAATTTATATACATTTTGATAAAAAATCATACTTTTTATCCTACTAAATTACCAAATACTTACTTATAACTAAATAAATGCCTTTATTGAACAGTTCTCTTCTGGAGCTTGAAAATGCGGTCAAATTGAGTTGCACAACACGTACCCCAGAATGGAAGGGCATACCTGAGGTGCGACTCAAAAAGTGCATAATAAACAGTTCTAGCCACCGACAAGTTAAGCCCCTTAGAAACAGATCTTAATGCAAAACAGGCAGAACTCAATTTTTTCGACAAAGCTTCGATATGCATGTCCAATTTCAGAGAATTGTCCACAACAAGCCCTAAGAATTTTACAGATTTGTGGTGTTGTTAAGTACAAAAGGCTGCAACGAGTTTTTATACGACAAAGCTTTAGTTTTAGAAATGTTGGGACTGAGGAGGTTCGAATCGCACCAAGATTTAATGGTGATTAAGTCATTTGATATAATCCTATGCAGTGCCGTGATGTCCTTGTTGCTCCAAGTGAAGCTAGTGTCGTCCGCAAAAAGACATATTTTACCACTGATGTTTATGTTAGCAATGTCGTTAATAAAAAGAAGAAACAAAATAGGGCCTAGTACTGAGCCTTGTGGTACTCCACATTCTATTGGCTTGCTAGAAGACAACGCTTTAAAATATTGATTTTCTCAGTGTCTTTGTTCTATCTACTTACCAGCAGCTGCTATTTTTTCGGTACTGTCATCTTCACAAGCCGCCAATGAAAAGAAAGTACCAACTTTCTTGCCCGACAGCACTGTCTGCATTATATCGGGTGTTTTACCATTGCAAATAACCACTGAAGTACCATGAGCCAGCGCCCATAATCCAGAGTTAACTTTGGTTTGCATTCCACCTTCATAGAAAAAATATGTGCAATTTTTTTTGGTATTTTATCTGTATAAAATGTATTATTTTGTAATGAAATTTTTAATACTGTCGATGATCAAAACTCTTGTATGCAACACGTTGGGTAACATCTCTATTGTGTAACTCGTATCTCTCAGATAAAAAAAAATTGAACAGTGAGCAAAGTTTTGTCACCTTTAAGGAACAGTGTATAGTATTACCAGGTGCGTCTCAAAAATGGCTCACCCCTACAACTTTCTTATTTTTTTAGATAAAAAAAACGAGATTTGTTATGTTAGTATATGACATAATTTAGGATTGATTGACGTATTCAATTGTTTTTGGTCACTTCCTGATTTTTAAATGAAACCCTCGGTATTTTTTTAGTTTAATCCTTTGAATAAGAAGACTAAGGAAGGAGCATAATGCTATCCATGTATCATGCATGATGGGCGGAAAAAGCACCATAAAAGCACTCTAGGGTGGGGATCCTTGACAGTTCTGTTTGACGATTCATTTGACACATTTGAATTTGATTTGAAATTTTGTGGATTTGTCAGTTATTACGGAGCTTATTTTATGTTATTTATTATTTATTCTACTACTGATAGTTGTATAAAGGTAGTAAATCTAGATGGAAATTGTGGCAGAACTTAAATTAACAGTGACACTATCGCGATTTATCGAAAAAGATTCTAAAATAGTTGGTTGTGTAGCGTGCGGTAGATCTCGGCAAAAATTGATTGAAATAATGGAACAATTTTTCGCTAGTAAGTGACTATATAATATACATACGTGTAGTAAACCGATCATTTATGAAATTCACTTAAATTAACTAAATTATATATTTTTCTTGCATTTTAGCTTTTATTTACTACTTGTCAAAGATTAGATGTCAAAGAATTTAGATACGTTAATTTGACTTACCTGCTTCAATAGCGTATCGGATGTTTGTGTTAATAAATACTTAATATAATTTTTATTAGAATTATATATTTTTATAACAATTTTAATAACTACCAACATTTATTCACAACGTAAAATAAAACAACAAATTATTGAGTCTACCCCACGTCTACCCTACATCATAGTTTTACATTTTTTAAATAAAATTAGAACGACACTGATAAACCGGAATTTAAGTCGGCCATATTTGAGGCCCATCGCGGTGTACCTAAGATTTTTGATATGCTCCTTCCTTAGTCTTCTTATTCAAAGGTTTAATCGATAGAAAATGACACTCTGAATAGAATGACATATTATATGTCAACTTTGGACATTTTCGCATATGGTTTATATTGTAACATGCGGTTCATAACGAAAATTTGACTCGAAATACCAAGTATGTGGTACCAAATTATTCGCAAAAACATGCTTTTTCCAAATAGGCTAATGAGCCTATTTGGAAAAATATTATTCCATTTGAAAAAATTGAGATATGATTAAAAATACGATTTGGACATCTTTTAACCGACCAGGGCAAGACACGAAAAACATTAGACGACCAAATCTATTTTTCCAAGGTTTCTTGAATAAAAATTAGTGTTTTTAACACAGCCATGGCACTCTAGATTGAAATTTAAAATACGATTTTTTAAGCAAAAATGTCAGAAGTTAACATATGATATATGTCATTCTATTCAGAGTGTCAATATATATCGAATAAAGTAAAAAAAAGAAGGTGACAATCCTCGAAACTCGCAGCATTATCACAAGTTGATCTTTGATTGAACTAGGATGATCTTATTCTTACTTTTTTCATCTCTTACTTATTGCTATCTACAAATCTAATGTAATTTAAACAAAATAGTCTGTTCCTCAACTAGTTACTAGCTTAAATAACTATTCTTAGCTTACCTAGACCAATTTGGCTTTGTCCAATAAAGTCAATGTGTTGCGTATTGGTCTCGGTTATGCTGTGCAACACTTTCGTATTTGGATCGTTCGGTCCTTTATCGTAAACACCATCAACGACGGTCAGCATAAGAAGTAGATCAGTTTGAGTGTCTGCGGCCAGCATAGCGGCCAGCGAATCGTTGTCAGCAAGCTTGATGCCCTTGCAAAGTGTCGGACCTCAAAAAATACAAATAAAACTGAGTTTTACGTTTTATTTTTGAATTTATCCGGAAATTATTCAGTTATTATGATTATTGTTAGTTCCCAGTAGTTATTACGCAGAGAAAAAAATCGTGGGGGTTTGAGAAGGCTTCAAAGGAAACAATGTTTTTGCCAAAACAGTGTTTCCTTTCAATATTCCTTCTTTTTATAGACAAGTAAAGTATTCAGTTGTTCTTTTATTTATATTAAGCCACATACATACTTTCTGGTTAGATTTCCTAAGAATATTGATATTCGTACGGAGTGGCTAAATGTATTTTTTATATAATTTAATTTTTGTGTCAGTAAACATTCAATTTATTGTTCAAATATAAGCATTTTACAAATTAAATTTTTAAAATTAATGCTAATTTGGCGCGCGGACGATAGGTCTTCGACAGGGATATACCGGGTGTTGCATCGTCGAGCGGAACATAAGAAATCCCATGTAAATTTTAATGGGGTCAATTATTGACTTCCCTAATTATTTTGGAGAATAATTCTATTTAGGTTATTTGAAGAGCACTAAAACCCACATTCAAAAGAATAACTTTAGATATTTTTGATTAGCCCGTTTACGAGTTATCGCCGATTTCTTTTTAAATATTTCTCCTTTCTTTTGGCCCTGTATTTACTTATGAGCACCAGTCAAGGTAAAAGATAACTGTCAAATGAAGTTGTCATTTCAGAAATTTATCTATTTAGTGCTTTATTACACTTTATTATTATTATTAAAAACTCATACCTACATCGAAAATATTAGCCATGAATTACATTACCGAAAAAAAAGTATTGATGATTAAATGGTATTATCAAGGAAATAGTTATCAAAAGGTGTCGGACATGTTTGCTGCTGTGTATCCGAATAGACCGATACCTGGAAAATTTACAATCGCAAGGAATATCCAGAGATTTGAGACCAAAGGTACCCTAATAAATAACTGCGCAGATGTGAAGCAAGGCAGGAACAAAGAGAAGATGCAAGAAATGATACCGACTTGGAAGTTTTATTGTGCGTGGAAGAGAACGATGGAAAGATCAGCACAAGGAAACTTGAGGATGAAATAGAAATAGATCACACTACAGCGTTTCGAATTTTGAAACGACATAAATAATATTCCTTCAAATATGAAAAGCACCAAGAGCTACGAGATGGGGACGAAATACGGCGGCAGGCCTTTTGTTTTGATATGATGGAAAGAGCAAACACGGATAGGGAATTTTTAAAAAACATATGTTTCACTGACGAATACACGTTTACTTTAAATAATGATCCCAATGTTCAAAATTATCGATATTGGATCAAAGAAAACCAACACAGGTTTGTCGAAACAAGGACGCAATATCCACAGAAAGTAAATGTTCGGGCAGGTATATTCGGATACAATATTACCGGGCCATTATTTCTTATGCAAAATTTAAATGCAGAATATTATTTGGAACTACTCGAAAATCATATTTTACCTGCTTTACATGATGTCGCTAGAGAAAATCAGGAAGTTTGGTACCAAATGGATGGCTGCCCGGCACATAGTACCCTGGCTGTTCAGGAATATTTAGACAATAGTTTTAACGGAAACGTTATTGGCCTAAATCATACAGTAAATTGTCCAGCAAGGTCTTCTGATATTTCGCCAAATAATTTCTTTCTCTGGGGCCATTTAAAAAACAGGATATACAAGGATAAAAAATACCCAAACCTAGACAAGTTAAAAAATGCTATTTCTGCCGAATGCAATAGAATTTCAGTTTACCAACTAGCGAATGTAAGAAAAGAATTTTATGATCGCCTGGGTTATTGTCTAGCAGTCGATGGAGGAATATTTGAACATCTCTTAAATCCTAAAATTCTAACAATTTAATAGTAGGTACCTAAATTAATAAGTTATTGAATATTGTAATAATACTATAATTAACCTTGTATTTGATTTATTTTACTTTAATTCATATTAATTTGTATTTATAAATACATCTTTAAGATCTCGGATGTAGGAATGAGTTTTCAATAATAATAAAGCACTAAATAGGTAAATTTCTGAAATGACAACTTCATTTGGCAGTTATCGTTTACCTTGACTGGTGCTCATAAGTAAATACCATAAGAAAGGAGAAATATTTAAAAAGAAATCAGCTCGTAAACGGGCTAGTCAAAAATATTTAAAGTTATTCTTTTGAATGTGGGTTTTAGTGCTCTTCAATAAACCTAAATAGAATTATTCTCTAAAATAATTAGGGAAGCCAATAAAAGACCCCATTAAAATTTACATGGGATTTCCTATGTCCCGCTCGACGATGCAACACTCGGTATATTTGATAATAGAAAAGCTTACATGGTACATTGGGTTGAGGCACAACGGCATCATTGGTGTTCAAAATCGGTATCACTCTCATATCCATCAACTGATTCAGCGTTTCAGTCAAAACCCTTCTGTTGTCATCGTTGTAAATGTCATTTTCGCTGACCAGAACTTGAGCTGTTTGAATATGGTACCGGGAAAACAGGGTTTCGTAGAGATTCATCAGAGCAGGCTGACCAACAGCGGCTGAAGGTTTCTTATCCAAAGGCTTACCGTCAGTTTTCTGAAAATGCAATAGCTAATAAATAAATGCCTTTATTGTCAAAAAATGTTACAATTTGTAGACAATTTAAAGGTAAAGAAAACAAACAAAAGAGAATAATAATTTGTTGTCAAAACAAGTACGCAAATTACATTGTCGGTCTTATTGTTTAAAATAAACATTTATAAATTTTTACAATGTCAAAGAATATAAAAATAAAAATAAGATTCAAAAATATTTAGTAAATTTATAGTAAATATAGTAATAGCAAATATTAGACCAGTGTTTACAAGATCAAATTCGATTATCAAAATATATAAGTGGAAACCACTGTTCATTAGAATGTTGTATCCTATGTTATAGGGCTTGTTTCTCTCTACAATTTCCTGTCTCACAATGTACCGTTTGTGACCAGGAAGGGTTCATAGTTTCATAGATGTCGATTTTTGAAAGAAATCAGAACATGTATATTATTTCGTATATTTTTCATTATATTGATTTTATCATGACTGTTCATTAAAATGTATTTACGGCGTAGAAAGCTATTTTCTAGTAAATAAGATTTCAATGCTTTGCGAAAGGAAGAAAATGATGTTATGGATTTGATTTCAAATGGCAGGTGATTTTTTTTCGAGTTGTATAATATTGAACTTTTAATTAACTCTGAGCGTGGGGTAGGTAGATAAAGATCTTGCTCCGCGTTGCTGAGTGGATAAGTGTTAGATGGCCTTTCTTGAGAAGCTGATACATGCTTACGTATTAGGCAAACGGATTCAAATATAAATAAGGAAGAAAGAGTTAATATTTTTAATTTTTTAAAAAAGTCCTGGCAAGTTCTGCTGTTTAGTTCCAGTGAATATCGAACAGCTCTCTTCTGCAGCTTGAAAATGCGGTCAAATTGAGTCGCACAACACGTACCGCAGAATGGAAGGGCATATCTGAGGTGCGACTCAAAAAGTGCATAATAAACAGTTCTAGCCACTGACAAGTTAAGCTCCTTCGAAACAGATCTTGATGCAAAACAGGCAGAGCTTAATTTTTTCGACAAAGCGTCGATATGCATTTCTCATTTCAGAGAATTGTCTACAACAAGCCCTAAAAATTTTACAGATTTTACGACGTCAATGGTGGTGTTGTTAAGTACAAAAGGCTGCAGCCAGTTTTTATACGACAAAGCTTTAGTTTTAGAAATGTTGAGAGTCAGGAGGTTCGAATCGCACCAATATTTAATGGTGATTAAGTCATTTGATATAATCCTATGAAGTGCCGTGACGTTATCTTTAAGGTCCATTCCAGAGATTTGGAGTTGCCATCTCTGGAGAAAGATCGTACGATAACGGACGTTTTGACTCTTTTTTGACAAATTTAATCTAACCTTAATAAAAATATAACAGCAGAATAGCTAGCAACGTCGGGAAAACGAGAATTTTAAGAAAGCTGTTTTTTTAATATATCTTTTGCTATGATCTCCTGACCAAAGTGCGGGCCGTCTGACTGCCGGTAGACTCCTGCGGTTCACTACTGCGCATCACATCTGTACAGGGTATCCCATTTTCGTCTGTTTCATGGGATTTCTCGTTTATGAGTAGAGATAAAATGATGCGATTTTCACATTACTTTGCTACTTTTTTATGAAATTAAATATGCTACACATATGTTGTCCTTAGCCTCCTTAGTTCCTGAAATTCAGAGTAAATTTGTAATGCGCAGTAGTGAACAGATGTTGAATACAGATATGATGCGCAATAGTGAACGCAACGTCTACCGGCATCCAGCAATCACAAGCAAACCGTATATCCGATGAACGGAGGCATGAAAAAACAATAAATTTAAAAACTGCCTAATTTTCTAACAAATCGAAGTCTTTAAATTCAACCAATGAAATTAAGCTTAAAACTATAATTAAAAAACTTATTACGTAAAACTGGCTGGTTTTTGAGGCTAATTTGGATCTTCCATGAGCTACGCAACCGCTAGTGATGAACATTACTTCCTTATTTTGAAGAAAAATGTGAGCCATCTGTAACAGAAACAAAGACAACGTTTTATTTTTACGTCAGCAGAAATTTGGTCGATTTTACTCACTTGCTCTACTAAATTGGCGAGTCTGCTCATGGCAATCCCCTGTCCCTGTCCTTCGATGATCACTGCGCTTCCAAATTTGATCATGATGCGTTTGGCACTGTGCAGATGTGAGCGATCTGCCATGGGTTGCTTCGGACGGTCTTGGCTGCATGCTTTTTCAATCGCCTGAGTATTAGATATAGTTATTCATTTATTTGTATTATTACAATTTTTTTTGTAATTATTATTGTTATTATTACAATTTTTTTTGTAATTATTATTGTTCTAACACAAATAATATCAAGAAGATCAATTCGACATTTCAAGTGGAGAAAGATACGTCAAACTATATTTCAGTACCGTTTGATAGAGTGTTATCCCGTGGTTTAAAAAGAATTTTCAAGAATGCCAATTATAAACTTGTGTATAGACTACCAAAAAGCTTTTGACAGCATCGAAACCTGGTCATTTCTAGCTGCAATAGAGGACGCGAGAATTGATTCCAGATATTATTCCATTATTAAAAATATCTATGATTCTGCAACCTTCCAAGTTAAATTAAATGATAACCTCAAAACAGAAAAAATACCACTCGATAAGGGCGTGAGACAAGGAGATACCATCTCTCCCAAGTTATTTACACTGGCACTGGAAAATGTCTTCAAGAAATTAGAATGGGAAAATAGAGGTCTAAACATCGATGGGGTACACCTTAGCCATCTTAGGTTCGTAGACGATATTGTCTTGCTGAGCACCGACATTCAAGGACCGAACACCATGCTAAAGGAGTTAAATGACCAATCCCAGAAAATTGGCCTTAAAATGAACTTGAAGAAGAGCAAGATAATGAGCAACAATATCCATAACATTACCGTATACAACGTTATTATTGAAAACGTAGACAATTATATATATTTAGGTCATAAAATCAAGCTGGGTAAGGAGAACCAAAATACGAAGATCAAACGCATGATCCATTTGGCATGGGAAACATTTAGAAATATGAGCGATATTTTCAAGGATAAAAAGGTGCCCATCAACCTAAAGAAAAAGGCTTACAACAGCTGCATTCGACCTGTGCTTACGTATGGCTTGGAGACTATGACAATTAACCGAAAAACAGCAGAACAACTACGAGTAGCACAAAGGGCCATGGAAAGAATCATGTTGGGAGTCACCATTAGGGAAAAAATACCCACATACGTCAAAAAACAAAATTAATAGATGTTGTTCACGTCAGAGCAGTGGCGGGGAGACAATGGATAAGATTGGCTAGAGATCGCAAAGCATGGAAAAACCTAGAAGAGACCTATATTCAACACTCGACGGAACCAGGCTGAGAAAGAAGAAGAAGAAGAAGATTAGGTAATCCTAAAGATAAAACACCTCCACTGGAATGGTCGGGTATTTGTGAAATTTCATGTAAAGATTATAATCAAAAATATGTTGGGCAAACTGGAATATCATTATTAACATTAACTAAATTTCAAGAATATGGTAAGTATATTATGGTAGAGTGGATAAATCTTACATTGATCAACATTTTTCTGATAAAGATCATCGTATATGGTACAGTGGTGATATTATAATATTCTATCTGATATCATACCTCAGCAGGTTGAGCTTGAGCCTGTGTTATGTTTGATTTTGAAGTCAAGAAACGCACATTTTTGTATACGGAAATTCTTGAGTTTCTCACTATCATTTTGTGAAAATCCATGGTGGTATACGCATCAAAATATTAAACGAAAAATTTATACTTCTTACAAAAAAATAAACTTGACATTACATGTCACTGAAAAATTATGTAAAGTGACAATAAAGGTGCAAAATAAACAATATATCAGTCTGTGTTGTCATGTAATGCATTTAGTCTGTTTACCTCTACTAATAAAAAAGAAACCCTTTAAAACACATGAAAATAAGACACCCTGTATAGTAAACGAGAAAAAAATTATTAAAAAATCTGTTCTTATTAAAATAAATTTATATTTCAAAAAATCAACACTTTACAGACAAAAAAAACTTAACAGTTCGTTAATAAATTATACAAAAAAATATACAAACTACACGTCGATAAAAAATATATAAAATTACACTAAAATGTATTTTCTTTAAAAAAATAGGAAAATTGAGTGAAATGAGACTTAAAACTAATTCAGTGGTAGGCTTTCGTGCAACCATTGTCTTCCACCTTCTTCGGAAAAGTCAGAAGCGGCGTGATCGGTACCATGGAGTACCCATTTGGTGGTGAGAAGTCCTTCGACGCCTACTGGACCTCTGGCATGGATTCGGGCAGTGCTAATACCAACCTCGGCACCTAAAAGTATCAGTAGTTTAGCTACTTTATTTTTCATACCTTAACTCAGTTTTAATCTTTTTATCCAAAGATTACAACTATCTCTATTTATTTCTTATTTCTATGAAAAAAACATACCTAAACCAAACCGGAATCCATCAGCAAACCTTGAACTGGCATTGTGGAACACGCACGCGCTGTCAACTCGTTTTTGGAAGTCTTCAGCTCTATGATCTGCAAATAAAATATATATTTTTACAAAAAAGATCCATAGAGACTAATTAGGAAATATTGTTTAATTTTTTTAACACCTGGTATACTTAAAATTGAAGCTTTTTGGAGATTCTCAAAATTTATGCATTATTTTTTTTTAAATTTTCAAAGTTATAATAACTAAAAAATTGTAAAATAAAAAATATATGTCTCTCATCAGATCTACAAGCCCTTAAAATATGTGCACTCATTTAAAAAGCACCCTCTATATAAAACCTAGCCAATTTTCTTTTCAAAAAAACTGCTAATCTTTTCAGAAACAAACCCAAGCTGTTATAAAGAAACCAATTATTTTGTTACTTACTGTTTTCAGTGACAATGACATCAGTATGTCCACTGCCGTACGTGTGAATATGGTCAATAGCAGCGTCCAAATCTTTAACAACCTCAATACAGCATTCCAATGCTCCATACTCGTGTTTCAAGCTCTTTGCCAAGGGTGGACCGAATGTAAGCACTTGATTTAATGCTGGACCTGATAATAAAAAATTAAAAACTATTAATCTAGTCCAAAACAGATTTTTTTTACTGATTTGGGCATTTTTTTGGTCCAAATGCATTTAGAAACTAGGGATGTACAACAGGGTCGATACCAGTACATATCGATTCTATTTAAAGTAGCGTACATCCCTAATAACAACTCACTTGATCGACTTGAAATGTTTGGACGAGTTTGAAAAAGCTCCTGAAACCAGTTTGTTACAAATTCGAAGACATACCGAGCACTATTTTTAATTTTATACGAAATCTTTGACTGTTGTATCAATATAATATTGGGATCGATAGATACTACCAAAAAAAAAAGTCCATATCAAAACTCCAACAGCGAAAAAAAAACATTTTTAACTAACCTGAATATATTTTGACACCTTCCTTCTTCAAAACATTACATACATCAGAGAAGAAGTCAGTGTTCATCAGATCTTCGTGAATAAGAAGTGTTTCCATGGCATTACATGCTGCGGGATAGTCACATTTAGCATCTCTGATGATTTTGAGGGCTTTCTTCAAATCGGCCTCTTTATCAACAAACACATGGCAAATACCTAAACAAAAATACTTATTAACAATACTTGTATAAGTAGATGAATTAGAAACACTTCATACCTTCGGCATGTCCCATGACAGGTATGTGTTGAGATTGCGCTTGTATACTCCTGACAAGATCACTGGAACCTCTTGGGATGATCAGATCGATGTGTTGTTCCATGGTGAGCAAATCGCCAATTTCTTCTCTTGTTGAAACCTACAAAAAAATTAATTAAAATTGATCTATATAATTGGTAATGTTGATATGTACCAAAGAAATTGCATTGGCAGCTCCAATAGTGCTGAGCGCTTCCTTTACCAACTCCATAAGTGCTCTGTTGCTGTGAGCAGCCTCTTTACCTCCTAGTTTTACAAGAAAGTTGTTAATATATGTGTTTAAGATGTCAGATTATTAAAAACCTTTAAGAAGAAGTCCATTTCCTGAAGCAATAGCTAGGGCAGCTACCTGGGGTAGACTGTCAGGTCTTGACTCAAAAATAACCAAAAGAACTCCGATAGGAACAGTGATTTGTTTTAACTCTAAACCATCAGCTAGCCTAAAAAGAAATTCATGATTTTTTTCTTCTATACAGGAGTGATTCACAGCGTTAGACTTGTATGAAGAACCGATGTGATGGGATTTGACGGTTTATATCCATGTTGTTACTCACCTAGTCCTTCTCAGCACTCTGCCAACATTATTATGACTGGAGTCAGCAATTTGTTTCAATCCTACAGCTAAATTCTTAAGTTTAGACGGTGTGAGCGATAATCGAGACAGCAGAGGTTTTGCCAGGCCGGATTGGCTAGCTTCTTGGAGATCTTTTTGGTTGGCGTCCAAGATTTGAGACTGTTTGGACACCAATAACTCGGCTAAAGTGTGGACGCAGGAAGCTCTTTGGTCTGGGGTCAGTGTTTGAAGAAGTCTTCCACCAATACGTGCTAAAGAACGGAAAATTTTGTTAAAAATAATTAAAATTTAGTTGTAGACAATGATTCAGTATTAATACTAAAAGAATTTCGGACTTCCATTGTTTTCTTACCATTTTCAGCAATGATTTCTGTGGGGACGCTTCCAACATTGGCCGAGTCAGTAAAGAAGGTTCCTATCTTTCTTCCAGAAAGGATTGTTTTGATGGCTTCCTTTGCCATACCGTTGCATATGACCACAGATACTCCTGATAAAAAAAACAATTATTTGTGTTAATAATATAATAATAATTACTAAAAACCAATAATTGCTCGTGAGACATAGATAATTTTATTTCTTACTGAATTTAATATACAGGGTTGCTGTTATGTATGGAAACGGTCGATTATTAGTTAAAATATAGGAGGTACCGCAAAAAGTTAAATATAAAAGTTATAGGGTTTATAAATATCTATTGGCGGGTAATAAATTTAAGTAATTTCGTTTAATATTGTTACTCAAAATCTCTATTGTATTTCATGATTGTTAACTACAAAAAGCTGAGAAAATGATAGCATCTTAATTTCCTCCAATAATGTCCCAACTCAGTAAGAAATAAATGTATTTTCTGACCTCTATCCAATGCCCAGATGGCACTGTTGACCTTGGAGTCCATGCCGCCAGTGCCTACTTTGCTCTTCTGTCCAAACTCGATGGTTTGTCTCTGTTCGGATGAGAAAGTGTGCAAGAATCTCGCGCCGGGTTCCCATGGAGGTTTGTTGTAGATGCCGTCAACGTCGGACATCAAAATCAAGAGATCTGATTGGACTTCGGCAGCCAACATGGCGGCCAGGGAGTCGTTGTCTTTGAGTGAGATGCCTCTTTTACCAGGCTTGGCTAGAAAAATCAAAATAATTTTATTATCATTGAATAAAATATCAAAGGAGTCTGACTGATTTTTTTACACACGAGAAGTCATGAGAAGTTAAAAAAAAGTCGAAAAATTGTCCATTTTTTGCCATTTTTTTAACTGTTTTTGAGACTCTTAAAAAAATAGTAAACCTGGTCATAAAATTTTGAAAATTTCAGAAAACGTAGGAAATTTTATGTACTTTTTGAAAATATAACACTCTATTTCATTAAAATTGAGGACTTGATCAAAATCATCAATTTTCATGACTATATGCACGGAAAAAAGTTGAAAAATTGTCCATTTTTTAACTGTTTTTGAGGCTCTTAGAAAAATAGTAAATATGGCTATAAAATTTTGAAAATTTCAGAGTTTGTAGGAAATTTTATGTACTTTTTGAAAATATAACACTCTATTTCATTAAAATTGAGGACTTGATCAAAATCATCAATTTTCATGACTATATGGACGGAAAAAAGTTAAAAATGGTCAATTTTTTAACTGTTTTTGAAGCTCTTAGAAAAATAGTAAACATGGTTATAAAATTCTGAAAATTTCAAAGTTTGTAGGAAATTTTATGTACTTTTTGAAAATATAACATTCTATTTCATTAAAATTGAGGGCTTGATCAAAATCATCAATTTTCATGACTTTATGCACGGAAAAAAGTTGAATAATTGTCCATTTTTTAACTGTTTTTGAGGCTCTTAGAAAAATAGTAAACATGGTTATAAAATTTTGAAAATTTCAGAGTTTGTAGAAAATTTTATGTACTTTTTGAAAATATAACGCTCTATTTCATTAAAATTGAGGACTTGATCAAAATCATCAATTTTCATGACTATATGCACGGAAAAAAGTTAAAAAATTGTCCATTTTTTTAACTCTTTTTGACGCTCTTAGAATAATAGTAAACGTGGTTGTAAAATTCTGAAAATTTCAGAGTTTGTAGGAAATTTTATGTACTTTTTGAAAATATAACGCTCTATTTCATTAAAATTGAGGACTTGATCAAAATCATCAATTTTCATGACTATATGCACGGAAAAAAGTTAAAAAATTGTCCATTTTTTTAACTCTTTTTGACGCTCTTAGAATAATAGTAAACGTGGTTGTAAAATTCTGAAAATTTCAGAGTTTGTAGGAAATTTTATGTACTTTTTGAAAATATAAAAATATTAAGGCTTAAATACTTCGTTTTCCTAATAAAATCGATTTTTTCGACCCTTGTCTTGAAAAAAAATTTGGAGTAGTAAGAAAAAATTGTAATAAATATTTTTATTGTAATACTGATTACTGTACCAGTACTACGGACTGTATACTGAAAACAATGTCTTAAATGAACTAAAAATGTTATTATGTTGAGGCGGGGTAATAAAAACTTTTTGGGGTTCATTTTACCTCCTATGGGTTCATCAATTTGTGGAGGAGGCGATACAGCATCATTTGTGTTGATGATTGGAACGATATTCAAGCTGATCAGCTCGGAAAGAGTACTGATCAAGTTTCTTCTTGTCTCTTCGTTGTAAAAATCTGCCTTGGTGACCAAAACCTGTGCGATTTTGACACCGTACTGTGAAAACATGGCGTCGTACAACGACATAAGTCCTGACTGACCTACAGCGGCTGCTGCCCTGGGTTCCAACATCCTTGGTGCTTCCTACAATTAACGAAATACATATTTTAAGATCAAGTACATTTGCCGTGTTCTAAACTTGAGATTTTTTGTATCTATAACTATTTTACCTCTCTAGTGTGATCCGTAGGTGATAAGGTCTCCCTTAAAGACAGTGACATCAGCAATTCCTGAGTCAATTTTTGTTTTCCAAAAGCTACGGCACCACTGGTTACCATAATACACTCCCTTCCTTCGTTTTGGCATTCTGCTACCTGAAAAATATCAGAATTATAACAAAGATTGTTAGTTTTTTCTAGGAATAGTTCGTACTTGTTCAACAATTGATGCCAAGCGTCCCAATGCTAAACCATGTTCGTCTTCTCTAGTGATTACAGCACTGCCCAGCTTAACAACGAGTCTTCTGGCGTATTTCAGCTGGCTTCTGTCTGTGAATGTGTTTTCCCTTTTTTCTTGTAGGCCTACCGATGACAAATTTGCCTGTAAACAAAAAGTATAAAAAATTATTCGAGGATTATTTAAAAAAATATTTTTCTCATGCTTATGTGTCTAAATATCTTGAACACGCTCTATGTAGGATTTTTTTTGAAATTTTATCTCGTTCTTTAAGCCTACAATTTCAAAACAACCGTTTTTTAAATTCACCCTTTCAGTGCCCCTAACTCCCTTAATATGTATTTTCCGCCCTATACTTATAGGAACTTTTTTTACTATTTTTAGGAGTACTATCACCCCCCGATTTTTTTACACCATTTCAATGACACCCTGTATAAAAATGCTTGCTATTCTTTTATTTAATTTTCAATAACAAACACAGAGACAAATTGCAACAAAATATCAAATTTCCTGTTGAAATTATTAAAACAAACAAAAACTCCAGATTGGTTATTTGTTATTTTTCAATTTATTAAAAAATATTGATAGAAAAACTCAAAAAAAAATCTTTCAACTCTAAAAAATACCGCCAAACTAACTATCTGTGATACTTTGGCAAAAACAAACGATTAGCGAATACTTTTTTGTATCTATTTATTTTGTTTATAGTATATATCTGCAAGAGAAAAGGAATAACAACCTTATGACGACCAGTTCGTTAATGTTGTTTATTGATTGCATATTTTTTCAACGCCAAAGTACATTCTGATTAGGCATATCTTCTGCAATTATTGTGCTTTGGACTGCGGACGAAAATTTGTTTTGGTTCCTCTATATAGCCGGTATATTTTGTTGTTTTGGTTCATATATTAGAGATTTTGACCAAAAAATGTGACTAAACTTTCTTCTCAAATAGTTTTTTTGGGATATTTAATCCTATTATGTTTGTCCCTATATCTTGGACCCAGTCTGCTATCTCTATACCCTGCAGTAGCTTGTACAGTACATACAATCTTTTTGTACAAGCCATGCATAATTTACCTTCGCCGCCACACAGTACATGCATGCTTGAACAAGCTTCGGTTTATGCCGCGAAAAAGAAGAAGAAAGTCCGAAGAAAAAGAAGAAGGAAGTCCGCGGAACAGAAGAAGGAATCCTGAAGGCATTTTTATCTTTTTAATAACGGCATCCTTATCGGCTTGGCTGTCAATTAATCTATACTTATTAAGTAAAATTTTGTATGCTGCATCTTCACCCTATCATGATATTCTGGTGATTTAATTCGCCAAAGACACGGCTGATTGCTTGTCAGGGTTGCAGTAGTGTGTGTAGCCACCTTTACCGTCTACAAGCTCAACGTAAAGCAGAGATTTGGGTATGCGGTTTTCTAGCATTCTGCATACGTGACCAGGTACATCTTAAGCGGGATTTTGTAACCATGACTCCAATACTCTCGCAGCTAGTTTTTTCAAGGACCGATACTTTTGAGACATGGTGGAACCATTTGACCATTGTGTAACCACGGCATATAAATCACACGGCAGGCTAACTCTCTTTGGCGGGAACGCTACGCGCATACCGTCGCGCACGCCGCCATTAGGGTTTCCATCAACAGAAAGTAACCAGTGTCGTAGTTTCTTTCATCGACTGCGCACACTTTCGGCTGATTCGAGTCAGTAGCGTACGGATTAATTTATTTTGCTTATTTCTTGAGTTATATTTTAGAGTTGTTGTTTTATTTTTGTTTATTGTGTTATATATTTGGTTTTTCTAGTTTATTTTCGTTTCTTGTGTTATATAATTAATTTTTGTTTTTCTGAACATTTTTAAATCGTTAATTTTACGTGTTTTTAAAATGCCTGGGCGAAGTTGTGCAGCAAAAAACTGCCCGAGTAGAGGACTAAACTGCAATAAAAGTTTCTTTCTGTTTCCTAGAGATCCGATTAGGTATGTATATACATATGTGATTAATTATTTTAATATATTTTAGTTAAGAAAACAGTAGTATACATATTAGGACATTCAGCTAAATAGGAAGATCTAATTAAAAATCTTAACAAACTTTAATATTAGTAAGATTTAATGTTAAATATTTAGTAAAATAAAATGTAATGTTGTATCTAGAATCTAGACATTAAAAATTAAATTTAAAAATCATTATATTATTCATTTAAATATAATTAAAAAAATAAATAAAATGAGTATATCGAAAATAAGTTAACAATACATTTTTAGGGCAAGAACATGGGCAATTGCAGCTAACGGAGAAGACTTGATTGAAGATATAAATAAGGCCCACAAGTACAGGTTGTGTTCTTTTCACTTTGAATTTAAAATGTTTACCAATTCACTTTGTAACCGTATAAAATACAATGCGGTACCTACTTTGTTTCCTGCCATAAAAAAAATAGAAGTTTCTCAAAAAAAATTGCGGATTTATTAATTTGTGAAATTTGAATATTAATAAAATTTGCTACGCCCATTGATGGGCATAATTTGTACGTAGCCTCTTTATATTGTTCAATAAATATTTTATTGGTATTTTTTTAATTCTTGTTGTAACTCCTGGCATGTTTTTGTTAGTTGCATGTTTTTTAATTTTAATTGTCTATTCTCTACAGTGAAATATTTAATTGATTTTTTCATTTTTACTTTTCGAGAAGTATGCGCGGTTAACGATTCATTTGTTTGGACAAAAGTATTGTAAATAAAATTCAGTTTCAGTCAATTACAGTATTTTTTTAATACGACCCTGTCGTATTATCTGAGAAATTTTTTAATACGTTTTAATCCGGCCCTGACTAGGAAACCATAATGGCGCCGACAAGGTCAAATTTTATAGAAATTTTAAACAATGGAATTTGAGTAGAGTTGGCGTGCCGATTGTTTTATGTGCCGTGGTGTAACTATTGACTTCGCTGTAAAATCAACAGGAAAGCCAATATTCGGACATCAGTTCAAAATTTGCATAGCATTTCTCTATGTACTATGTTTCCAACGACCATGCACCACCCGGTATATATTTAAACAAAAATAAATGAAAATTTCATACATATCATATCTTTCTTTAATTTTTAAACATTCCATGATATTTTTTAGCTTGCTAGTTACTACGATGGGACATTTTGATTATAGATCTCGGTTCTGTAACACTGTATTTGTTAAATTAAATCATTTAATCAATACTTTTGAATGAAAACTAGTTATTAGTACGCGATATGATTTGCTGAGGTCAAGGATTCAACAATATAAACCATGTTTATCCGTATCTATGAAACTTTGTACAGTTTACTTAATTTTTTTTATTTTTCGGAACTAACATTGAAAATGCTCATTACAAAATCCATTCAGAATAAACACACAGCCAAAAAAAATTATATTATTATTAATAATTCTCTTGTAATCTTGGCATTTCGAAAAAATTATCAGGTTTTTTTCCAATCTATGTTTTGGCGGGCTCATCACTTATTTACTTCATGTTTGGGGTACTTTAAAAAATCATTCATTAAATTTATTTTAACAAAATATACGTGGAAGTGTTTCCTTTATATACAAACTTATCTTAAAATTCATTTTTATTCTATAACCATTAAATTTAGCACATTAATTGTGAATTATTTTGAGAAAACAATAAACAGAAAACATTTTTATAAAGTTCCGTAAGTTCTTAAGAGCATTTCTTGTTTTTACTGAAAAATAATGACAATTAGAAATTATTCAGTTTTTTTTGTTAAAAGTTTGGACATATCAAAAAATATGTTACTATCTTTTTTAATAAAAAAAATTTCTATGCTAAAAATATTACTATTTGATTAAAAGTAAATAGAGTGGGTAAATAAAATGTTCTAAAAATAGTATTTCGTTTAAATAGTGATGGTGGAAGTATGTTATATGGACTGAATTTCTGTTATAATTGAAGAAGTTTTTTATTTTTCTAGTTTATGGAAATCATTAATAAAAAAATGACAGAAAAAATTCAATATCATTTCAATATACAGGGTTGTTCACCACATACGACACAGAGTATTGTAGCGAAACGATTAGATTTTTACAAATTGTAAGTTTTGGGTTCGATGAAGGACTATTAGAGCTACAATTTAAAAATAATTTTACAAGATACAGAGTGTCCCAAACAAGTAAAAAATATCAAAGTTGTATTTTTTTAAATGGAACACCCTGTATATTATTACATTTTTAGTTTCTACGATTAAAATAAAGGTAAATTTGATTAAGGTTTATTACACTAAAATCTTACCGTTTTTGAAATATTTTCAATTTTGTGAAATTGCAGTAAAAATTTTAAGGCTTCATTTGTCCAAGGGTATCAAAGATTTTAATACGAAATATTTACTGAAGTTTATTTATTGATCAGTTATTGTGTTGCAATAATAAAAATAATACTACCTTATACAGAGTGTCTCATAATTTATTTTAAATAATTTCTAGCTTTAAACGCCAATAACTCCTTTAATTTAAATGGAACGTCCTGTATATTTTAGGAGAATCAGATGCACAATTTAATTGTCTATCAAATCGTATTTTACTATTTTTTATCTATCCCTTCAAGTTTTCGCAGAAAATGCATTTTCTTATAATTTAGATCTCATTTATCAATATACCCATGGAATATTGACATTTTAGATTGTTTATAAAGCAACAAATGTACAAAATGTACAGACTAGTAATATTATCGTTTTTAGCAAAATGATAATATTACTAGCCCATTTGTATGCAAAAAGAAAACTATTTAAATCTTTATAAAAGAGTATACCATTAATTAAATATAACACCATTATTTCCGCCCATATACTAATTAATTACATACTTAATTGTGTTCGTTAATAAATTATTCTAAATAAATGTGGATTTGAGTCAGAAATCAATATAATAATAAGTTATCAAAATGAACGTCTCTGTTGTTATAAATAAGCATTTATTAAAAAATGAAATATAATTTTTAAGGTGTTACTTTTTACCACACTGTCTAATACACATACAAAACTCAGTTTTTTAGTATTTGGGGCAATTATTATTAATCAACGCAAACAGTCAGTTAATGTAGTTTGAATACTGGAATCATATTAATTGGTCTTCTTTAACAAATATTTAAATAGTTTTTTTTTTATTTTTTAAATCTTTAAAAAATCTATCTTTAAAAATAATCTAAAATGTCAATATTCCATGGGTATATTGATAAATAAGTTCTAAATTACAAGAAAACGCATTTTCTACGGAAACTTAAAGAGATAAGTAAAAAATGGTATAACACAATTTGATAGACAATTAAATTGTGCATCTGATATACCTAAAATATACAGGGCGTTCTATTTAAATTAAAGAAGTTATTGGCGTTTAAAGCTAGAAATTATTTAAAATAAATTTTTAGACACTCTGTATAAGGTAGCATTATTTTTATTATTGCAACACAATAACTGATCAATAAATAAACTTCAGTAAATATTTAGTATTAAAAACTTTGATACCCTTGGAGAAATAAAGCCTTAAAATTTTTGCTGCAATTTCACGAAATTGAAAATATTTAAAAAACGGTAAGGTGTAAGTGTAATAAACCTTAATCAAATTTACCTTTATTTTAATCGTAGAATCTAAAAATGTAATAATATACAGGGTGTTCCATTTAAAAAAATACAACTTTGATATTTTTTACTTATTTGGGACACTCTATATCTTGTAAAATTATTTTTAAATTGTACCTCTAATAGTCCTTCATCGAACCCAAAATTTAAAATTTGTAAAAATGTCATCGTTTAGCTACACTACTCCGTGTCGTATGTGGTGAACAACCCTGTATACTTTTTTCAATATTTCCAAAGAATCAGACATCTAAAATACAAAATATTTGATATAATATCTATACGATTTTTTATTAATAAATATAGAGCAAGTCTTTTATATAGGGTGTTTCGGAAAGCAGTGCAAATATTTTAACTGAAATAAGTCAATGAGCTTTTTCAAGTCTGGATATTTCACAGAAATCCTTTTGATATCAGAAAAAATATACAGCAAAATTTATACAAAATGTTGATTTGTTAAGACTTATAATTTATAATTGTAAAAGTACGATGTGTTTTTAGTATAAAAATGTATATTATTCCATAAAAAAATTACCAGAAATTAAAAAACCAAGAAAAATACATATAACTATGCATTCATGATATTGTAGTAGAATATATTTCCCCCTTTAAGTCAAATACTTCATAAAAATATATTATTTTGAGAAAAATATACAAAATTTGACAAAAAAATGCAATTTTCTGCATTATTCTTCGTACTTCTTGTATGGTACTATACAGGGTAAGTCTTAAATAAGTGCAAATATTTTCAGGGCTGGCAGACCTCGATAAAAGAAACATATATTTTCTCTTTACCGTTTTTCAAATAAGTCTAAAATAACCAAGCTATTTTACTTTAAAAATATCGAAAAAAAAATTTTTTTTCGCTTAAATTTTGAGAACCACTGGGTCTTTTCTGGGATTCTTTCTTGTAAATTTAATCTACTATCTATGTTGCTATATTATGACGATATTATGTTTTTTAACTAAAAAATAAAAAAAACTAAAAAATTCCAAGTTTTATTAAGATCGACAAAAAAAAAGTTTTTTTAATTTCACTCAAAACTCAAAATGGGTTATTTGGGTCATAAATGACCTAAATACAAAATATTTTCATGGTGTTTGTCTGTCTGTCCGTCTGTAACACGATAACTTTAAAAACAGCTAAACCGATTGTAACCAAATTTGGCACAGAAATACTGTGGCACCCGAGAATCTTTCCATTAGTTTTTGGTGGGGTTGGGGGGTTGGTAAGGGGGTATGGGAGGGGGTTAAAAATTTAAAAAAATTGTAACTACAAAATTACAGTAGCTAGCGAAATGAGGTTTTCAATTTAAGTTTAGGAATAATATTTGCAACAAAATTTGTAATAACATCAAAATCAGTCAAAGTCGCAGTTTTTGAGATATTCCGTGTTTCCGTAGTCCGTTTTTGGGAAAATCCGTGTGGAGAACTCCAAAGTCCCATCGGACGCGACCCCAGGTGGCGGATAGGGGCAATAACCGAGGACCAAAATTGGAAAAATTCCTTTACTTTGAAACTAAAAGAACTGCCTACCAACTTTTTATTAACATATTTTAGTATGGGCGGCTATACGTGCCTCCCGGCGCCAATTTTTTTGAAAAAAACATCGTAGATGTGTTTCTGAGGTCGAAATATACTACCCTAAAAATATTTGCACTTATTTAACACTCACCCTGTATAATTATAAAATAAAATAGAAAAAAAATATAATTTTGAAGCTTATTGACGATTTTTATCTTATGGTACTACAATAACTCTATCCCTACCTGTGTTATCCTGGGTACCCACAGTCTAGGGGTCGTACTGGCCCTCCTATAAACTTGACTGGCCACCGGCCTCAAAGCTGCAACCCTGAGGAAACCCACCCCATCCCTGAGGATGGTACGCGTGACGCGTGACGTCAATACATTCTTAGCCAGCATGGTGACCGTTTATTTGTGGTGTTTAGTCGTTGGCGAGCAGTACCTCGACTGAGCGGTACTTATCTTTGTGCATTTCGATATGTTCGATAGAAGCTTGAAGAGGAATCGCTATCAGAAGGCTGATAAGAAGGCCCTGATTAGTTATTGTAATGGATCAGCGATGTTAGAATTAATATAGAGCGTTTAAAGTACATGGTACTGCAACAGTACGTAGTACAGAGGAAGATCTTTAATATTGTTAAGTTACCTTAGATGCGCTCGACAGAACATTACGGAAATTTGAGGAGAATAAGTTATGTAAATGAAATGCTAAATTTGTAAATAGCCCTACTTATTTTGTGCCGTACTCTCTAGAAGAGCACGGCAGAGAAACCCTTGATCACCCTTTTTATGCTGCTCTGAACTTTAATAAAAGAGAAATAACAATAATACAGAAACTGTCTTCATACCAAGGTTTGTAGTATAAGATACTAGCGTGTACCCGCGACTTCATTCGCGTCGAATTAATCATTTGTAATGGTGATGATAAAGCAAAGCAAGAATTTCCATACACATATACAAACTGGATAAAATGTTCTCATATTTATGTCAGCATGAGAAAAAACAATATGGCGATATTACTGTATAACTTGGTAATATTTGAGAGGTAGTGGGAATTTGACTTTCGAAAAATCCGTTTGTCAAAAATAAGCTTTTTACAACAAGCCGTTTAAGCAGAATCGTGGTTAATCCATTACACAACTTTTTTGGAACACCCTGTATGATTTTTAAAAAATTTCAAAATATGTAAAAAACAAAATAAATTATGTGTGTCCAAGCGTTTTCCCGAAAGACTAACCGTTTTTTAAATATAACAAATATTGTAATATTTGAGGGGCGTTTTCACCCTCTTGGAATTTGAGATTCGAGAAACCCCTCCTTATCGAACATCTACACCCCACAGTCAATCCGTTTGCCAAAAATCAGCTTTAAACGTCAAGCAGTTTAAGCAGAATCGTGATTACCCAATGGTTATATTTTATGGAACGCCCTGTACAAATTTTTAAAAATTTTTAAAATATATGTAAAACAACAAAATAAAATATACGTGTTTAAGAGTTTTTCCGAAAAACTCACCGGTTTTTAAATAAAAAAATATTTTAATATTTGAGGGGTGCTTTCATCCCCTTAGAATTCGAGTTTCGAAAAATCCCTTCTTATCGAACATCTACACCCTAAAGTCAATGCGTTTTCCAAAAATCAGCTTTTTACGTCAAGCGCTTTAAGCAGGATCGTGATTAATCAATGAGCAGATTTTTCGAGACACCCTGTATACATTTTTAAAAAATCTTAAAATATGTAAAAAAACAAAATAAAATATACGTGTTTAAGCGTTTTTTTTCGGAAACTTGACCGTTTTTTAAATAAAAAATATTGTAATATTTGAGGGGTGGTTTCACCCTCTTGGCACTGGAATTTCGAAAAATCCCTTCTTATCGAACCTCCACACCCTAGAATCAACCTGTATGCCAAAATTGAGCTTCTTACGTTGAGTGGTTTGAGCAGGATCGTGATTAATCAGTGAGTCACTTAACGATTTTATTTATTAGTATAGATTCGCCCAGTTACGGTCGAAAATGTTAGTACCTACACTCAACAAGGCCCTTATTGTCACACTGCACCAAAAATATCGGCACGAATGGACAGTAAACGATTGTCTTTAGATTTACTTTTAAACTGAAATTATTCACAGCATAATCGATTCCATTAAATATAGAAAAATATTATATAATATAATTCTCCGATGAAATGAATAAGGAGAAGCTTTAGCACAGAGTATTACAACAAGAAAATAAGCTATATACTTTATATAGTTATTAACACTAGTGAAATAATGAGAAAACCTTTACTGTACCTTTAATAACATTCTTTCTCACAATGACTAAACTTACAAACCAAAATAACATCAGTGTGTCTCGAACAGTAGACTCAAAAACTATTACCTAACACCTATCATCTCTATTCGTTGTCTGATTTCCCTCTCCCTAGTTTACGAATAATATTTTAAAAATCAATAATTATTTATGTATACAGAGTGTCTTACAACTGACTGTATTGAATTTAAAGAAATATGTTTATTTTTAAATAGGTCTGAGTATATTTCATGCTTTTCATTACTTTTAATTTACCCTTTAAAGTAAATAAGTCGTCAGAAGACACTCAAAACAGACAAAATTAAATTGACAGACGTAAAATGATTAGGTGACTTAGCAAAAATTTGATTTTATTGAGTTTGACTTAAATATAAACTTGTGAACTGCGATTTATTTGTTTTAATGTCTATGGGATTAAAAGACAATCTGAGCTGTTTTTGATGCTTTTGAGTATGTTTACATCGTCATCTAGTAGTCTGGAAAAGGTTTTAAACCTTCTAAACACTTATGTACAGTACGTCTGTTCGTTCTGTAGCTATGGGGTATCCGTGAGAGGGAAAACGATATTCTCTCGATGATTTTCGTAAAAAAATACACGACGCGTCCCATCAATAAAAATTCGACAAATTTGCAAATAGCCAATAAAATGAGTGGGCGGAGCGATTTGCGGTGACGTACTCGTCAAGTCGACGTATAAAATATATTGCTGTTTATTTAAATGTTTTTTGTCCGCATTCCTTTCATAGACACAGATCCAGCAGATGTACTGTAAATTAACGTATGTTAAAAATAATTATTAGCATTGCTAGACACTTCAAAAATGCACTACTAAAATACGAAGTTCTATTTATGAAAGAGTTTACTTCCTGATACGTTTCTGGCTTTCTCACTTTATTTTTATTTTATTTTTATCAATTTACTTGTAATAAGTTACAGAAAATGTTTAAACAAGGAAAGTAAACATAAAAACGAAAACATTTTGTCATAGCATGTTAATTAAATAATCAAATTCACGCGGTACTCGACAAAAGTACTTATTTTATCTTTTTCGGTATCATTTAATCAAACCCCCTTCAACGATATTTTCACAGAAATATTTCAGTTCAGTAGGCTACTTCAAATCATTTATGTACCGACACTGAAAAAAAAGAACAAAAAATGTAACTAAAAAATGTATATGTGGCAGGCGTATCGAATAACTCGGCATTTTGCAAAAAGACTAGACATATTATAAAACTACGGCGTTTTTAACAAAAGAAGGATATTTTAAAAAGAGCCTATCTGTTTTCAGTCGCTTTGCAAAATGTCTAAAGAAGACTAGTCAGATTGCACAAAACATTTTACGCGGGAATGGTATAACTACCCTAAATCTATCCAATGACATTTCTTGAACTTCTCTTTCAAAATTTGGAAATAATGGCACAAAAAGTAATAATTCTGTTAAATAGGGTATGGTTGAGGATGATTATTATAAAGATCTAAATTCATTTTATTCTAAAAGAAAGCAAAGTTCCACAAAGAAGCAGCCCTGTAAGTACACAGAATCGAATTACAGAGTATAATAATTAAATGAGATATTAATATTAAGGTTTTAATATATTTTGTATTTAAAATTATGTTATTTATAATTAAAATTTATGAAATAAGATTCAAGTTGTTTTCGTCTAAACACAATAAAATTTTGACATTGATAATTAAATTAATTATTTTTTTGTATAGCAAAATATGGGGTATTTTTATTAAAACGTAAATTATTCTTTTTAATTATAACTTTAATAATTTTTAAATCTGCCTGACCTCGATTCTCGATTTGGCATTTTATAAAATGACTGAAAACAGGCAGTCTTTTTTCAGAAGCGTACAGAAAATATCATCATTGTTTAATACGCCTAATTCTGATTAGGCTTTTTGCAAAATGACGTAGAAATGTACGGATAAGTTATTCCACTTAAAAATAGCATACAAAATAGGGAAACAGACGAATATAAACAGAAGCATTCTTTAAAATCGGACATTAAATAATTTGGTTAAAGTAAATAAACAGATAAGAAATTTGCTAATTAGTTACCCTTGTAGGAAACATCAAATAAACGTCAGTATAATAAACAAAAATATTAAAATATTTGCAAAATAGACTTTGAAAAGACTGACTACGTTTACAGCGACATTGTCGTTGACCAAAATAATATAATTTGGCTATACAGAGTGATTTTTTAATAAATGTATTATTTTGACTTCAAAAAAAAGTGTAAGGAATTTTTTTAGGGTTCATTCTTTAAAAAATTCTTGACAGTATGTCCGTGCATTTCAATGTTGCCACCTCCCAAGGACTGTATATATTCTAAAGGACTGTTCGATCGCGTCAAATCGCCGCTGTCGTAGTCGCCGTGGAATGCTACGTCACGCGCTGACCAGCGCTCCACAGTGCGGCGGATGGTTATTCTAGCGGGACAAAATCTCAAGAGCAATGTTTGGGACTTAAAATCTAAGAACGTAGCAAATGGTATAATATATAGCAACTAATGGTTAAATTTATTTATTTATTAACAACTTAATTTATTAATAAATAAATACAAGATAATAAAACTATGATATTATTCGTACATGATACACAAAAACCGTATTGTAAACTATTGCCAAATACATAAAATTATGATATCAAAAAACTCTTTAGCAGTTTTTTTTAAATTAATTTGTAATCTTGTGACACCCTCTATAATTTATTTTAAAAAAATATATTTTATTTTGAAAGTAATAAATAAGATAGATATTTTAATTTTAATTTTAACACTCGGTAATTGTAAATTCATATATAGTAAGTATCTAAGACAATTTTTTAAACTCAGTGCCTTTTGATGTAGTTGTTTTGTTTTTATACTATCCGATTGAAATGAATCTTTTTGGGCATTCACCTGTTAAGCTTGAACTCCCTGTGACTGTGACTACCTGTGTTGGTAACTATTGGTAACTCAAAAGATCTACATCATTCAATATATCGATATTTGAAAAAAAAGTGAAAGTTTGATATCTGCAGAACAAAGACACGAAGGATTTTAACAAATAATATACGTACAGAGAAAAGTACATACCTTTGGCAATCTTCAACATAATTTGGCTTTCTAACAAAATGTATAAGCACTTGTAAATATTTTGTTTTCGTATGAACTCTGCCTTGCTGAGCAGAAAACGACCAAATTTCGTTGATAAAAATGTATCGAAATACAAAGAATATTCATTCATTTTTGTATCAATTGGAATGTCTACTATTTATTCTTATCAGTACACATTTTTTGGCTTATTTCTAACCAAACATTTTTGTCCCGCTAAATTTATCTTCCAACGCACTGTGCGCTCGTCCGTCAAATGCAAAAATAACTGTCACTGTCTAAAATCTTTAGCGCCAACTTCAACTCGGTCAGTAGAAGACGTAAAAAAACTGACAGTGCAGGAAGATAGGAATCGAGCTATCCTTATCTCTATAGTATCCTTGGCCACCTCCTACATTAGCCACATTCTGAATATTTGTATATGTTTACAGGGTGTTTCAAAAAGCATGTGCTACCTCTTGTGGGGAGATTCCTTTTGTAAAAATAAGATTTTTTAAACACCAAATTAGACACTTTTAAAGGGAAACACCCTTTTCTATAGAAGATAGACGAAAACTAATATCGAGGCCTGGAGAAATTAAAACTTAATTAATTCATATTGAAATATAAAACTCCTCTAGATTTACTTATTTCTCTAAATCCCATTTTTTTTCGAAATTTGAACGTCACAAACCGTCTATTTCCGTCAATCTGGACCAAAAATAAACCTGGGGGCTCGTTTTATCACGTGCAGAAAACATCTGACGAAAACACCTAACGAAAATTATTTTTGGAAAAGAAAATGCTATACGTCACACAAGATTGAACAACTGTAGTGACACACACTGGCTTGCGAAGGTGACTTCTATAACTCCAGCGTCTGTTTCCCAATATTCCACAACGCCAAGTTCTTGTAAGGCATCTATTTAATTAACAAAACACATCGATTTGACAGAAAACCCCAATCTTAAAAGGAAAATACCCTTTTTTATATCCATTAGATAGATTAGAAGTCAGTGAAAGTGTACAGTGCTGTTGGACAACTAAATTCTTAGAATAATCCGTGAAAAATGCTCCCGAGCGTGATTTTAACCGTTCTAACCTCACTCTATCCAGTTATTTTGGCAGTACCTTTGCCAGAATTGGACCATGTTGATGGGGTGGTACTCAGAACGGTTCCAGTCGGTTCTACGGTGGTTTTGAAGTGCCTGAGCAATGATTACGAGCATATCTTTCAGTTCTGGCATTATCTTAACAAGGGAATAGTTATAGGACCTGGAAATGATTATGATTTAGCTAAATTTCGATATGAAGTACTCTCTGGGAACTTAACGATCAAGGTAAGACATGATTATTTGATTATAGCATACATTCATTCGAATCGCTAAAAGCACTTTGCAAAAAATTATAATGAATCAAAAAAATATGAAACTTTCACCCCTATTTATCTACTAAACTAAACAGAATCGGACCTATACAGTGCGCCCTCTACAACCAGAAGCCATATTGACATCAAAATCAAATTTCTCATGTCAAAAAAATCCCAAACACCAATTTTCATCCAAATATTGACGTTATTTCAGAAATTATTTGGAAAAAATCGAAAAAAAAAATTAAACTTCTACACCCTGTATCTCCGAAACTAAGCATTTTAGGACATACATTTATACGCACTTTTTTACTTATTTTTATCTGCAGAATATGCTGCCGAAGTTTCCGGAATACAGTTCGGACCACCCTGTATATTGATATAAAAAATAAATATTATTTTTACATAAGGAATCTCCCCTCGAGCGATAGCACATATTTTTTGAAACACCCTGTAAGGTTTCGATTACATGTTAAATTAGTATTTTGTGCATTTTAGGGTGTAACAAAACATGAGGAAGGTTCGTACGAATGTGTATCTAAGTCTATAACATCGAAGGAGGATATGAAAATAAGAGTGACACAAATGACAGTCCAAAACAATTGGGACGATCTATACGAACACGATTACAACGTATGTCCAACAAAATAAATGTTTGTTAGAAGTAATGAGTGAGACAATATGGGGTTGATATACAATAAAGCCATTTTGTTGAAATTCCATTTTGTCTTTATTTAATTTAACCAGAGATATTAGTACTGGATATGGCTGCAGGATTGCAAAACCTAATTTTTACGTCTATTTTTGAATAGGCAGGGGAATATTCTTTTAACAGGGTGCGAATCAAAAAACTGCCGCAAGGTTGCCAAGGTTCAAAACTTTTCCTACTACTTTATATGGAGCCGGCAACAATGCGTCGGGCATCTGTAGCTCCTGTAATAAAAAATTTAGGAATTTTGGATAAGTGCAATCCTAAAGAATGTATTAGCATGTATTTCAAAAAAATATGTTAACTTCTATGGGGTGGCTCAAAAAAATATAAGTGGATCGGGATGATTTTTTTTAAATGGAACACCCTGTATATTATTGCATTTTTCGTTTCCTTTCTGATCACTTTCCATAATTCTAAGATATTATTAAATATGTTTTTATAGTTTTAGAAATATTAATAAATAAATTTAAAAAATTGGTTTTTCAGCATTTTTAAAAAATATATTAAAAATACAAGAAATGTCCTGAAATCAAAACGTTTTTTAATTCTCCATCTAACAAAGAAATAATAACAGGGTGTCCCATTTAAAAAAAACGAAGGAAAACTATTTTATATTTTGGAAAGTACAGACCAACTATAGTAAATACCTGTACAGTTTTTATTTCAGGACATTTCTTATATTTTTATTTCTTTTATTTATTTATTAATATTTCTGAAACTATCAAAAAATATTTAATAATATCGTAGGATTATGTAAAATGATCATAAAGGAAGCGAAAAATGCAATAATATACAGGGTGTTCCATTTAAGAAAAATCATCTCAATCCACTTACTTTTTTTTAAGCCACCCTGTAGAAGTTAAAATATTTTCCTGAAATACATCCTAACCCATACTTTAGATATGCACTTATCTAAAATTCCTAAAAATATCTCTGGTTAAACACCAGAATATTATTTGAATTTTATTAAAATTCATAATTTTCAGATCAACGTCATACGAGTATTAATAGCATTAATAGCTGTAATACTTATCTCTATGGGTGCATGGTTCCTCTATGGCGTGTGGAGGGACAGATACAGATACCCACGATACCTAGGTAATCTTTTACAGTTCTTTACTTTACTTTTTTTGTATCGAATACATATTTTAATCATACAGAGCCCGACAATGACGAAGATGACGACGATGAAAGTACCGAGGAAATCTTCAGCAGACCGAGTACCTCAAAACAAGTCCAGCATATCATACCCATCCAAAAGAAGAAGGCCAGAGAGACTCCATTCGACGACATAGACATCAGCACGGACTTTAAAAGCATATTAGATAACACAAACGATAAATAAAGAACATGAAAATAAGTTTTATAGGAACAGAATCGAACTTTTGTGTTAAGTGTACGTTAGATTTGAAAGATAATTTGTTTAGAAGACACTAAATAATTCCGAACTAGTATTTTATTATTTATTGATTGATATTAAACTGTAAATATTTAGAAAGTTACATTAAAATGTTTTGCGTGTTTTTAAAAGTTCCCTCCGTAAAATAGTTCAGCGCGATTAGTTCAGATGGCGCTCACTAACATTCTTCTTTTTCAATTTGGAGGCGCTTACTAGCTTATAATAATATTGAACAAGCAAAGCGCCATAACATATAAGAGAAGAACAGTCCATTTTTGTTTTCAAGGCATTTTCAAGGGATTCGAGGTTTTTTTTTGTTAATCGACAAATTCAGCAGATTTAAAGAAGGTCATACGATTTTTACCAAGGTTTTACCATCTTTTTTTCACTTTCACATACTTTCACGTTCTCATTTTATATCCATCGCATCCAGCAACAGTACCTGCATATTTCTCTATAATTTTGTGTGCTCATTTCGAAGATATAATGGAGTCTCAAGCTGAGTAAGTATCGAAAAAGTAACCTTGTTATAAAGGGAGTTAACATATTTTCTCTGTTAGCATGGACAAGCAGATGTTGTGTCCTTACAACCTATCCCACAACGTCATGAGGCGTCGCATGGAACAGCATCTGGTGAAATGCAGGAGGCATTACAGGGAGGAGAGTGGCAATTTAACCACCTGCGACTTCAATGCTTGCCATCGTGTACCTGTTGTCGAGTTACAAGTAAACGTTTTTGAACTGATTTCCTGGCCAATTATTACATAGTATTTTTCAGTTTCATCACAGTATGTGCCCAGATCGAAAACATATTGAAATTCATGTAATGACAGAAGCTGCGCCTCAAACAGCTCCGATTGAAATCACTCCTGCAGGGTTCGTTCCAATCGACAACAGTTGGGATGATGTAAGTATACTTAAATATATACTTAAAATATCTTTGGGGGTGTATTTGTGTACCAATCTGATAGACCAAGTCATTTTTTCAAAAAATAAAGTATAGTTACAAATATCAATATAATATTATACCAGATATGTGTCTCATATGTGAGCCATTTCAATCAGAACTTGATTTATATTGTTAGAACTTGATATATATATATATATATATATATATATAACAATCGATCTCTATAACAGTAGATTGTTTGTTTACAGGTGATAATATTATATATTGACGTTTTAGTAATAAAGTCGTGAGAAGTTTAAATATTTAAATTGAATTTATTTCAAAAGGAATTTTGTAGAAGAGATAATAATATTGATGTTTTAGTCTAATCTCCAATCATACGATCCGGTGCAGTACTGCAATGACCACGCAGTCATTAGACGTCTGGACACCGGTTCTGCTGCGCAGAAACGGGAATTTCGGGATGCAGAGAGACAGAGGATTTCGAATCTCGCACAGCAACAAGCTAGGCCCAATGGGGCAGCTCTGTGCCCGGCTGTCAGACAGGGACATCAGGTAAGTTACTAGATATACTCTATTATTTAAGGGTCGGTTCCCGATAGTTAACTGAAGTTGTATATCGTTGACTGAAGGTCGTTGCGACCTGGTCGTCAGTGAGTTAGAGCCCACTCAACTATTCTTTACTTTATAGGATTTTTTATATTAAAAATTTTATTACAGCAGGCTCAAAAGATATCTTTGCCTCCTACGCCTAGATATAGGGCTGTGGACATGGAAGCGGCTCCGGAACAGATAAACAGGATGATTTCTAACTTGCAAACCATCCCCAAAGCTGCGGTAATCCCCAAAAAATAATCGCCCAGTACGTGTATAGTAAAATTGTTGTTCTGAAATTATCGTTTTTTAGTTTTTAAGTTGACTTAGACTATTACAAAAAGAGTCAATATCCAGTTTTTTATCTTCATGTTTTATTTTTGAGTAATTAGTTTTCAGAGTGAAAATCTCTGATATTATGTAGAATTTTTTTGGAATGTGTATAAAGATAAACATAATTTGCGAACATTAGATTTAAAAAAAATAGCATTAATCTTGATGAGTGATATAGAAAAAAAATTATTAGAGAGCATTATTATGGCCTCAAGTTATATTTTTATATAAAAAAATTATGGTTAACTTTATCTTACACTTTAACGTTTAGGGTATATGAGCAAACAATATTTTACTTAATTTTTACTAGTAGAGAGATTACTTAATTTTAAATTTGACTTCATTTATATTATTATATATTATGTTATATAACCCGTTTAATTTTAAACTTTCATATTATGTTTCTTGACCCAATTGGTGTTTTATGTGTTAAGCAACTTCTTTGCTCGAAATGTAGTACCCATATATAAGCAAACTTAACCCAAATATATATTATATTGTAATAAAAACTTATTTGTTTCATTTTTTCCCCTAGAAGAATAGTGCCCTGTATAGGTAATTTCATAAAAAAAATGAGATTTTAGCCACAAGATCATGTATATAATATGTAAGTCAGGAATGATCCAGAATATAAATAACCATATAATTTAATATTTAATGTTTAACTAATTTATACAGCGTTAAAAAATGTTGGGAAGGAAGAAAAACAAAGGTCTTCATTTTATTTCAATGCTTTTTCGGAGCAATTAACCTATAAAACTACATTTTTAATTTATAGGTTAATTGCTCCGAAAAATCGCTGCTACTTGTCACAGTGCTTTTATTGGAGCAGTCGCAGAGCGTAGCAGCTCCACAAAAATCGCAGACTGGCCCACCTCTACTTCGAATGACGCACGACAGCTGCCACTCTTCCGTACCTAACTTCACAAGGCCAGTTCCGCGGCAATTCGCGCCAAAATATTTAAATTTGAATACCATTAGACCATGAAAAAACTTATATTTATATCTTATACTATTCTACTAATACTGATTCTTCCAAATCATCCGATTCTGAGGTGGCAGGTTCATTCTCTCCCATCAAAAACTTGTCATAGGTATCATCCAATTCTTTACATCTTTTCTGTAAAACATTTACGTACTTTATGACCCTACTTTGGTAGAAATCATGCAGTCCTTTTGCCCCTCCCAAACCTAAATCAACTAGAACTCGTTCTAGAGTGTTCTAAAAGAGAAAATAAAGAAATTTAATTTAAAATTAAGCCATATAGATTAAGAAATATTACTGGAAAACCTCCGCTATCCAAGGTTTCTTCTTCGTTCAATGCTGTGGTAAATCTGTCACAAAATTTAATAAAAAACTGTTCAAGTACGTCGACAAGGATGTCTAAAACACTCTGATGAGTAGCTAAAACAGTTTTAAAAATTATATAGCGTCATAATAGGCGTTGTTATAACAAACTTTCAAAACCAATATGAGCAGTCAGTGTAGCTACACATTTAACTAAAATATTTCTTACAATTGGGTGACTAATTTGAGGTATCTCCACTTCATCTCTCAACGACTCTCTATGAAAAAAAGTATAATAATAAAACAAATATAACATTTTATAGATAAAAAAATTACAAAGATGTCGAAGCCTCCATATAATTTAATATATTCGTTTTGAGCTTTGATTGTATAGCAGGCATTTCTGGTTTTGGGGGTACTGCATCGGCAGAGGGTATCAGATTATTTCTCGAAGCTAGTTCCGCCAAGGCAGTTATTTCGATCATGTCGTTTTTCCATTTGTGTAACTGAATTGCAAGTAATACCATTGGGTCCATAGCTGGTAAACTAAAAGTATATACCGCTTAATACCGATGTTTGGTAATTAAGTTTAGTACTACTCTACACTAAATTATCAACTTGAACTGGATCTTCTTCATCGCTGTGGTACGGATCTAAACAATTTGGATCCATAGACCTTTCTATATCTTCAGATACATCCCACACGGGTAATTCGCTGGTATTCATGGGTATTTCACCCCAATAGCTTGTTCCCTTAGTCACTTGAACATTATCATCATTCATTGTATAGTCAGTTTTAATTAAAAAAAATCTTTAAGCTATTAAAAATAAATATTTAATATTGACAGGTGATTGACAGTTATTGACCTGAAGTTAGCAATAAATAAAATTAACAAGGTCTTTGTCAGAAAAATCTGTGGATTGAAGCAGACTACGCCGCAAGAATTTTAAAAAGAAGAAGAGTGCATGTCTAACCTTCTAACGGTTGTTGATTATTGTGGGGTTGAATTTTTAATTATTTTATTATAAATACGGGATATTTAATAAGAATTGAAGATAATGGAAACGATATTAGAACAACAGCGACGTTATCATGAAGAGAAAGAGCGTCTTGTCGATACAATGACCAAGGAAATGCTTCAAAAGAAAATCAGTGTAACTTCAATTTTTCAGAAAACTTTCATAGTTAGCTAACGAATCCTCATTTTTTAGTACAGAGAACAAATAAATTCGGATCATCGCATGAAATACCTCCTGGACAGGTACATGACTTCGACGAATCGTCTTATCGACCTGTACGAAGATAAAGATGGTCAAAGAAAAGCTGAAGTGGCCGCTCTCACTGGGCCCAATGAATTCAATGAGTTTTACAGCAGGTTGAAGCAAATTAAGGATTTTTATAGGAAACATCCCAACGAGGTACAATATAAAATCTGAATTTTTTCTTTATTTAATGGTTTTTATTGAATTGTAGATTAGTGTTCCCATGTCGGTGGAGTTTGATGAACTGACAAAAGCCAGAGAGAACCCATCTGAAGAAATGTCAAGTAAGTTATTGAAATTTGTTGAAAACTAGTGCATTTTAAAATAATTTTCTTGCAGATTTGGTTGAGTTTACTGATGAAGAAGGGTATGGGAAGTTTTTAGATTTGCATGAGTGTTATGAAAAGTATATTAATTTAAAAGGCATTGAGGTAAGATATATACTTATTTTTTATATGTATTGTTTATATCACCCTGTATTTGTGTACCATATGTAATGTGTATTTCAGAAAGTAGACTATATAACGTACTTGGGCATGTTTGATCAGTTATATGACATACCAAAAGAGCGTAAATCAGGTGAATATAGGAAATATTTACTCTGCCTTATTGAATACCTTTCGTGGTTCGTTCAAAGAATCAAACCGCTCACTGATCTGGATGCCATACTGGAAGAGGAAGTTAATAATACTCTACCACAGTGGGAGAATGGAAATTGTCCAGGATGGCCAGTAATTATATATTATAATTATTTAATTTTATTTATTTCTGATTTTTTTTTTAATTTAGAAAGAAACAGGGTCAGCTTTAGCTAATGTCGGTGCTCATCTGGACCTATCTGCTTTCTCCAGTTGGGAGGAGTTAGCTTCTCTGGGTTTGGACAGGTTGAAGTCAGCCTTGTTGGCCTTGGGACTTAAATGTGGAGGGTAAAATTAAAAAATTCAGTTAAAAATTTCTTTGAAAAAAAAATTAAAACTTTCACAGGACACTGGAAGAAAGGGCTCAAAGATTATTCTCTACTAAAGGGCAGAGTTCTTTGGATCCATCTCTAATGACAAAATCAACTAAAGGAAAAGCTAGTAAGGACAAGGAACTTTTGCGTCATAGAGAGTTGGCTATGTTAGAAGCCCAGATCTATAAGTAAGTGCATGAAAAATTTAATTATCTTATATATTAAATAGTATGTGATTTTAAGATATTTACTACTGATAGAGCCTGTTTATTTTTCTTAATTTTTTCTCTTAACTCTAAACTTATAATTTTTTATTTTACGTGTATAAAACTATTTGTTACACGTTAAAAATATGTTTCTACGCGTAATAGACTATTTTTTACACGAATAAAAACTATTTGTTAGGCGCAAAAAACTTTTTTTATTTTACATGTAAAAAAATATTTTTTTAATTTATTACTTTTTCAACATTTCAAAGCTGCTAGTAAGAAGTCTCACTTCAAATGCGCACATAGAGCACACACATTTTTTTTATTAGAAGTGGGACAAAATACAGATAAATAATAAATTGCCAATCGATGACTCTATTATTATATCGAATCACTATTTATCTATCTAGATATCTTTAAATACTGATATTGGTCTTAGGTTAGCTGATATTGTCAGTCCTCAAAGAGGGGCAACCAAAGAGAACGTGCAACGCAAACAAGCAAGAACCGACGGAGAAAGAGACGACAGCGAAAACGAAGAGTCCGAAGATGACAGTCCCGATGAAAATGACGATGACGTCCCTTACAATCCCAAAAACCTTCCTTTGGGTTGGGACGGAAAAGTAAGCTTCCATTACCAGTATAGTATGTCCACTGAGAGAGCGCGTACATTGTTTCATCACTGGACAAACTATACATAATCGTTTTATATTATTTTTTAGCCTATACCATACTGGTTATACAAATTGCATGGTCTAAACATAAGTTACAACTGTGAAATTTGCGGAAATTACGTGTACAAGGGTCCCAAAGCGTTCCAGAGGCATTTTGCTGAGTGGAGACACGCCCACGGGATGAGGTGTCTGGGGATACCAAACACCGCCCATTTTGCTAATGTCACGCAAATCGAAGATGCTCTTGCACGTAAGTTGAAGCTTGTTTATCGCCATATGTTATTATTGCGCCACAATTTATGCAACTAGCATTGCACCGAGTCCTAGTGATTATTTCTCTGCTTGCTTGTTTAATTTCAATGCTAAACATAGTAGATACAAAGTCGACAATGAATAAGAGTCTATTTTAGCATAATCTTAATAAAAATTTCGTCAATACTTACAAGCAGGGATGGGTATTTACGTTTGTCTTCCCATTTTTTGCGTTTTAGCGGAAATTACACATAAATATTCGTAAACACTATTAAAGAGAAGTAAGAATGACATATTGAGAATAGAATTCTTTAGGATTACGCGTTTTATTGGTTGCATACTTATAAATACTCAGTTTTTAACGCATGTAGCTGATATTTCTGATATAAAAGATCTCATGTCTAGAAGCGAATCGCTATGGCGATCTTGTAAATAGAAGAGAGAAAAATAAGAAGAATTTATTACAAAACCACTTAATCCTACGCTAGATTCATGCGATTTGGAAAATACTTGCTCTTTTTTCTTTGTTCAGGACACACATCTTATTGTACTGAGCGTATTGACTGTGCTCTTCGTACAGAGACTAAAGCCAGATCTTGCGTATCACTATTAATGGCCAATTAAATCATGTAAAATAATTTTAGTGTGGGAAAAACTGAAAGTTCAAAAACAGGCGGAAAGGTGGCAGCCTGAAACTGAAGAAGAGTACGAAGACTCGCAAGGAAACGTCGTGAACAGGAAAACATACGAAGATCTTAAAAGACAAGGCCTACTTTAAGTCAAACAATATAATATATCCAATATTAAACAATTATATTTAGTCATTTTTATTATGTGTGTGTGAGCATTTTGTATTACATTTCATGAATGTCTGTAAGTAATTATTATTATAAAATAAAAATTAGGAATCTATAATTATTTTTTTTATCGTCCACATCCGCCACCTCCACACTTGCTTCGTTTTGGCGGTCTGTAATTTGAGTGACTTCCAGGACCCATTAAAGGGTTATAATCTACAAATAAATCAGTAAGCTGCTTTTTTATGTATGTATACGAAAAAAATTATACTGGGTTACACTATATAATATTACCAGATCTCAAAGTCCTTGATTGGCCATCAGGACCACCAAGTCTGTGTCCAGCTTGACCCGATTGGTTTAAAAGGTTCTCAACTTCCTGTCTTTTAAGTTCTGCTTTCTAAAATACACTATTACTATTTTTAATTATTTTTCTTTAATACCCCTACCTCACGCATTTTAGCTTCGTGCTCTTGCAATTGCTTATTATATTTCTCTTGTAGTTTCTGAGCGTGATCTTGCTGAGCCGAAAGTCTAGCAGAAAACAGATCGGGATCTAAAAAATAATATTAATCAAATAGAGATAATTTTCACAACAAAAATATTTACTCTTGTGATATTTGGCTTCGTATTCCTTTTCCTTGCGGTAGTCCTTGTATTTTACGTAGTTCCTAAACGCAGAATGTACCGAGGGCCTTACGAATTTGTTATAAACATAATAAAATAGGATACTTCCGAAAAAAAGGTACCAAAAATAAGCTTGAACTAGGGAAGCGTATTGGGACAGAACAGTTGAAAAAGACGCGTATCCGTCTCGAAGATAATCCACTAAAAATATAGTTTAGATTAATACCAAAATTACTGAATAAATATTAAATTACTTGCTTTTATTTTATTCTCTATCATCCAAACAATTTACATTTTCTTTTGAAGGTTGTCAAAGTCAAAAAAAATACATACGTCAACATTTATGACATGTATCATGTATGTTTAGTTGCCTAATCTAATTTTTTTTTATTCTGGGAATAACTTTTTACAAAAAAAATTATAATTCAAACATGCGGCTATTTTTTTATACTTTTCACATATTTATTGCTTTACAAAAACAAAATTTTTACTAGTTTTATTAATACTCTATAATATGTGTATAATTTATAAAAATATTAAAATAAATACATATACATATTTTAGAGATTTATAAAAATTTAACAAAACATTGGAGTTTACAAAATGGTATATTGTTTTATTAGGAGTAGCGAGGCTGTACGTTTGACATTACAGCCGAGACACAAAGAGTTATTTCCAATTTGCCAATTAAATTGTTTTATTTATATGATTTTTTCCTGAAATAAGGCTGAAGTCACAATATAACTCTAGAAATCAAAGCACGCTATAAGCATGTTTCTATTGCTTCAGTTTCATTGTATTTAATTTTTTGGAACTGTTTGTTTCTTAAAAATCTTCATTCCAAAAGGTGCAAAAGGAAGGCTTATTTTATCTCCAAGATACGCATATAAACGAAGTACACGAGTTTCTTTCCGATCAGGAATGGGTTCGTTCATATCAACTTTTCGTTTCTTAAACATCTTTAGTCCAAAAGGAGCAAAAGGAAGGTTTATTTTATCTCCAAAATATGCATATAAACGAAGTAGACGACTTTCTTCTTCTTCCCAATCAGGAACGGGGTACTTGGGGTAACGGGGTTTCTTGTTTTTTATGTAACTCCTTCCGGCAGAGCTAGTAGGTACGGGTATCTTATAAACATAATAAAATAGACTTCCTAAAATTAGGTACAAAATAGCATCTTGAAGCCAAGTGTACCGGATTAAAACTATATATAACTTATATAAAAACACAGATAAAGTAATAAAAGATAAAAGAAGAGAGCCCTTAGTTGCAGACGCAACAGTAAAAATGTTTCGTAAAAGATCCACTGAAAATATACTTAAGGTTAAATTAATCCAAAATTATTGAATAAATATTAAATTACTTGCTTTTATTTTATTCTACCAGTATATCTCTTGTCTGTGTCTTTAAATATCCAACAATTTACATCAAATTTACATTTTCAGACATTTTCTAAGAAAGTTCGGTGTTTTGATGGTGTTTTGTTTTTAGACTGTCAAAGTCTTGGACTTGGACAAGTCAAAGTCAAAAACAAATAAATAACTAAACATGTATATTTAGTTGCCTAATTATTCTTTTATTTATTCTGTGGATATCTTTTTATAAAAAATTTAAAATTTATACTTGGGACTATTTTTTTTTATACTATTAAAATATTTCATACTTTAGAGAAATAAATTTTTACTAGATTTATTAACAATTTAAATGAATGTTCTATTTTATACACCAGCATAATAGAAAATGTTGATAAAGAATCAAAGAATAATTTAACGGTTGAAAAAGCACTTTCACCATACAGTAGAAAACAATTACTATAATTTACGGTATGTAGGAATATTATTGAATGCTTCTAGACTTATTTAATTACTATAAATCCATGTAATTCGTAAAGATCGCAATCTTTTGAATAAGGCTAGTAGAGATTGCGTAACAAACAAGATTTATCTGGGTTATTATGGCATATACCTTGCTTGTAAAAATCTGTAGCACTTTCACATTAAAGAACCCCTATAAGAATATCGCCTAACAATGATAAAATCGCAATTAAAAGCCCACTGAACAAATACAATAAACCTTTTCATGTACATAATTAAGAATATGTTACATTGTTTCTCTCAAATCTGTGTTTCACTGAAAACAAAATGATATTATGTTAATAATTGTTATTAAAAATGAACAGTTCGTATGTATGTTCACCTTCAGATTTTAAACTAGACTATGTGGTGGGAAATATACATTTCAGTGTGTGAATTGTTGGAAAAATTAACATACCTACTGATTATTGGTAAAATAAGCAAAAAAGTGCATAAAAATGAAGTGAAATATACAGTTTATAAGGTGTATATACTCACAAGTGTTATAATTTCAGTTATTTTTTGTTATAATGTGGAAAATAATTTGTTTAGGATATATACTGATTGTAATATGTGAGTAGAGTGCTTTTATTTATTTTATAAATATTATAACTTTAATTTATATAGCACCCAAGTCATATTTGCAAGAATATATAAACAATATATCATCCAAACAAAGTAATATATCTTCTATTACAACAAACAGTAGATTTATAAAAGGATATGCTTTAAAAAGTCCAAAAATACCACACAAAACAACACCCCTAGTTCAAGAGTCAAGAGCCAAACGAGGTAAACAATTTACAAGACACTGAGACTCCTAAAATTCTCTATATTCGTTCAATTTCAAGGTGTCTTACATCTTTTTAACATGGTCAGTTGCGCTACAGGATGCAACCCGATTAGTTACAAAGGCTACGGTTGTTTTTGTGGATTCCTCGGCTCGGGACAGCCGGTAGATGGTATCGATACGTGCTGTATGTTCCACGATTGGTGTTATGTTCGAGCCAAGTGCCCCATGTACCTGGAATACTTTGTACCTTATTATTGGAAATGCCATAACGATGAACCTTTTTGCGGTACAATAAATACACTACTGAGTAAATTTTTAATTTAATAGCGCCCCATTTTAGCTATTGATTATGGAAGTTATGGAATACCGCAGTCCTGTTCTGAAAAACTTTGCGAATGCGATCGAATTCTATCAAGGTGCCTTAGACAGTATCCGTGTCCTAGTAAACGGGCTTTTTGCAGATCGTCGCCTTTGAGGTTTATACAGAATGCATTTATGTTGTTTTCTTAACGAAATAAATGGTAAAAACAGTAGTAACTTCTTAATTTTCATCGAATATTCAGAAAAATAAAAATAATAAACAAAAACAGATGACGATGACACGTTATCGACAGATGACAGTTCTTCTTCTTCTTTTTTTATTTGAAAAGTACAAAAAACATATTTTTTCTTGCCAATAAAAATATATAAAGAAGACAGGATGACATTGTAGTCAGAGTTCAGAATCTGCATCACAATAAAAATTAAGTATAATATTTAATAATAAATTAATTGTTTAATAACAATATAACAATGAAAAATAAATAGTTAGTAACATGTAAATTATTAAACGTGCAATTGGTACTTAATCATTTACATTCCCGTGGTCTAATTTTTGTGATAAAAACTTTAGTTTATAATGGATATTTTCGCAATATTTGTATTAGTATGTTTTTGTATAGTTTTGGGTATTATTTTAACCCTCTCCGTGCAGTATTATATATTTTACGTTTACCTTAGAAAAAGCCCTAAAGCTATCAACTATTTGCATAAGAATTCCTTGGATTATTCACTACCTCATGTGAGTATAGATCTTGTTTTAACTGATTTATGTTTATGAACTTTATCAAAACCTTACAGGCTATTAAGAGACAGTTAGAAACCGGAGATTTAACGGATAAAAATAGAGGAGGCCTTGCCATAAGTTTGATTCTACAATTCCTTTTTCACGAGCTAAGACACTCAGAGACCATAACAAGATGGCTTTACAAAAAATTAACCATGGAATTCGATGAGTTACTAACCAAAACTGCCATGGGAAAATTTTTTGATTCTATTTCTGTACAAAATGTCTTTGCTCTAGCAATATTTATTATTAAATTTGACTTATTGTAGATCAGAGATATCAATTTAGGCTCACAATTTCCTGATATTAAAGAAGTAACAGTTGAAAACGTTAAACTAGATGAGAAAGACGAACATATTGAAGTTCTGAGCCTTGGACTGAACTTGGACTATTCAGGAAACTTTCTTTTGTGTATTGATGCGAAAATGAAGTTTGGGAAAACTGCATTTCTTTCAATAAAAGGTAAATTATATTTAAACAAGCATAGTTGATGTTTCAGTATGGTTTTTAGTGAAAAAAATAAGCGGGTTAGCAAGACTGCAGTTTTCAAGACAACCCTACACGCATTGGTCGTTTAGTTTTTTCACTGAGCCCACTCTAGATTTAGGGGTGGAGTCCCATTTTCAAGGGAGACAGCTGCAATCAAACATAACCAACCTTATAGTTAATCAAATCAAAAAAGCTATTAGGAGAAAACACACTTTACCAAATTATAAAATAAGGTAAATAACAAATAATTAAAAAGTTACCTACCTCTCTGTATCAAAGAGTCTTTTGACTCTCTATATTTTTTATTATTTTTGATTGGACTAAATGATTATTAAAGATATTAAGGTGTTTTTTATAAAAAAAATTCCAGGTATAAACCCTTCTTTGTGAAGACTGATCCTAGTCAACTTGATCTAGAAGACAGCGAAGTCTCCTTGCTTGGAACGCTAGAAATGAACGTTGCAGAAATCTCCAGACTTTGTATTCCAGAAAATGCCCAAAACATTTACCTAACTATAGCCATAGATTCAATTCCTTGGATTTCTCTATGCCAAAGAGACGATACAACGGTGATGATGTTAGAAGTAACCATGACAAAACTTAAACAAGCGCAGTTGGGTGTGATATTTCGACAGGAGATGGGTTTTGTGATAGTTGACAGCGTTACCACGAATTCTTGTGCTTTTCAAGCAGGCTTGAGACCCCTTGATGTAGTGATTTCGGTAGAAAATAGGATAGTAGGGACTGTTCCTCAAGTAGCTAAATTTATGAAGTCGATTTCCGGTTCAAATGTCACATTAAGGATCGAAAGATTAGTTGAAAATTATGTGTTAAAATGGAAAAATTCTGAAGAAAAAGAATCCTTGGTTGTGGTTACAGGCAGTGAAGTTAAAAGTAAGGTTAGGATAGGTTATAAATTATTAAATAACAGTAAAAAATCTTTGTGTAGGTGATGACAGTGAGACGGAATTGACACAGACCGAGCAGGAATCGTTTGTGATCGTTGACAGTGTCAAAAAAGATGACAAGAAGACACGTTCACCGAAAATGATGCCTAGCAACGAAAATATGGCCAAATTGGCACAGACGATTAGTAGTTTTAGTTTGAGGAAAAGGAAAGGTGTGGCGCCATCTCCTGGCACTCCTCAGAAGTAAGTACACCCCAAGAACAGTTAACCTAATAGGACTGCTCATTCAGCCAAAAGTGTCCGCCAGGTGCATGCGAAAACTACTCGCTTTGTGACGTCATTGTAGCCCTTGTCATGATTATTAGTCCTTATCCGGCAACCAATAATACACACACGTGCATTATTGGTTACCGAATGCAAAACGTTCATTATTTAGTTTATTTATTTAAACACCTTATATGTATGCAGTAAAGAAAATTAACTGTATAAATCGTATTAAATACTCGGATAATGCATTTTTAAGAACAACAGGTCCCAGCATCACCTTTTGCAAGCATTCTTTTTAGAGTACTTCCATATTTTGCTTTAAAATAGTTAATAAACAAAATCGTGGGCACTTAGTAAGCACTTTGTCACAATCCACAACACAAAATGAACGTATTTACACACTCTATAACTCTAAAAACTTTAAAGACACCTTTTTCACATTTAAAATTGACAAAATAATTAACTCAAAATTTCTCAGCTGTTATTTTTATAAGTTTACCATAGGCAACTAAAAATACACACTATCATGACAAGGCCACGAAGGCTTTGACAAGGGCTACAATGACGTCACAACTGTCAGCTGAAGCGCGGGAAGAGGCGAACGTACGTCTTATGAGGATGAGCAATCCTATTATTTTACCGTTCTTGAGTACACCCAGTCTACAGAGTGTCTCTTAAATAAATGCAGGTATTTTAATTGGTAGCAGCATTCAGTTTGTATAATCAGGCCAATTTGTTTTTTTTTTGCAAAAAGAAATATTGAAAATATTTTATATTATTTTATTTCTCAATATCTCCATAGGTCACGTGCAGCACCTGTTAAAAAAAATTCCACCACTGAGCTACCGGAAATTGTAAGGACTGAGGCCGACGGACTGGAGTCTGAGCAAATTTTCTCTCAAATCGAGGTGTTCAAAGGCAAAGAGATGCCTGTGGACGATCTGGTGGTTTTTGACGACGATTTCAGGTTCTCACCGAGGGAGGGCGCTAAATACATCAATATCAACGCGTGGGCTACTGTTGCCAGCTCTCCAGATATGCTCCTAGGTTATCTGAACGTGCCCTTGAATCACGTTGCGGCAGAATGCGCCGTGAGTGTTTTGGGACATCATTCAAGGAGATACTCTTTTCTACCACCAGGTATTTTAAGTTCTATATCAAGTGTACAACGGCGATATATCTGACATATGTATTCATTTTTTTGGGTTAGGTTTGACATCTACGGCTGTCTCACATCCATTGAAAGCTCATTCAGGCTTCGAACACGTATTTTGTTTTGGCGATGCCCTGCTAACTTTCGCCTGGTCCCCTGGTGATGGTACGGAAATTAAACGCAAAACGTCTGCTACCACGGATAATAAAACTGACGTTCTTGAACCTAGAAACAAGCATGACTTCATTCGAACCCAATTTCATGGAACAACTCACTGTGATTTCTGTTCTAAGAAGGTTTGTATTGATTGGGGACGGGTAAAAGTATCGATTTGTAAAAAATATCGATATTTTTTCCAGATCTGGTTGAAAGATGCCGTACAATGCAGAGAATGCTTCATGTGCTGTCACAAAAAATGCGTGGTGAAGTGTCAAACCGGCACCAGATGCAGCAGCGACAAACCTATTCCTGTGACAAGTGACGTATCTCTATCTGACGTAGTCCTACAGACAGATGTCGCCCCTGACGATGAGTCTTCAGGGAATAACCTAAAAAGAGTGAACAGTGTTACAAATTTGACAATTCCAGGCAAATTTACTCGTATTTTGAAGAAATTTGTTATTTTATTTCAGAAAATTGTAGGTGCTGTGTCGTTTTCTTCTAGAAGTCTACCTCCCAGTCCTCAGCGAACGCCCAGTAGGAAACAGTCGCTGGTGTCTATAAATCCGTTTGCGCAGTGTCCTACTGCGTTGGACGAGGTTCAAAAGAACCCGCAAGAAGCTGGGGAGACTGTGTCGAAACTTTTAGAACAGGTAACTACAGTTTTACTTAAAAATGTGAAAATATATTAATTTTTTTTAATGTAGGTGATGTTGTGTCCGCCCGACGAGAGTCTTATGGATCAGGCTAAAGAGAGTGGGCAGAAAATGTATACTGTATTAGGAAAAGAGGAAAAATCAGATAAAATTAATTTGATGGTAAGTTATTTTGTGATTTGTTAGCATTTTACATTTTACAAAACATTAAACACGGCCCTGTTTAAATTTATATTGCTGTTGGTTATGCAACCAATTATTCATATTTTAGTGTATAACTGGTTGCATACAATTAAATATTTTTTATGTATGTACGAGAAGTATTTTCTTTTATTATAAAAAAGGAGTATTTTTTTAATTAAATGAAAAACAAAAAATCCGACGACGACAGTTTTTAGAAGAGCCAATTAGCTATCTTTTAGTAAAAAAAGCAACTTTCCAGAGCAACTCGTTACTTCAGTAGAGACAACACAGATAAACATAAACATTTTATATATATGTAGATAATAATTTTGATATATTTGTGTTTTAGATGGCTGAACTGAAGAAAACGCTGGACCTTGCCACATCCGATCACATGGAACTAACCAAAAAAATGGCTTCTGAAGAATCGGAAGTGGAAAAAGCCAAACTTGCTTTTCTTATAGGAAAGGCCGATGCCAAAGTACACGCATTATCCGTGTTGATGTTGCACTATTGTTCTGGATTGCAACAAACACAAGAGAAGATTGTTTAAACGTTGTTATTTTTATTTTTTTTGAGTTATGACATGAAAGAAAATTTACTAAAATACGTAAATTTTCAATTTCAAAGGCGAGAAAACGAACAAACAGTATTTTCTAGAATAAGTATAAAAAAATATCAATGATTAAAGAATACAAGGAGACGTAACGTGCATATACGGGCTGTAGCAAAATCTGTGATTAAAATTATATGACGCCGTTTTTTTTTTTGGTGCCAAACGTAGGGGGATGTGAATAGTTTATTGTGTGTAGTGAATCTTGTATAAACTTTATACGATGGTGATTTGTTCAGCTTTGAAGTGTAAAACCGGCAGTGATAAGATAGAGCCAGGAATTACGTTTCATAGATAAGTAAACAAACAATTTGATAATTATTTTTATGATGTTATATTGTGGTACATTTTATTATAAAAGGCAGACATGTGAAAAACATAATTAAAAATCTGTGAATAATGAATTATCCCTCTACAGTGGCACTGTTTGGTGACAACTGGTAACAATTTGGTATCTGCTGTTATTGGTCCTAGTATCCTTTAGTAATTGATAAATACTTACTTGGTTAGTGATTTATTTATTTTGTGTGATTTTTCAGCACTGTTTTAACTCTTGAAACCGCCAAAATAAACTGAAAAATACAATGAACTTAGATACATATCTGCCAACCTTTTTATTAAACTCTCTTGTTTTTTTTTCAATATAAAACATAGTGTATTACAGACATTTAGTATTACATCAAAGCTATCAGCTTTTTATACACAGCCACATAAATATATGTATTATATTTTATTTATTTCGTTCTAAGCCGGTTTTTAAAGGATTTTTATATAAAAAAACATGTTTAGACATACAAATCTAGTCAATTAAGAGTATATAACATAACGCTTTTTCCTATATCTATTATATTATTTAGATTTCGTTTTATGGACTTAGTGTTAATTTATTTATATTTATGTTATGATATTTGATTTGCAAACTATATAGTGATTATCGACTTTTAAGAAAACTTACTTAAAATGCATTGTGATATTTTAAAGTTGTTATTGCAAACGAGTTTGTAGTTGAATAGAAACTTCTTTGGAGAATAAAAGTTTACATTTACGATTTATTTTCTTAAAGTAAGTCTAAAGTACGGTCCTGTTCAGGAATCGAGTGAAGTTAGTCATTTTTTGCTTCTTTTAGTTTTTAAAGGATCTTAGTTCTTCTAGGGTTCTTCTTTTTTATTTTCGTGGCTTCAACTGCCAGTAGTTCTTATCCCAGTGAAGTTAGTTGTTTTTTGCTTCTTTTCATATTAATGGCTCTAAGTTGCCTTGTGGTTCTTCTCATTTATTTCTACGGCTTTAACTGTCATCGCTAATCAAAAGTGAAGTTAGCGGTTGAACAGAAATAACCTCGAAAATTCGATTTTTTTTTCAATCTTATGTCAATGTTTTTCTATGAAAAAAAAATAAATAGTGAGGGTGCGTAAAAGAGTTTCTGTTTCTGATAATGGCAAATAAAATCGAAGAGGTATTGTATAAATGTTATTAGTGGTGACTTTAATTGACCACAATTTTCACAGTTGAAGAAAGACATTGCCGAGATCGAGAATCTCGAGAAACATGCCCTCAGACAGAAGGTAAAAGATATTTTGTCCATCGAGAAACGAAAACTTGTCTCGGAAGTGATAAGACTGGAGGAGCAAGAAGCTAAAATGGAGATTCCCTTAGAACTGCCGAAACTACCTGTTAAAACGACAACGAATATTCCCTATGAAGTCAAAATTACCAATTACGGTAAACAGAAGTTATATACAGTCTTTATGTTGCATTATTAAAGTGATTTTATTTGTTTGTAGCCTGGGATCAAAGTCAAAAGTTTGTTAAATTCTACCTAACGTTACCGAAAGTAAATACAGTGCCTGCAGAAAATGTCCGGTGCGATTTCAAGGAAAAATCGCTTGAACTTCGCGTAAAAAACCTAGAAAACAAAGACCATGTGTTCAAACTAACTCAGCTCCTTCATTGCATCGAACCTAAAGACAGTACTTTTAAGGTAATAGTTTTTTTTTATTGTTTATACAGGGTTTTATTGTAAAAATCTTGATTTTTTACAGGTAAAAAACGATCTGATTTTAATAAACGCCGCCAAAAAAGAGGACATCCGTTGGCTATACGTAACAGAGTGGGAAAAGAAAACCAGTGAAACAAAGAAAACGCCTAGCTTTGACTCTGACACAGATCCATCGGCCAGTCTCATGAGCCTGATGAAAAACATGTACGTATTTGAATGTTTTTATTCTGTTTCTTCTGTGAGATCATTTGTGTAGTATTTTCTGAAGCAGCTGTGTTTGGGGAAGTTTCTTAGTTTTTTTTTATTTTCTTTTATTTGGGACTCTATCTTAACTTCATTGTCTTTTTGATCTTTTTTCAGACATCATAATCCACATTATCGAGGTAATGTTTGGTCCCGTGCAAGAATCCTGACATTTTTGAATTGTACTAATTGTAAAATGATGTGAATTATAAAGTGTAGAGCATAAATGTGAGGATTCCGATTGGCGGGCCGTATGAACTACTTTTGATGTTTTTCTTTGATATTTGTGTGTTTTTCTATTATTTTGCACTGAAAAAACTTCCAGTTACACTGCCCAACCTTAGTATATATACATGAAATATAATGATATTCGTTTTTATCCATTTATATATAGCGGGTGTCCACATAATCAGAGCTATGAATACCACTATCCACCATGAAATTGTTTTTATGTAGTCTCCACATCAGTTTTAGTCATAGATTGACTGTAGAAAGATGTAATCAAATTTTAATAATAAACAATGATGAATTTAGTGATAATTATTGTCTAGTATACAGGGTGACGAAGAAGTTATTACGCAGACCGCCATTTCATCTTTTTTCATCGAATAAATTTAAATAATATATTTGGTTCAATATATACTTTTAAAAAAAAATTTCATAAAGAAACCATGGAGTTTTATTTCTGGTTGACTCTAGGGTTGAGCAAGAAATTTTAATTCGTCCCCTGTATATGTTTTTGCTTATTTATACAGATATTAATTTTTATTGAAGTATGTATCAAATTCATATTATTTTTCAACAGCGATTTGAGATTGTTTATGTATCTTTCTATACTCAATCTAAGGGTACACAATATATATATATACAGGGTGCACCAAAAAGTTTACAACAAATATGTTTTTTTTTGTTATTGAGTTATATAAATAAAAAGTTGGGGAAGAATTTTTTGGCAGAGTTAAAATTCTCTAAAAGAGAGAATAATATATGACAACTGTTATGGCGTCAAAGTTCTAAGATTCATAATTATTTGACTGTAATTCAAGTACTGATAACTCAATGATAAAAAGAAACACTAAAACTTTTTGGAGGAAACCTGTATATTTTTTTAAGCTTAAATCCGTAAAAATAAAGATTTTATATGTTTTTTCTTGTTTTTGTCCAGGTATGAGACAGGGGACGACGAAATGAAGAGGACCATAGCTAAGGCGTGGACAGAGAGCCAAAACAAAGGTCCGACATTTTAAATAATATAGCAAATAAACAAAAAATAACGAAAATCAGTTCATTCTGTGGGGAGGTATCACCAGAACATTTAATTTCTTTAGTGTGTTTAGCTGAAGTAATTCCGTGTTATTCATATTAATCTAAACAAACCAATAATTATTGATCATATAAATTAACATAAACACATTTTAGGCGTTACAAAGTTATTCTACCTGTATTTTTGGTTGCATATTAGAGTTTAGTTTGCCTAGAAACCAAAATATAGCCTTTAAATCAATGACTAAAGAATATAAGGACATGTAACGCCCATATACAGGCTGCAGCAGAATTTGTGACCTTAGAGAGCTTTCTTTTGATGACAAACAATGAGTCATCATTTGGTCACCAACGACAGTTTTAGCAATATTTAATAGTTTGTGTGTAGTAAACTTTGTATAAACTTTATTACAATGGTGATTAGTTGTTCAGCTTTCAAGTGTAAAAGCAGCAGCGATAAGAAAGAGCCAGGAGTTACGTTTCATAGGTAAATAAACAGTCCACTCCAACTTTTTAGCGTTTTCTTATTGAATTCGATAATTATTCTTCAATTTCAATTAACATCTATATGTACTTGATATGTGTTATACGTCGATACTAGTTTTGTACCTTTTGTTAACATTTTAATACGTTTTTTTCGTAATTAATTAGGATGATGCACCATAGGCGTAGTCAAAACAATTATCAAAAAATATAAATATTGCTTCAAACAGCTAGGTTAAGAAAAATATGTGCCACGGCACTGTTTAGTGACATCGGCACAATTTGCTCTCGGGTGTTATTTGTCCTTGGATTCTTTAGTCATTGCTTTAAATGAATAATACTTAAGGGCTATTTTATTAATGTCAATTTTTGATGTTTTTCGTTAGTTCTTAGCTTATTATTGGTTGCATATGCAGCAATAAAAAAATGTTTTTAGCGATAAAGATGGCTAGAACTGTGTATTCATGTTAATTTATTTGGCTTAAATTAAAAATTCACTATTGTGGTTAGGTTCCTGTGATATTTTTTCTGTTTAGATGTTACCGTTCCTAAATGTTTCGATCTAGATGATAAAATTCGATGTTTTCGGTGTTAAATCTACCCTATAATTAAAAAAAAATCGTTTTAGATCACTTGTTCTTCGATGTGACTCTTGTAACCCACACCTAAATGTTAAATATATAGAGTATATTAATTGCGGTACAAAAATTTAAGCAGTAGCCTTACTCTCGCTTGAGTCGGTTTTCTGTCATTTTTTGGATGACATCTGTAGGAATCCTCTCTAACTTCTGTTCTATTGTTTATAGGCAACGAATTTAAAGCTTTTTGGACACGTGACACGTGATGTCACACATATCACACATGCGCTTTCTAGAGATTCTAACCTCAAATTCGACAAGTTAGTCTGCTGCTTAAATCTTCATTATTGCGAATATAGTGAGATGTATTATTGTTAAGACACTGTCTCTGGTGATACATTCCCTCATTTTTTTCGCGCAATATTTTAGACCATTTCTTTTAAAAACATAGTATTAAGGATAGATAATTGGTAAAACAGAGTCTATGAAAAAAACGCAATAAAAGAAAGGTATGGTCTAAATAGATATGCGAAAAGATATATTTGAACACCAATTCCATAGATACTAAAATATTTTTCTAGAAATATATGTTTTTTTTTTTCATTTTTTTTTCTAATGTTCTTTGGACCTTAGATCGTGTATACTTTCGTGGTTACCGCTATAACTACCTAAATTATGACGTCAACATAATAGTCGTTCTTTGTTCTTCCATCTCTATGACGTTTCCTGTTTTCTATCTCTGTGGTTAGTAACTCATTTTGGCGGCAAATTTGAAACGGAAAAATATATATTTTTAATTTCAACACTGTATTTCTAAAAAATCTCTTTTTGTCTATATGTTATAAGATAGTCATGTTGAAAATGAAGGAAACATATGGTATGATCGAAAAAAAAAGCGACGTTAAGTAAGCTTTGACGTGAGGATCGATGACATGCCTATTTTACATATAAAATGACGGCGATCTTCATTTCTGAGCCAACTATGACGGATTTTTTTTTGGTCGCATGCCTATTTATGATAATACATATCTTATATCATAGAGGTATCTATGAAAGTATAAATAATCTAGGATTTAAAGCCTTAAATATATTTTTTATTTTTATTAGTGAGTGTTTATAGGCATTAAAAAAATAAAACAAGCGTTTCAATGTCATTTCTTTTATTAAATATTTTGAAAAATAATAACATTATAAATCTAACAGTCAAAATTCTCTATTAAAGTGTATTTTTGCAATATTATTGCACCTTATTGCAAGAAATTAAATATTCGATTCTTAAAATGTAAAAACACCTAAAAACGTGTCATTTTTTGTTCAAAAATAAAATTTTAATTCATTTCGTTCAAGATTAAATAAAAAAATACGATTCTATATTTGTCAGAAGAACAACAAAACTCGCGAGAAATACTATATGGATATAAAATGAAAAAATATTCTAATACATAAATTAACTAATAAAAAATAAACTCTATGATATAGATAAAATATATCTAAATTTACATAAAAAAAGGTGAGGAGTACATATACATAAATATATGGCAAATATTTGGTAAATTCTTTTGGTAAGACCATCGCACAGTGTTGTATTTTGTTAATCTATCGCCCTTTAATTTTTTTTTATAAAATAATTATGTTTGGAATATTAATTTTAGATTTTATTAGTAATCTTTGTTACTTTTAACTTCCGGTCGAAGTGAGACAGGTGACAGTAGCTTGTCACTTGTCAAATGTCATAATTTTAGTGATACAAATCAGAAAAGGTTTTTTACAATAAATTTTGTTCAAATATAGACAGGAGAAAATCATGTATACACAGGGTGGCCCACTGTTTATAAAAACTTGATTGTCATAATTTATACCTTGGTATAAATAATTGTTATGAAGCTTTTTTGAAAAAAGTGAGCCACCCTGTATATACAATCATTGTCTTAAAACCGGAATCACACTGTATACGTTTGGTGCAACGATTAGGCGTGGCAAAAATGGTCCGAATGCATCCGATTGGCGTATTACCCATATAACCGAGAAGGCACGAAAAACCTCGAGGACGCACGATGTCGCTTTGGTTCTTCTTTTATCCCGTACCTAACTTCAGAGCAGTGCTGCTTTCACCTCTGCTCTGCGGCACGGTTTTGAGCGTTTTGGAGCTGTATCCGACTGATCACGTCCTGGATCGGATAATGATTGTGATCTACAAAAAAGAAAAAATTTCGAAAAAAAATGGTCAAATGCCATTTTTCCTTATCTTGAATTGATTCTCCATTCTTAGAAAACATTGCCACCTACCTGTTGAGCCAAGAACCTGCCCTCTTTTAGTTAGAATTGCTCCTTTACAGGACAAGGTTTTTGTTTTGACGCACACCCAAAGACTTTTGTCCGCGTTGGTGTTGGAACGTGTGTACATGTGTCCGTTGTGTATCAGCACTAGCTGTCCTTTTCCACTTTTGATGATAGCCAATCCTAAATAATAACCAAATAGTTCGTTAGTTTTAATATAAAAGGTTTTAGAAAATCATGCATATTTTTTGAATAAAAAAACTGTTATTTGTTACAAAATTTCGTACTAACGATTTTTTTAACGAATGAATTTTGTTAAAGGGGTGAATTTCTTCAAATTCCATTCAAGAAACTTTCTGTAAAATTTCTTACTTCTAGCCTAAGCGGTTTTGGACACATAAAATCAAACACCATTTTTTAATGATAAAGAAATTTATATTTCGTATTTTAGACTTAACTTAAATACATAAGAAAATGTTATGTAAAACTAGAGAATCTGCAATAATCAGTAAATTTTATAAAATAAAATACACTAAAAGCCTTGTATATTCTACAAAAAAAATCAAATACAGATATGAAAGAGTGATAACTTATATTTACTTGCCTCAGTTGTTCATTCAACAATTCTATTACTCTTATATAATTTAATACTAAAAATGCCCCAACTATTTGATAGAAAAAACGATATAGGAACATTCGTTACTTAACTACAAACTATGACATCCTCAGAATAATACGTCAAAATCACAAAAAAATGTTTTAAGAATTTATAAAACTAAAACACAGATTTATCTGGTTTTTATTTAAAAGCAAGAAGAATATACATGCTCATTGTTCTAAAACAAATAATACTCTTATTCTGTTCAATCTTTCATTCACTAAAATCGATATATTATAAAAAAAATAGGCTCGACTAGTGATAAAAATCACAAAATATGCAACTAACATTTCACTGAATCCTAATATTATTTTTCTTTTTGTTAGGATACAGTGTATTTCTGGTTGCATATTAACTGACATAGCACTATGTGTCCAATTAAAAGGCTAAAAGAGCGTTACAAGATATTTTTTAAGACCAAGACGTCTGCCAGAGTACTTCTTGGAGGTTTTCGATGGGTACCATGGTATCCTCGTCGGGATTGAACACGTCGGGGATTATGGGGTGGTTATGCGGACAGGGCCACTTGACGATGTTCCCGTTCATGGTACAGCACATGGCCAGGCACTTGTCGGTCAATCGCGAGCTCTTGCAGTACCAGAACACCTTACCTTTGTACACGGACTTCTTGAAGAACGAGTGACCGTCGACAATGAGTCGGGGATTCCCGCGCTTTCCCAATATGCACTGTATGGTACCTGAGATAAAATAATACACAACATCAGATTGCTCGACAGATGACATTAGGCATCAAAAAAAATATCCAAATAACTACGTGATATGGCATTATTTTTAAACATGCTCTATATATTTAATAAAAAACACATAACTCTATCTACAAAGCAATATATAAGTTATTTCCACGCTACTTTTCCTTGTTAAATCTCAATTTTTCATCTCAGTGTTGTGCAGCGAAATTGAAAAATAAAAGAATATATTATAATTTTACTCTAAATTAGGCGCAGGTGTTTTAACTGTATCTGGAAAAGTCACGTCAAAACAACTATACTAGCTGGGCAATTACAAAGTCAACGGTCACAAAAATGAAAAACAAACTTAAATAATTTCATTTTTTACTTCTGCAACCAACAATACATCGAAGCGCATAGAGAGTTGCATATATTTAACAACAAAAAAAGGACCTAACCTATATTAAATTAAATAAATGCCATATAAAAACAAAAAATAAACAAATTGTGTATTATTTTAACCAGGTCCAAAAGAAATTTTGAATACGACACCAAACACTGAGTTTAATAAGAGCGACACACTACGCAAATTCATCGAATTGAATTTTGTTCATCATGAATAACAATAAGGTAGGAATAAAGTTTTTTTTTTAGCTTACCGGGTTGTGAATCATCGTTGGACCCCATCCCTGAACTGTCCGGAGGTGCTGGCCATGGAGGTGTTAACTGAGAAGGTGAAGGTTCACCTCCACTAAGCTGTATATCCAACATACTCGACAACTCCATATTTTCATCCTAGAAAAAAACATATTTCAATTCTTACCTTAAAAATCTATAGTAAATCATCCCTACCATTGCACCCTGAGAGCCTGTATCACTATGATCGACTATCTCCTCCTTTGGTTTGATCAAAGCCAGTGGATTCTCAATGGGAGACCCTAAAGAAGGCTGAATTAGTGATTCTTCCTCCGGTGGGGCTACAGAGAGCGCTGGGGGTGGTGTAACCAGTTTGGGAGGATGTGGCATTACTAGAGGTACAGGAGGGGGCAAAGGATTCAACTTTGGAGATTGCGAAGGCTCTGGTTTGGGGGTTTCTAACGGCCTGAGTGACTGAAGTGGCCTGATCAGTTTTCTTGATGGTCTGGATCTCTTACGATACTCGTTTCTTTTTTGGTCACTGTATGAACTGGCTGATTGAAATCCATTTGTGTTGTCCTAAAATTTAAATATTCCTAACCTACCACAATATAGAATGTTATAAAAAAGGCAGGTAAACAAAACTTGAGAAGGTAAGAAATATTTCTTACTGTCAAATTCAAAGACTGCATGAGTATACTTACAGAAGTATTATCTGTGAGTCCTTTAACTCTAAGGGTTTCGGCTACTTTCATAAAAGTAGGAATTTCCTCTTGGCTAACGCTCACTTCTCCATGATACATAAAGTGTAGTAAATTCTTCAGTGCCTCGTAGTTTACGTCGGGGAGTATAACTATGGGGTGCTTGCAAGGATTTACCCTAAAGAGATCCTTGAAAAAGGGACTGCACACTGAAAGAACCGTTTTGTGAGCTTTCAGGTATTTGCCATCGGCTGCCAAGGTAACGTCGACTAGATCCTCGTCTTCTAGAAGGCTGTGGAAGCCTGTGCTTAGATTCGTGTGAAAATTGTTCCAACACAGCGAAAATTGATCGCCAACTTCCATTTCTTTCTGCTTGAATCTTATACTGTTGTCCCTAATTCTAAAACTATATTGATCACTTTCACAAACAGGATACCGAGTACCCGAGGATTTTACGTATTATCCCTAGAGAGTTACAGTTTAAAAAACGCGTCGAAAGGCATGAGGTCGGTATTAAAAGGCCGATAAAAAATGTTTTTTTAGAGGCACAATAAGCTTTTTTTACAAACAAATCAGAAAATGGAGGACATATTTGGAAAATGGTTAGGCAACTAATAAATCAAAAAACAGATGCTAAAATATTTTTTAAAATGCATTGACAAAAAAATAAAATAATATCGTTTTATCTTGAAATTAATGCATATTTTTCCACAATCCATGTTTATTTTCCAGTTAAGAAAATTTCTATCATATGTATATTTTTTTTTTGTTTAAAGTTGTACGCAACCAGTAATACTCAAATATTGAAAAAAATTGGTAGAGTTTGAACACGGTTTAAAGTTGTTTTTTATTCCTAAAAGTACAGTTTACAGATGATGTTTATTCGTACAGGCAAACAATAAGTAGTATTTTCTACGTCTTTTAGAGTAAGTCTTTCTTAAAAGAGTAAGTCTAAATTAAAGTTAAATACTCTCAGGAATAAAAAAGCGTTTTTACATTTTTAATATACACTATCGTAATGCTTTATTTATAATTTTCTTTTTTAGGAATGCTATTATTAATACATAGTACGTAAAGACCGCCTAAAAGGAGAGGCCTAGGTCACCCCTTGTATAAGATGTTTGGCCATTATTCTGGTTTACAAGATTGGTTTCCCATTATCCTATTAAAGGTAGTTAAGTTTCTCTATTAAATGTTTATTACCAGACTAGCAAAAAATGTAATAATATTAATTTATTTTTTACAGATTTGAATTTGAAGAATTGTTAGATGAATATAGGGATCCAAGGCAGTAAAATTTATCCTTTGGATGAATATAAGCAACAATGCATCTGGACATATTAAGTATTTTTTTATATCTAAAATTTTATTTCTTTTTGGGTATATATATTTTTACTAGTTTTTAATGTTCATCAGTGTCTTTTATTTATTCTAAATCTCTGTTTTTTTAAACTTATAGCTATTGAAAAAAAAATTGTGTTTGATTTTTGTGCATTGTATTTTTAGAACTAATGTTATCTACTTTCTTTTAGTGATAACGTGATAACGCAGCTACCTATGGTTAAGTGTTAGAAGTTTATATTTCAATTTACATAGTCACAGTTTAAGAAATAGAATTATATATTTATTATAACATATTATAATAAACGTAAGAAGAAATGAGGTAATATTGTATTTCACTGTTTTGAATTTTATTTTACTGATTCTGATATTTATTTTTTAGACTTGACTTATTAACCATATATAACAAAAAGTGTTAACAGCTTCTACAATATTATGTAAATTGGGTATTTCATGCTATTGTGCATGTATACAGTGAAGAAATAAGAAGAAAATCTTTCATTTACATCTTAACAAAGCGTCCTGTCTTTTCAAATTTTTCCTTTGGCGCGCTTAATTGATTACAGCGCCATACTTGTTTAGTGAAAATATTTGGAACTATTTTCTAATCGATTCTGACGCCACCGTACGGAAAGTTTTAAAAGTAAGCAAATACAGGTTTCTGTTTTTTGTACCTGTGGCGCCATCGTGGGTTAAGTATTTAAACTAGTCCATATACAGGTTTCTAAAAAAAGCCTTCGTCACTGACATCTATCGTCAAGTAGCCAAACTTTTCAAATAATTTTCTTAGAAATTTAAAGAAATCTATTATTTTTAATTCCGAAAAAGTTTTGAGTTAAAGACATCTCTGAATTAAATTTTGTACTACTTTTGATTCTAACCTTAGAAAAAGATTATTTTTTTTGTAATTTTTGAAAAAAATAAATATATAAATCAACTTCTTTTTAGTCTGCTGACGAATCTAATAGTTAAAATTAAAATGTACGATCTATATAATATTTTTTATAACTAATTTTTAAGATTATTTATCTACAATTCGTATTTTTAAGTGAAATCTCTGAAGGCAGTATACAGATGTAACATTTTTTTTACAGATCTAATAATACAGCGAGGAGAGCTTGCTATGAGCAAGAAAGGAAAATACATCAAGTAAAATGGAGAGAAATAAGATTTTCTTTTGAGAAAATATCTTCAGGTCAAAGAATAATTTCATAAGAACACCTCACTGATTGTACCCTGCTCTTCAATGAAAATGTGTGCCAAAAAAAGAGTAAACCTGAAGCAACAATATTGGAATCAACAAAACAGCGAGATGGTTTCAGCTTTCAAATCATTCCTGCAAATACCTCTTTCAAAAATTATATTCTCGAACATTGAAATCCATTCTATGATGTACCTCCCAAACCTGCTTTTTTCTTTGATATAAAGATGATTTGAAATTACTATTTTCTAAATGCAGTATTGTTATGAAGATATGATTGCAGTATATAATATAAGGTAAACTAGTTGCTTTTGCATTGTTTCAGTGTGTTTTTTATTTGGAACCATAAATGGAGGTTCCATAGTGAAAAGACATAAATGAAACTAATCTGTATGGAAAATTTAACGTTTTTTGTGTCTGTAATATCGACTGAAACTAAATACACATATATCTTTATGGCCCTTTTTGTTTAAATATTTTTTTTATGAAAATCTTGGTATAATATATTTATAAAATAGTTTTTATTAGAAAAAATTAACATCACATCGCAATTTTTTCATATTTATTTCAACTGATGTGTGTCTTTTTTAAAATACTCATTAGGCATATATTAGGGTTTCTATTAGATGTTTTCATTCTCATTTATTTATAAGATATAGAGAGAATAGTGACATACATTTTACAAAAATTTTTGGAGACCTACAAGGAGTCAAATATATTTTTACATTAAAGTTGTAGTTTCTAAAATTGAATGCTGTAAATTTTATGCTTAGTACAAAAATATCATAAATAATGTCATAATACTAGTGTTGAAATATAATTTTTCTACTAAATTTTCTGTACAGGGTGGCTCGAATTCGGCGCTCATTATTGGGATTTCGGAAACCGTAAGAGATACAGGATCAGTTGAATGGAGGCAAAGTTACGGAATTTGATGCTCAATAAAATGCCGTATTGCATTTTGAAAAATTCCGAATACTTCCGAATATATTCGAAAAAAAAACGGAATTTTCAATTTTGTTTTCTATTGTTTCCTGGCTTTATTTGTTAAGATAACTTAAAATGAAAAACACATCTTCATGGCCACTTTTTCTGCTCTATACTCTGTGTGATTAAATATTGACTCTGACGTTTCGGCTTCTGGCGACCATCATCAACTTAATTTTTTTAAATACGGATGTGATTTTTTTTTCAATTTAATTAAATCCTTTCATCACTTTTAAAACACTATATATAGTCACTTTGATATTTGCCGACGTTTCGTATAGACAATTCCATCACAAGAATATTTTAATGAAAAAAAAAATAAAAATGCAATACGGCATTTTATTGAGCATCAAATTGCGCAACTTTGCCTCCATTTAACCGATCCTGTATCTCTTACGGTTTCCGAAATCCCAATAATGAGCGTCGAATTCGAGCCACCCTGTACATCTAAATACTATCAAAGTGAAAAAGTAGGTAACTTTTTATTGGAAATACTTTATATTGTCCTGTTCAGAAGTAAATAAAATACACTGTATTGCACAAAAACTATGTCTTTATTGTAAAAATAAGTTTCAATCGCTCTGTATGTCTGTGTAAATCAGATATTAATCATTAAAAATGTACTCTATATACTGTTGCTCTTATATATTGTAAATAAGATGTCAGTGCAATTCTTAAAGAGGAACCTGATAAGGAGCTCTTTCAGAACTCTGGTTCACCCTGTATAAATATATTTTTTTTTCAGAAATATCTGCAAGTACTGGAAATATGGACATACGGTATACATCAGAAAGAAAACGGTATAGACGAATCTATAATCGAAGGACTTTCATTCTAGTTGGCTGTTTATATGTCTAAAAATAAATCTATAATTATTATATTAATGTTAATTGTATTTATAAACTATTATTTTTCTAATAAATCTTACTAAAGTTTTAAAATAGTTTCTCATTTGAATCCATTAAATAGTTTTTTAATTTAAGGCAACACAATTTTAATATTGGCATATTACTGGTTGCCAAAACAAAAAAAAGTGAAAATATTTAAATATAAATTCAATAAATATTATTAATCAAGTTACCTTTAATATCAGTATATTAATTTAATAAACAACGATACGTTATTCTTTAAAGATTTGATATCTTTTATGTGCATTTTTAAAAATATTTTTCTCAAGTGAATTAAATCGGAAATCGTTGGCCAACGAGCTCGAACAGTTAGACTCATTTACAAAAACGTTAATTACTCAGAAACTAATTAAGATATCGAAGTGCGCTTGGTCGCAATCGATAGGGAATTCAACCCTCAATCTGTACATAAAATTACAACCCCCTACGACAAACTTTATTTTTTGGAGCAAAAATGAGCAAAGGGGTTAACCTTAGAAAATGTTTGGCCCAAAAAATAAAGGGTGACGTAGGGGGTTGTAATATTGTATATAGATAGAGGGTTGAATTCCCTATCGAATGGCAGCAAGCGCGCCCCGATAGCTCTTTTAGTTACGGAGTTATTAGCGTTTTAATTTCGAAAACGAGGTCAAAGTGTTAGAGTCAACAAAATTCAGCGTTTCTCTGGAGTTTTAAAAATTTGTTCGAGTTGTTGAAAAATTTCGCACGGGGCAACCAAATCATGTGCGTTTTGTCATCAAAAATTTAATTTTGAACAGAAATGAGACGATATTTTTCTGAATCATATTTCTTAACGTATAGGTATTTTATATTGTGATTATATTTCTGGTTTGCCAATATATATTTTGTGTTGCCATTTTATTTTTTCTTGGTATGTTTAATAAGAGCTCTAAGAGTTTTTCTTTTAATTGTTATAGTAAAGGAATTATGCTATAAATCAAACACAAGTGTAATATATTAAAATATTTATTAAAAAATATCTGAATAGGACCATAATGTCGAACATTTACATAAATTAAAAATGTTTGCCATCAAGTGGCAGGGTAAATAATTGCTCTATAAATTGGGTCTAATAATAAATTCTAATACTTTTATTTATATTCTCTATTCTAATTATACACAATAAGTTATAAACTATGGATCTTATTAATTAAAAAATGTATATTTATATAACTTATAAAGCTATATGAATTTCTTTACACCACTATAATATACTGCCGTGTTAAGGATAAATATCTTAACTAAAATTGAGATACAAGTGTGTTATTAATTGTTCAACACACCAGCTCAAGGTTTTTTCATTAACAAGGTAGTGCCATACGATCGAATAAAAACGGCGTCAGCGATGGCTATGAAATAAAGATCGCTGTCATTTTATATCTAAAATTATATGAGGAATGTCATCGATCCTCATTTCCAAGCCAACTGGACGCAGTTTTTTTTCGATCATACGGTATATGTTTACATATTTGATTTTCATATCTAATTATATCAACTAGACTAAAACATATTCTTACACTAAATATATTTCCTAACTATAAATATTATTTTGAACTTATTAACTAATAAATATCTACAGTAAAATATATTTTTTTTGTTATCGCTTATTACATTTTTTAACGTATTACATTTTAACAAAGGTAAAAGTATATTGAAATCCAAGTTGATGGCGGACATGCTGATGTCTAGATGAAAGTTAATAAATCTTCTGCAACATTTCTGGAAAGCCTTGGTTCTGTAATAAAAATATAAACAAATAATTAACATAAATATTTAGTATACAATTAAAAGAGGTTAAACCAGAGAAAAAAATAAAATAAACACTTCAAATACTACATAGGTCATCGATGGCCTAACATCAGGGTTAGAGGGTGACCCGGTCCTTTCTTGAGATATTGCACAGGAAAATTCTTGGGAAAAATTCTAGGAAAGCCAGAAATGATATGGACGAATGAATTTTTGAATAAATGGCGAATGCGCCAGGAATCATTGGAAGATTAGCGCTTTTCATGAAATTTTTAGGTATTGGATCCTATCCATTAAAATTAAAATTCTGTGCAAGAAATTACACAAGTAAAAAATTTTTTTAACGACATTATAAGAAAAATAATACAAATAAAAGAATACTTATAGAAATACAGTCAATAGAACTTTTTTATAATCAATAAATGATATTATTATTCCTACAATGAAGAAAATATAGGATTCAAGCTATTATAGAAAAATGGTAGTTAATCATAAACAAAATAAAGTAAAATTCTAAGTAGATGGTATTTTTTTACAATTTATATTTAAAAATCAACACCTTTTAGTTTAATTTACCTAAAATTATTTAGCATCGTCAATGATGAACTTCAACATTCTCAGTCCACTGTTGAATGTTGAATTTAATCAGTCTAATGACATCTCGAAGAGGGTGGTTGAACTCAAGTGCCTGCTGTCCTTGTCCAAAAATCCTTGTTCCAAAGCAGTACAAGATCCCCATCAAACATTCAGTTTGAAAAGGATGGAGATAAAAGAAAATAAATTAGAAAATGAATCCTAAACTACAAAATTCTATGTGGGTATCAATAGAAATGAAATCAAAGACTTGCAAGTCTTAGATTGAATAGCAGTAAATTAAACAATAACACAAATAAAAGAAGAGATTTAGAAATACAATCAATATAGATGAGATACAATAAATTACATTTAAAAAAATAACATATGCAAGTTTTACACTGTATGGGAGGTATGATAAATTCTCTATAGAGACAATAGAAATAAAATGCCTTAGACAAGTCTTGACATAGAATGGCACAATACAAAAATAAATGATACAAGTAAATGATGACTGATAACTCAGGTATACATAAATTAATAGATTTCAAAGAATGGAGAAAATATGAGACACAAACAAAGAAATAGTGGTATGTGGAATTGGAAAAAATGGCATGAAAATGTGTAATGAACTTATAAAAGTCTCAGAAGAATGACAGAAAAAAATTATATAATTATATACATATTAGATGATTTAGAAATACAACCAATTGAAAAGTTTATAGAACTGATGAACGATGACATTTCCATAAGGAAGAAAATATGGAAACAAATGGTGAAATATAGATATGATGAACTGAAAAAATGGCATGAAAATGGGGTATAAATTAGTAAAAAATGGAAATGAAAATGAATGAAATGCTATAACTCTATATATAGAAATGATAAAATATATCATAGAAAAGTGTCAGAGGAATGATAAAAAAATACAAATATATAAGACAATTATTAAAAGGGTTTATAGAATTGATGAATGATGATATTCCAATAATAAAGAAAATATGGGATACAAAAATAGTGAAATAGAGGTAGACCAAAAGCAAGAGAAAAAAATAAAGAAGTATGTGGTCAATAAGAAATGGAAAATTCATTTGACATCAAACACAAAAAGAAAAATCCTCCAGAGCATCTAAGTTCGCCTCCCTTCATCAGATTTAACCCTTGTCCGACGATTAAGCCCCACCAGGCAGTTCCCATCCCAGCTAAGCAGCCTCGTCTCGGGTCACCCTCGTCACCCATCGAGCGGACATCCACCGGGACCCCCTACAGGCGGACCCCCCTCATCATCTTCAATGTGTCCAATATCCCGCCCCCTCTACTGTCGAGACGTCACGGGATACGGGCACGAAGAAGTCTCGTAGCTTGGGTGCCAGGTCGTATCCGGCCGAAGCGTTAGAACACCTAGCTCGTAAACCAGAGGGTGGTGACTCCCTTGGGTACCTATGCATGCTACATAGGTCATCGATGGCCGAACATCAGGGTTAGGGGGTGACCCGGGTCTCCTCCTCTTAGGGGAGGCTAGCTATGATGCTCTGGAGTCGATGTTACTCAGGAAATATCATTGGAAGAAATGCTAGAAAAGCCAGGAAACATGTGGACGAATCAGTTTTTGAACAAATGGCGAATGCGCCAGGAATCGTTCGAAAATTAGCGCTTATCGAGAAATTTCTAAGTGTGAAATCGTGTGTTTCAATTCTATTTAAACCCAGGCAAACCAAACCACCAAAATACGTAAAATTATAGCAATTCATGGCATATGGTCTGAGAAAAATGACATGAAAATGAATCCAACAAAAATAAAATTCAGTACAAGAAATTCCCCATTAGTATAAAAAAAGTATTAGAAGAATGACACCACAGTTTATGAAACATTTTATAGAATTGGTAAATGATGCGATTATTCCCACAATGAAGAAAATATGCGAATCAAGCTATTATAGAAAAATGAAAGTTAACTATACCATAAACAAAATGAAGTAAAATTCTAAGTACAGGGTACATTTTACCAAATAAATAAGATCTATAGAAAAAAAAGTCACTGGAATAGCAGAAACAGAAAAATATAGGAGGCAAGCAATTATAAATAAATAACTTGTATAAATAAGTTAATCATAAACATAATGAAGTTAAATTCTAAGTTAGATGGTATCATACCAAAAAGAAAAAGAATTTAAGTGACCAAAAGGCAAAAATTGGCTCAAATTAAAAATAGTTGGTCTAAATAATAATAAGGAACCATAAAAATGTAACCCAGAGACTCACTGATATTTTTTTCCTACTTTTTTAACTATAGAAATCATGAAATCCACTGATACAATTTTAGATATACTTACAAGTCCTGATGTATTGTTGGTAATATTTGTGACAAGGATAAATGTACTGCCCTGGAACTGTATACATCCATCGATTAGTTGAGGAAAATCTGTAAAAAAGAAATAAATAGTATTATATATACACTTCAATAATTATACTATAATAATTGTGTTTTTTTTTTTATTAAGATTAGATATATCTTAAAAAATATGGTTGGTTTGTTAAGAAACATTTAATAGATTTATTAATTAATTATTATCAAATAATAAATAAAACTTACTTTTAATCAGATAATGGAAGACCACCTTGTAAATCAGAATGATGGCCAAACGTCAGGATTATACAAGGGGTGACCCAGGACCCAGGTCTCTTCTTTTAGATGGTTTGTATTGTTTGTATTATTAATATTCCTAAAAAAAACATAATTATTAAAGCTTTATATTAAAACAATGCAAAATAGTCAACTTAAATACGACGACAGTGACTAGTATTAAATATTATGTGTGCAAAAAGTATTTTTATATCTGAAAGTATTAAAATTATTGAGAATATAGGGACCCCTTTAGGTATACTATCACTGACTTATCTTAAAAGACGTAGAAAATACTTGTTTGCCTATATAAATAAACACCTAAAAAGTTATCTTTAGGAATAAAAAACATCTTTTAACTCAACAAACAATACCAAAAAAAGTGATTCAATAAATATCAAGTATCTCTAAATATAAAGCAATATTCTAAGTAACTACGGTTTTAATGTACAATAGAGGGATCGAGGAAAGCATATATGATTTTATACACTCGATTTTGAAAAAGAAAATTATGAAAATAGAAAAAATGTATCAGCTTCTAATGATGTAATTGAAGGATTTAAAAGTGAAAAAAAACTATAGAAAACAGGCAAGATAATGGGTACTTACATTTTCGGGAGATTAAAGGGGCCTTAAGGAACAGAATAAACTCAAATAGTGCACAGAAAAAACACTTTCTATCAAAAAATCAGAAAAATTATAAGAACGACATAACTAAAGAACAGTAACCACAGACTCAAAGTTGTTGTTCTTCTTCTTCAGACACAAAGTTGAAAAATGTTCTTCTTCTTTTTTATTTTTATTGGCTCGAATCATGGGCTACCATAGATTTAACATAGATTTTCTTCTCCTTTATTTTTAAATGGCTGGAACTCATACAGGTCATCCGGCCAGTCTCCTGGAAAAATAATTAAAATGCATCGATATATTTTGGACATCCCTACTGATGTGATTAAACATTAAACGTCAATGTCATTTAGTTGTTGACGAAAGAAAACAAATATTATAAATTCTTATCAACAAAATTTCATTTTTTCCTTGAGAAACCGCAAATTCCTGCAGTTGACGCTCTTTGAGGGGCGTATCTGAAGATAAGTTACCATATAATTTAAAAATGATGGAAGTGTAGGCAGTATCCTGGCATTTTTAGCTGGAATTCGCTGAAATTTAAGTCGCAAAAAACTCAATGTCAAATCATTACAAATATCAATTGATTAGTTAATTATTAGGTTCACATTTCGAATTGTATTACCAAGAAGAAATAAATGTAGGTGTTTAGAAGAATTTCTGTCTGTGCAAATATGTATTTAAATAGAAGTTGTTTTGATATTTTAGCATACAATACAAGATGTCTCAGATAGATTGGAGATACGTAAAGGAATTGTTCTATCAAAAAGACGATGAACGCAATCTCATATCGGCCTCCTTCCACATGCTAACCATCACTCTGATAAGCATGTCTTTAGTGGATCTTTCATGGTTTAACATTACAGGCGATGTCTGTATTCCGTACCTAACAATGGGGCAATTCTTCTGGTTTGGTTACGGCAGTGAAGAAGTCAACTACTCAAGTACGTAGTCTTTTTTTGTATAAAACTAACAATCTAAGTTGATATTTATTTCTAGTTTTTGATTGTGTTGATTCCACAATTGTCAATATGATGCGTATCATAATATTGTTATGTTTTATGGCCATTATATTCGCGTTTATGGGATTTATTTTGGACATTGTCAGTCCTCGGACTCTAATATACAGGATGTTTAGGAGATACGCGGTTTCAGGTACTGCTACAAGTAAGTTGAAATTTGATTTATTACATACACTACTACACAGGGTGTTTTCTAATGAGATGCCTTATTTATATGCCTTTTTTCTTTAAAATAGGATCAAAAGTCACCCCCTTAAATATTAGCATATCATTAGGTAACACCCTGTATATATATATCTCTGTAACTTTCTTACACAACCTGTATTATAGTTTGATCTTTATTATTTCAGTATTATTTGTGATGACAATCATCACAATGTCATATTACGTAGTGATACTGTTAGAGGACACTATCGAAGATAAAACATCTAAAAATTACTACGAAGTGTCCTATGGTTTGGGATTCTATCTTGTTGCATTTGCTGGTAATATCATAATGTTTTCTGAAGAAATACGTAAACATAGAGGAACTCTCACTCTAGTCTTCTAGGTTTACTTATTTTTCTGGGCTATTATACTATATTAAATCTGTTTACAGGAGGCGTACAAGCAGTAGGTCTGATGTACAGCTTGATTTTGCCATACAAATCGGCTTACGAGGAAGATGACAGTTGTTTGATCGATGGCTTCGACGACGAAAGCCATTTCCAGAGCCCCACACCCCCTCCTCCTTATTCTTTGACTCCTCCTCCACCTTATTCTCCCTGATTTTTATCCCACCACAATGATACTCCTGTTTAATCACTCTCATACACTACCTTCCCCAATCTTTGTGTATGACCCTGTACAAAAAAGTTTTTTTTAAGCTTCCCTTAGCTTGTCCTTTGTTGAACTCAGTTGAAGAGTTTGGGATATTATGAGGAAACTATATTTTTTGCTATTGTATAGAGATGAGCAGAAGAACGATGTGATAAATATTTTTACTAGTCTCTCCAACCCGAAAAAAAATTAGGTACCTTACTTAAATATAACCTTAGAGATGTTTTAAGTACTAAAAATACTGGTATTATTTTTTTATTTCTTCTGCTATTATATTGTAAAGTATGTCCAGTTATATAACCAAAGAAAAATAAGTACCACTGTAATATATCTACAGATCAACATATCTCGCAAGTATTTCAACAAAAGTACTTAACAGTGCGTTCTAAAATATTTATATTACCTCTACATGTTGACCTGGTGTCTGTGTAATTTATACAGAGTATAGTATACACAACGTACTCTACTTGATGTTGAAAAAATCATTTTTAGATCTGAAATTATATTATTTTTTTTATTACTATTGTTTGTTACTTTGTAAAGATAGAAATTAGTGTGAAACTAGTTTCTTCTCGCAGATATTTTTATTAAATTATGCTTAAAAATAAACAATCCGTGTTTAATTTTTGTCACAAAACAAATATATCTAATTCAGTCAAAAATCAAACCTTAACCTGTAAATTTGTACTTAAAAAAACAGTTTATTATGTTATATTTTATTGTTAAATCAGAAAATGCTAGTCCCTTCTCAGTAGTTTACTACTAACTTCTGGAACACTGAATTGCCTCAACTGAGAAATATCAAACTCGGGCATCGGTTTCAAATCCAGAATGGGTAAACTTGATAATTCGGGTATATCGGGACTTAATTCTGTCATGGGAGAAAAAACAAAAGGTGACGTTCCTCCACTAGAGTCTGTAGTGACTCTTAGATTATTCGTGGTGATTTCTACAAAAAAAATTACTTATTTTACCGATTTTTGTCTTAAAAATTCTAAAAACAACCTTCTTTAGTGGATTTCTCAAATTCCAGCTGGTAGATACGTGACTTGAGGGATTCAATTTCCTTATTTCTATCATCTAACTGTATTAGAAGTCCTAAAACATAATTTTAAACCAGAACTAAATACAAGTACGTTCAAAATATAAACTTACCATGCACTGATTCCCTCAATTGTCCACTCAACAATTTCAGTTCTTCAATTACGGTTGATTCGTCTTTGGGATGTTTATTTCCGATAATAAACTGTGGGTCCTCATCTTCTTCCTGTATAGTGCCCTGAATTTTATCAGTAACATTATCCCTGTGAGTTAGATATGATATCAGAGAATCGTGCGTTTCCATGGCTCTGAAAATCTTTGTCTCCAAAGTATCCAAGTCTTTTTGCGACGTTTTCGAAGAATTTACGCTACCGAACTTCTTTTCTTTTTCCATTTTCTCCATGTAAGCTTTCTTGAGCTCGAGTAAACGGATTTGTCTTTCGTTCCATTCTTTTTGCAGCCCTATTGATTCGTTAATGGTCTTGTTGCTGCCGTTACCCAGGCATTTTTTGAACAACTCCGCGGCCTCTTTGTGACATTCGATCGCCGCATCGTATTTTTTCTGGCGATTCAACGTTTCAGCCTTGCGTTCGAGCTGATGTGCCTGAAGAAATAGAATTTTTAATTGAAAACAGTACAAAAAGTTTAATTTTACACACTCTGTTTAATGGCGCCTTATCAGTATCCATTTTCTTAATCCCTGGATTATATTGTTATAAAAAATACTTAAAATATCGTGAAATTAATTGCCTCTCAAAAATTTCCCCTGTAATGTAAATAGTAAACACTTCCAAAAACAAAAAACGTCAAAGAAACTGACAAATGACACTAATGACAGCGACAACCCTGTAGGGATGTGCTAGCATATCGATCTTTGGAAGTTATCGATATTAGATCCACAAACAAGGATGGGCTTCTACAAAATTATGTAAAAAACTATTTTTTTACATGTTAAAAATATTTTTTTACGTGGTTTTACGTATTGCGATAACGTAAAGTAGTACAAATTCTTTAAAAAGGCTGTTAGCTGTTAATGAGAGTTGTAAAAAAATATTTATATTTGTTTATTTTGTATAGAAAAAGCTAAACAAACTTTAGCTGATATAGAGGATAAAATGAATCAATAATCTGATAAAAAAAATCAATATATTACCTTTATAAGTCATCGAAATATAAACATTTAAAATAAATAATTATCTACAATTAGATATGTTAATAAATGCTACAAAATCACCAATCTAATATGGCAAGATGTAAATAAGATTCGTCAAAAAAGAAACAATACAGTACAAAAAACATCACGCAAATAAAATTAATAAACATTTTATACAAAAATAATCAAATCAGTCGATAGACTCGATACATATATATTTTTAAAAATAATGACAGTCTTAGAAATGTCGTTTATACCAGAAAGACTCCTTTTTAATTTAACTAATTCGACTTTTTTTCTTATCTATCTAGTTAAATGGTAACTCTCATAAACTCTAAATTACAGCACAAACTTCATCAATTATAGATCATTTATAGATCCTAGAACTTTGAAAATTGGTCAGAAGAAGAACTACATTAGGTTTGTTCTCACAGCGTGTTCCCAACATGTTTGTGACTTCTTCCAAACCGGTGTTAATGCGCAGGTCTCAAATAATGCACTTTCTGATCGATTTCAAACTGTCTGTGCGAACAGCGGATCCCCTACTCTTCTTTTTTGATCTAATACCACTAACTGCCACTAATTTTAACTCCTACGTAATACCGAAAAAGAAGAAACGAACAGGGAATTAACATCGCTTTTCAACAGAAGAACAATCCTTAACCTCGCTTTACTTTTGTTTTTTAGTAATTAGTACTTGAGTCAAAAAATATTGTTTGATATTGTTCCTAGAAAATTAATAAAACCACCGTCACCGCTGTGCTGTATAATTATGGATACTAGAAGCTGTGAATCAGGTAGGTTTAAAATTTCGTATTTTAATGTGTAGTTCCATCGGCAGTTCGTGTGGTAAAAGTTCACTTTAGTGATACCCCATATTTTAAGAGATTTTCGTAAAATTCATTTTCAGGGGGTTAATATAGGACAAATGCAGCAAGAATCTGATTGCTCCGGTAGTTTTATTTTTAAATGCGTTTTTTGTGAAATATAAAGTAGAGGCATTTCTAAATAACATAACTGGCATGTAGAAATGCCCCCTTCTTTATATTTCAAAAAAGAAAACAGGGTTTTTTGAACAAATTTCAACAAAAATTGAGAGGCAATTACCGGCGTACGCGGATTCTTGCTGCATTTGGCTAATATAAAACCCCTAAAAAGGAATTCTTTGAAAATACAAGGTGTCACTTAAGTAAACTTTTACTATTTGTGTTTAATCTTGAATACTAAAAACCCTTCTATTGTTGACTGAGTATGTAGTTTTATATTAGCACCACATTTCGTATTGGGAATAATATGGATAGATAATTATTGTTTTTTATTTCTTTCAGGACTCTCAGAGTTTCTTGTATTTGTACCACCGGCAAAGGCAACTGAGGCATCAACAAACCAGGAACTAAGTGATACATCTCCAGCTCCAATTACTTGGTCCACAAATCAAACCAAAGTACTTTTAGATTTGTACCAAAAATATAGAGTGAGGGTTGGTACTGCACAAATAAAAAATTTCAAAAAATTGTGGGAAATTCTAGCAAAAGAATTAAATGGATTGCTTAGAACCAACGTTACAGCTGGTCATGTAGAAAATAGATGGAGAGTTTTAGAAAGAGCATACAAACGATACGTGGACAATCAAAATAAAACAGGCCAGGGAAAGAAATATTTTGAATATTTAGAAGAAATGGATGCAATCTTTAAAGGAAAGAAAAATGTAAATCCGGTTGTTCTACTCTCAAGCGAATCTGTGCAGAAAATGCCTGACAATCAATCAGAGGAGTCCCTAAAATTCCCAGAAACTCCAAGAAAAGCCACTACATTACAAGTACAAGAAGATAGATCAAAAGAGAAAAGGACCCCATTGCTTAATAGAAATGTAACATTAGTTCACATGAGACGGGACAAAAAGGAATATTATGAGGCTCGATTGTTGATAGAGAGGGAAAAAGTTGATATTCTAAAGGCTAAGGTTAAGCTTATGGAAGAAAAGAATACACTACTGGGGGAAAGAAATGAAATTTTAAAAAAGAAAAAATGTGTTTTGTGTTCCCAGGAATCTATATAGTTTGTTTTCCAAGTTATTTTTAATTTTCTTATTCTTATTTTTTTTATTTTCCAAGTTATTTAGGAGTATTTACCAAAGAATGTAGTTTTTGTTTATAATTGTTTTCATTTGTGTAGGCTAAGGAAACTATAAGACTGTTGCTGCAGGGTATAATGTATATTTTGTTGTTAAAATAAAATATAAAAAATGTATTCACATATTATTGATTTTTTATAAAAATTGTTAATGCACATTTCAAAACTATACAGTGTCACAGAAAAAGCAAGGCTATTTTTAGCTTAAAAAATACCAGAATCAGAGCAAATGTGTGGTGTTTAAAATATATGTAAAAGAAGCTATATTTTCTATGCTAAATTTGTTAGAACATCACAGTAAGGGGACATTTTTATATGAATTTCACTTCCCCTGAAAGCAATGAATGTTTTTGGATGAAGGAATGCTTACACACAACTTTCATGTGCAATAAAAGCAGATTTAATGTTTAAGGAAGCAAGAAATTCATTTATAAATGTGATTCTTGTGATTTTGTAACTGAAGATAGCATCTTGATAGCACAATTATTTTGTTAAAAATTATTTCAAAAACCACATTTGCACATTTCAATAGTTATAAACGGCTCTTGAAAAGCCTGTCATTTTATATAACTTCTAAAACAAAAAAAAATGCGAAATTTTAGTTTTATTTAAGTAAACACTAAAAAAATCTAATATGTAGCGTACAATTTGTATGGCTTACACAAGAAGTGACAGATAATTTGGCAGACTTTAAACAATGTCCCTTGGTATTGGGCAAGTCCCAAAAAATTATTATGCATTTATTGTCCAAGGATGTTTACAATGTGATTTCGTTTTGCTACAGCATTTAAATCTTCCTGAATGCCCTGTTCTATATTATCGGGGTCTAGACGTGGAGCAGGTTCAACTGGTTCTACATTTTCTTCTAAATCTAGTGCAACACCATCTTGCAACCCTAAATTGTGAAGAACACAACATGCTCTAATGAAGTTAACGATGAGCCTAATATCCCTTAATTTCAAATGATACAGCTGACGCCATTTTTGCTTTAATACCCCATTACAGTGCTCAATCTTTACTCTGTTGCTGGAATGTTGTATATTGTAATTAATTTGTTGTCTATTTAACAGGCCTCTATCTGGAAAGGGTGTTAACACATTTTTTAATAATGGATAAGCACTGTCTCCTAGCAAGTGAAATTCTCCACATTTTTCTTCCAATGTCTCACTTAATGGAGATGTTCTGAACACTCGGGCATCATGTACGGATCCTGGATACCCTGTGAATATGTCAGTAATGCGAAGATTATGGTCACATACCAGTTGCACCTGTGAAAAAAAAAACACTTAAAATTTTGATATTCACATACCGGGTGATGCATCAGGTAAGGACAAATAGGAAATCCCGTGTTAATTTCAGGGGTGTCGATTTATTGGTTCCCCTATTGATTTTAGAACAAACTTTTAAAGGAACTTTTTGAAGTATTGGATTAGGTCGCTACCTACCAACTTTGAAACTCATTTGCTAAGCCGTTTTTAAAATATTTGCAAAATTAGATTCCTCAAATACGTCAAAATTATATGCTTTTTATGCCAATGTCATAAAATTTAATAAATTGCTGGTAGTTGGAGTGTTTTACGGTTATACAGGGATGTACAAATTATGTTTTTTAAGGATCTAATTTTACAAATAACTTAAAAATGCCTTAAAGAATAAGAATCAAAGTTGGTAGGTAGCCTGACCTAATCTAGTACTTCAAAAAGTTCCATTAAAAGTTTGTTCTAAAATAAATAGGGGAGCCAATAATCGACACCCCTGAAATTAACATGGGATTTCCTGTCATGAGCTGATGCATCATCCGGTATATTTTATGCAATACAGTACAGTAATAATTGTTCTGTATAACAATTTAGTGGGTATTAGGGTCCAGGCAAAAGCAGTAACAAAATAAAAAGTGTCAATGTCAAGTTAAACCTACCTGAACAGAGTAAAAGCCCTTTCGATTAATATAGGAGTCAGGATCATCCTGGGGTTTATCTATTTTAATGTGGGTTCCGTCAATTAGCCCAATAATTCCGGGAAACGTATTTTTATGGCGAAAATACTGTTCTATTTCCTGCTTCTCCACATCATTTGGCCATTTTATAACCTCAGGTGAAAGGTTACTTAAGAAATATATCATTCTTTTGATAATTTTATGTAGAACACTGATAGTCACATTAAATCTGTCAGCTACATCACGGAAGCTAGCGGTTTGATGCCCTGCATACCATAAAAATATATAAGTGTACTGTAATGAGGTTAATTTTCCATATGGTCCTGACTGTTCCTTATAGTATTCACTATTTGCAAATCTTTGAGAAATATCGTTTGCTACTTCACGGCTAACTCTAAAATGTTCCAGGAATTCAGTTCTGTTGAACTGGGGCACCGTTTCATCCAAGTAATTTTGATTCTTGGGCCTGACCCGTTCCTCCATCAGGTCTGTTCCAAGAAGAATCCCTGACTAGTCAGCGCGGTTCTTATTGGTTGAAATGCGTAGAAACCTGACTAACAATCAGCAGTGGGATTCTGTAAGCTCCGTAGCAAGAAATTTCTTGTCTAGCCTATGCTATTTGTATACGAATGATGAGTTACTAGACAAGAGAAATGTTTACAGAATCGGGCCTCAGGTTTCTACGCATTTTAACCAATGAGAAACGTGCTGACTAGTCAGGGATACTTCTTGGAACAGACCTATCAGCTCTTCTAGGTCTGTGTCTGTATCCGAAAATTCGGACGCCTCAGATTCTTCGGAAGATTCAAAATCGCTCATTTCTGTTCTTTATTTTTTGAAGAAAAAAAACACTAAACAAAAACAACACACGTTTTGTAGGTTAAGTTTACCAAGCAATGAAGCAATGACGTCGAGTTGCAATACGCATGCGCCGGACACTTTACTTGCAAAAGATCCGCGAACTGGTCTGACTGTCAGCCAACAATCAGAATTTTCTGTGTGAACAGCTTACTGTTGGTTGGAAACCAATCAAAAATTTCTGTGCGAACGCGTCTTACCCTATTGCGCATGATTATCTGTTGGAAATATGTTTCTTACAGCTGTGAGAACAAACCTATTGTAAGAAACCGAAATCTAGACGAATTTAAATTTTTCTAACACGTTAAAAGTTTTTTAGAGTGATTGATAGGATTGATTAGTGAGAGTTCACTATAGATGCAACCAAGAATACATTTAGCTCTAATAAAATTTGTTTAATTGACACTCGAAGATAGCCCTTATGTAGACTTCATTTATAGGCCATTTTTTTCGTACACAAGATGCTGCAAATTATTTGTTTCATAATGTAATGTTAGTTGCCTACATTGTAACCGGAGCGCACTAATCAGGCCTGCTCAAGAGTTTTAGAGTAGCTTTAAAAATAGTTTTATTTATTTCTAGGCCTCGCTATTGGCAGTTAGGCTATTAAGTATCGGTGAGTGTGACTTACTAAACCTACGCTGCTTTTGATTAAAGTATGACATATTTTCTTAGGCTGACTCTTCACAGAGTTGGGTGTATCTCTTTGAATTCCAAAAATACATGCTTAGAAGCAAAAAAAAAACGTTTAAAAACCTGAAAAAGAGTCAGTAAGAACACTATTCTTTTTGCCTGGATGTGACGTCGAAATAATAGGTTATACCAAGCGACTAGCGATATAGTGTAATATACAGGGTGTCCCAGAAATAAGTGCAAGTATTTTAAGAGGTGGTAGATCTCGATAAAAGAAACATATTTTCTCTCTATCGTTTTTCAAATAAGTCCAAAATAACGGAGTTATTTTACTTTGAAAATTTAAAGAAAAAATGATTTTTTGCTAAAATTTTGATACTGGATCTTTTCTGAATGTTCTTTCTTGTAAATTTAATCTAATACTTATGTTGCCACATTATCAAGAAATTATGTTTTTTAACTAAAAACTAAAAAAAAATCCAAAAATTTTTTCAAAAAATTTCGTAGTAAAAAACTTCATAGGCGTGTTTCTGGGGTTGAACTAAACTACCAGTTAAAATACTTGTACTTATTTCTGGGACACCCTGTATATATGGCAACAATGAATTTAATAATCGCGCACTCGATAACATAACTAAAAGTTTATTTGGTATCGATTATATGTTGGCTACACGTTGCCCTCACCTAAAACCGTCTCCAGTTGTTGCATGGTCTAAGGTCTAATTTTCCAGAAGTTCCAAATTCGGGTTTAAACGTTTGTAGGCGCTTCCATGCCGCAAACGATGCTTTTCATGACGCTGGCGGCCGCCAGGGAGGCGTACGGTTGCCATTCCTTGCGCCTGGTGCCGTCCTTGTAGTCGGAAATGCCCCTGATGCAGACGAAACTGTCCTTGCAATTGCCCAGGATGGATTCGAGGACCGCGTCGAACTCGCAATCGAAGGCTAGGGCTCCGATTTGCGCGGCGAATTGTTGCCTCAGCCTGTCGTCTTTCACTATTTGGCGACCGGCGGCTACGGCGCCTAGGTGTATCCTTGGACAACCTTCCAGTCTGGGAAATTTAAAAAAAAAATCGTTATAAAATGCGGCGGGTTAGTATACAGGGTGATCCGAATTGTATTCAGGAAACTTCGGTAGCGTATTCTGCAGATAAAAATAAGTAAAAAAGTTTGTATAAATGTTTAGTTTTAAACAGGGTGTGGAATTTTCATTTTTATTTCGATTTTTTCAAAATAATTTCTAAAGTAACGTCTTGGTGTCTGGGATTTTTTTGACATGATAAATTTGATTTTGATGTCAATATGACTCCTACATATTTTTGGTACAGAGGTTGCCACCTACATATTTTTAACTGGTTTGAAAGAGTAATAACTTTCCGTCCGTACCTGTATAAAACTACTGAGTAAAAAAATATACATTTACGACGTTTTTTATGTAAAAAAAGTCTCTTGGTAAAAATCGCTACGAGTAATAGTTCTCGAAATATTTGAAATCTAGATTATATCAATACCTGTCATCATTGACATACATTAAACATGTTGACTTATTAGACTGAAATCATAAATTTCAAATGTTTTTATGCCAAATGTTTAACAGAAACTGATTTATCATCATTTTTGCAAAGAAAGATTTATGATTAATTTAAAAAAAAATAAAAAGTTCCAATATTTCTCATTTTAGTCAAATAACTATCTACTCGACATGTTTATTTTTTGTCAATAATGATATGTATTGACTATTTCCATTCTAATTATCTTGAGAACGGTTGCTCGTAGCGATTTTTACCAAGAGACATTTTTTACTTAAAAAATTACGGAAATGTATATTTTTTTACACAGTAGTTTTATACAGGTACGAACGAAAGTTATTACACTTTAAAACAGTTAAAATAAATGTAGGTGGCGCCCTCTACTAGTAGTAGTCATATTAACATCAAAATCAAACTTCTAATGTCAAAAAACCTCCAGACTCCAATTTTCATCTAAATATCGCCTATAGTTCAGAAATTATTTTGAAAAAATCGAAATAAAAATGAAAATTCCACATACTGTATCTCCAAAACTAAGCATTTTAGGACATATATTTATACAAACTTTTTTACTTATTTTTATCTGGAGAATAAGGTGCCGAAGTTTCCCGAATACAGTTCGGACTACCCTGTATTATAGGAAAAGCGATTGTAAGTAAAATGCACAAAAGTAATACTTGTGTTTCATCAGAGAAGAGGCTGACTATAGAAGCAACACTTATAGACAACCTAAGTCGTTATTTCATGTCAAAGGGTGGAGCTGTGAGTGACGTCACACTTAGGCAGTCTATTTAATCTAAATATTGCATTTATTGCTGGTTATATATTGAACAACAATATTGCCACTTTTATAAAATCCTAGTGCAAAAGTGAAGTACTATTGCAGGTATACTGGCCTGGCAAAGGTTAGTCTTGGGTCGAGATTTCCGTATGTAGGAAGAGTACAATGGCGTTTATAATGTACTGAACAAAGAGAGAACAGTAAAAACGTTGCCAAACGTATGAAATAAACCGAGAAACTGTGCACATTGCTAAGAGATGTGAAAGGGGATATAGCTGATTCGTCGCGGTCAACCGGTCGACCCAATCAGTGCATATTATGCAGTACATCATCACGATTTAATTACGTCTCGTAATACTTGATTTGTTTATTTATTAGCTAGTCGCAATTTTCCCTGTAGCTTGTAAATTTTTAAGTGCCAGTTAGAAACACTTGTACTTTTGGTAAAAATAAGCGGAATTGAGTTGGTGTTTGACAGTGGTCGCGCTATTAGAACTCTGAATTCAAAAATCGATATCTCGAAATCCAATATAAACAATTATTAATTGCAGTTTTTTTCAAAAGCTTTCTTAATATATCTGCTATATTTTCTTCGCAGAGAGTATGTGAAAATCTTTATAAATAAAAAAGTTACATGATTGCTTAAAATTGCAATGCACTAAATTTAAATGGATGTTTTTTTTTTATTTTTGAGTGGAAAAAAACAAGCCTATCGAATTTTTCTTATTTAAACATCCTGTAAAAAATCCAAACTTCAAAATAAAAAAAGTTTCAATATCTAAAGTGGTTCTTGAGTTATCGCGTGTTATGTGTTAAAAAGTTAATTTTTTTGAAATTATTGCTATTACTGACGTTTTCTTGTTATAAAAAATATGGACACCCTAACAATATCCTTATAATTCCATTTCAGATGCTCAGAAACATATCTAATGATTTTATCTAGTTATCTTTTCGAAAAAAAAGCCTTTTAAAAATAAGCGGCTTGCGATCGTGATTTTACTTAACTTGATATGGAAAGGCGTACCGGAGAAATGTGGCAACGCCACAACAGCACACCGTTGCATTTCTCTCACTCCAACTTAATAAGATCCCTATGCGATTTACTTCCACACATGTAAATGCCGACCCAAAAGTAACAGTTGCCAGCACGGTATAATATTCAGTAAACCAGTGTCTATACTACACGATTATATCGTTCAAAGAAGTACTGTTTGTTTTCTCTAAAAATAACAGAAACAAGCTAGTTCAAACCTAGACAACTTATTCTTCCTAAGGGCCTTCTTCGGTGTCGGAAACGGTCTAACGTTACGGAATTTGACCGATTTTCTGGTCAAATCCATCTTCCTTAATTACCAGATCAGATCAATCACAATTTATTGATTTAAAAGAAATTAATTTAAAAGAGAAAATGTTACTGAAAGCAGCGAAGACGTGTACCTTTTGATGTTGCCGTCCTGTGGCACCGGATGAGCTACTTCTATAAGGTCCCTTTCGCCTATACTCATGTACAGTTTGTCCGTTTCGGCGCTGGGAGCGTTAAAGTCGGGTTCTCGCTGCGAAGAGAGAATATTCAGGCCTTCTTTGAGGTACTTCAACCACGGAGGAGTGCCAGATTCATCTTGATCAGCCGATACCTAAAAATATATGGATATTGGATTCCTATAAATTTAAGAATTAAATATTTTTGGAAAAAATACCTTCAACTGCGACGAGATGTCTTGAAGACAATAATTGTTGGGGCTGTAATTTTTAATCTCGAACTGGTATCCTTTGTCGGTGACTTCGGCATTTTCGCAGTATAAGTAGATGCTCCTAAAATGAAACATTAGGGTTTGGTGTAAGTTATAAGAAAACGTAGAGAAAAGAGAGAACGTTGAAAAGTATTTTCAGCAAAATTTACAGTTTTTCTGTAAATTTACACGTTTTCTGTAAATTTACTATTTTTCTGTAAATTTACAGTTTTTCTGTAAATTTACACTTATTTTGGTAAATTTACACTTTTCTGTAAATTTACACTTTTTCCGTAAATTTATACCTTTTCCGTAAAACTTTCCGTACACTTTTACTGTAAACTTACACTTTTTCTGTAAATTTGCACTTTTTCTGTAGATTTACGCTTTTTCTGTAAATTTGCACTTTCTCTGTAAATTTAGACTTCCTGTAAATCTACAGTTTTTTTGTAAAAATTACGGAAAAAGTGTAAATTTACAACAAAAATTACTGAAAGTATAAAGTTACAGAGAAGGTGTGAATCTATAGAAAGTGCAAATTTGCAAAAAAAGTGTAAATTTACAGGAAGTGTAAATTTACAGAGAAAGTTTTTTTTGTAAATGTACATTTATTTCGGTAAATTTTCAAAAAAAAAACTAAATTTACAGGAAAAGTGTAAATATGCAGAGAAAGTGTAAATGTACAGAAAAAATGTAAATTTACCGAAATAAGTGTGAATTTACAAAAAAAAAATACAGAAAAAGTTTAGATTTACAGAGAAAGTGTAAATTTACAGAAAAAGCCTAAATTTGTAGAAAGTGCAAATTTATAAAAAAGTGTAAATTTACAGGAAGTGTAAATTTATAGAGAAAGTAAAAATGTACAGAAGTTTTTTTTTGTAAATTTACATTTATTTCGGTAAATTTACAAAAAAAAATAAATTTACAGGAAAAGTGTAAATATGCAGAGAAAGTGTAAATGTACAGAAAAAGTGTAATTTTACCGAAATAAGTGTAAATTTACAAGAAAAATTTACAGAAAGTGTAGATTTACAGAGAAAGTATAAATTTACAGAAAAAGTCTAAATTTATAGAAAGTGCAAATTTGTAAAAAAGTGTAAATTTACAGAAAAAGTGCAAATTTACCGAAATAAGTGTAAATTTACAAAAAACAGTAAATTAACAGGAAAAGTGTAAATTTACAGAAAAAGCGTAAATTTGAGGAAAAAGTATAAATTGACAGAAAAATTGTAAATTTTGCTAAAAATATTTTTCAATGTTGCGATGGCAGTTCTACGCTTTCGTAAAGTTAACTCTAAATAAGGTGAAATAAATGTTCAGTATACTTACTTGTTTCTGGTAGGACTGGAAATAACTACGTCTCCTAGTCTGACGTGCTTGTTGTAATCGGTAAAATGGGGTACTCCACCCCCCACTCCAACCAGAAAAACGTAGTCTACTTTTTGGAAAGTGCCTATAAAAAATATTATTATCTCCGTAAATTTCTTTTATAAATAAATTAAAAAATTAAGGTAGTTCAAATAACCCGCGACGAATATTTACCTAATAATCTAGTTGTCGTGTTGCCAGCAGCTGTCATGGCCTCCCTGGTATGTCCTACGGTAGGCAGTTTGGTAGAGACTACCCTGTGAGCCCCTATATTTCCCAAAGTGTACACATTGGATTCTCCTAAAATAATAGATCATGTACGCTTTACTTCGAGAATTTATTTTGAAAAACTTGACAATGCTTTAAGACACAAACTGAAGAAAACAATATATAGAGTGTCTTTTAAAAAAAGTGCCGATAATTAATATTTATTTTTTCACGCATTTTTTGGTACCCATCTCCATGCTTATTTTTGACTAAAAACCTATTGTGTCCCCTAATTTGTGGTGAATACCACAAACATGCTGCAGCATGATTCAAATTTGTTTAAATCCCAAAAACCATGCTTTCCATTTGTTGATATTTTATTGTCATTTTTTCGATCCCCTAATAAAAAAGCGTGATAAATTGTGCATAATATATAATTATTATTGAGTAGGCATTTTGTGAAGCTGCTTTTGTCCAAAGTTTTCTAATATTTTTTTATTATGAAAAAAAAACAACTTCATGATAGGCATAGAAATGTTAATTATAAACATAAGGACAAATTTGTAGCTAGAATACTTATTTCAAAGCCTAATATAAGGTTGTCTTCATTCAGCCTCATGATATATTAGAAACTATTGAAGAATGGCGTCGTACAGGACATACAGGACAAATAAAACCATATTATGTACAATGAACTTGTGATTTTGTGCTGTTTTAGATAGCCCCAGGTGCGGTGCTGTATGTTTGACTAGATTTATGCACAGTGCACATTTTAGCTTACCAAATCTTGTTCTACTGTACTCTGAGGTCGGGCTCGATGAACCTAGTTCATAATTTTTCTGATAATTTATGGAAAAAAGAAGAAAATCATCGCAAAACGTTAACTACACCACAATTAAAAAATATATTTTTTTTCTGGCTAATATTGTTTCGCTAACAATATTAGCGAAGATCCAACAAAACGTTAGCAAGAATTTATTTTAGCGTTATGAGGGATTGAGTATAGCTAAATAGATTTTTGGCGAGAAAAATATATTTTGTTGTAGTGTAGTAAGTGTATGAAAAAATTATTATACAATTAAAGTACTGTTCTCTGATCATTAGCAAGGATAGTTTTGCCAACTATGTTGGCAAGAATCCAAGTTTCGCTAACAATATTAGCGAGGATCCAAAAAACAGTTAGCAAGAATTTATTTTAGCGTTAGCAGGGATTTAGTATAGCTAATATGGTTAGCTAAACACAGATTTTTGGAGAGAAAAATATATTTTGTTGTAATGCAATTAGTGTATAAAAAATTGTTATATTAAAGTACTTTTCTCTGATCATTAGCAAGGATAGTTTTGCTAACTATGTTGGGAAGAATCCAAGTTTCGCTAACAATATTAGCGAGGATCCAAAAAAACAGTTAGCAAGAATTTATTTTAGCGTTAGCAGGGATTTAGTATAGCTAATATGGTTAGCTAAACACAGATTTTTGGAGAGAAAAATATATTTTGTTGTAATGTAGTTAGTGTATAAAAAATTGTTATAATATTAAAGTACTTTTCTCTGATCATTAGCAAGGATAGTTTTGCTAACTATGTTGGCAAGAATCCGAGTTTCGCTAACAATATTAGCGAGGATCCATCAAAAAAAGTTAGCAAGAATTTATTTAAGCGTTAGCAAGGATTGAATTTAGCTAATATGGTTAGTTAAACAGAGCTTTTTGAAGAGAAAAATATATTTCCTTGTAGTGCAGTTAGGGAATGAAAAAATTGTTATACAATTAAGGTACTTTTCTCTGATCGTTAGCAAGGATAGAGTTTTGCTAACTATGTTAGCAAGAATCCGAATTTCGCTAACAATATTAGCGAGAATCCATCAAAAAAAGTTAGCAAGAATAATTTATTTCGGCGCTGGCATGGATTGAGTTTAGCTAAATACAGATTTTTGGCGAAAAAAATATATTTTGTTGTAGCGTAGTGATCGTTAGTAGAAATAGAATTTTGCTAACTATGTTGGCAAGCATCAAAGTTATTTTTGCCATTTCTTCGTATTTAGGGACCATGTCAGAACAGATAAAAACAAAGTTCCGTACTCACCTACTGTAGTATACCTCACAAAGGTCTCCTTGTTCTCAATCATGGCATCCACGGCCAGTTTCTCGCAATACTGGGCAGTGATGATGGCTATGGTGGGCTGTTTAGAGCTGGCCATCGTGGGCATTTGCTTAACAATAGTGATGGTATGAGCGTCTTGGCTCTGTTGTCTGGTAAAGGCCCCGTGCTCCATAGCCTTGACCAGCTGTTTGGATTGGAGCTCCGAAAAATGATGGGCCACTTCTTCTTCATCCCATCCATGTTCTCTGTAGGAATAAGAAATTCAGAATATATACAAAACGTCCTAAGATTAGGAGACAGTCCTCCATTTTAATAAAAGACTTAGTTTATTGTAAGTACAATAAATCAAATAAATAAACAAACATATCTTACTTGGCGATATCCGGTATAGTTACAGGGTTGGGATAAGCTGATTCTATTATTTCTAAAACCTTCTCTCTTGTTAAAATTTGTATATTTCCTAAAACACTTTCTTCTGCTGATACTAAAAAGGTAAAAGAAATATTAATAATAGCATTTTTAGTGGTTTTATAATGGGTGCGTCTCAAAAGTGGCTCATCCCCTATATCTTTTTTATTTTTTCAGATAAAAAAATAAGATTTGGTATGTTAGTATAAGACATAAATTAAGATTGATTGACGTATTCAATTGGAACGGAAATGAATACATCTTTTGATTTTTAAATGGCAGCCTCGGTATATTGAATGGAATGACATATCATATGTCAATTTTTGACATTTTTGCATATGCTTTATTTGAAATTGTAACAGGGCGGTACATAACGATGTTTGTACAAAATTATTCGAAAAAAATGGTTTTCCCAAATATGCTAATGAGCCACTCTTATTCCATTTGAAAAAATTAAGATATGATTAAAAATACGATTTGGGCATCTTTTAACCGGCCAGGGCAAGACACGAAAAACATTAGACGATCAAAACTATTTTTCTAAGGCTCCTTGATTAAAAATTAGTGTTTTTAACACAGCCATGGCACTTTAAAGTACGATTTATTTTTAAACGAAAATGTCAAAAGTTGACATATGAGATGTCATTCTATAGTCTGTGAAACGAATAACTTTGAATTTGACAGTTCCCGCGGGCTTTTCTAGTGTAAATTTTATTAGGTTAGCAACTTGCGGCCATGCTGATGCAATGCCGTCTCTAATAGAACAGCCTCGGAGCGAGATTTATGACGTCACGCTAGTTAGATACTACGGATTAATTATGTTGTAGAATACATGGAAAACATAATTATTCCTCGTATATGTAATTTTTTGGATTATATTCGACACTATTTTTTTCATATGACACAACACTGATGAAGGCTATAAACGTTAGCGTTAACGTTTTTTTTAAACCAAAAAAAAATAATGAAAAACCAAATGGAAACTTAATCAGCGTTTTTCCCGAACCTAAATCCCAAGAAAATAAAAAATTCTAGAATAATTTTACACATAAAATGACAGCGATCTTTATTTCATAGCCATCGCTGACGTCTTTTTTTCTATGATATTGTATTATTTGCAAATATAATTTTTCGAACATTGATGCTTGCAAAATACATATATAAATTTTGTGAATGCAAATAATAATATATCACTATTAGTAGATATTGAATGTTTTTTGTTAAATTAGATCGATTTTCAAACCCCAAAAATTGTACCTATTCATTATTTGTATATTGTAAAACATTTGCTGCATTTGTATGGTTCATAGTTTATTTGCCGAAGTATTTATTACTATAAATAGGTATATATATATTGTATTTATTAACTGTATATTATGTATATTTCATGTAAACTATATCATTTTTAAAATACAAACCAAAAATACGAGGAATGATTATGTTTTCCATGAATTCTACAACATATTTATTAATCCGTGGTATCTAACTAGCGTGACGTCACAAATCTCGCTCCAAGGCTGTTCTATTAGAGACGGTATTGGTCGGATATTTAGAACTGTCAAAGGCTGATGACATTTTACTTTTTACAATTATGACATTTCGCGTTGATTTTTGCAAGAAGAGGAAGAACTGTCACTTGTTTTATTATTTTCCTTTTCTATTTCACGAAAGTAAAAAGAGTTACCTATCTGATTCGTTCAGGCACTCATTTTAAAGAATATCAGTAACTTTTTGGATAGAGAGATTTTATATTTGTCATGTTGGTAAAAAATAACGGTCAAAATTCAAAGTTATTCATTTTATAGACTATATTCAGTGTCATTTTCTATCAAATAAAGTAAAAAATACCGAGGCTGCCATTTAAAAATCAAAAGTTGTAGTCATTTCCGGTGAAACAGGAAGTGGCCAAAACCAACTGAATACGTCAATCCATCCTAATTTATGTCATATACTAATAAACCAAATCTCGTTTTTTTATCTAAAAAAAAATAAAAAAGTTATAGGGTGTGCCACTTTGGAGACGCACCCGGTATAGCTGATTAGTGTCATGTAGCTTATAATATGCAACAGCGATACACTGACATTAAAGAACATCTTTAAGTAAATTTGTTGTTTTTTAAATGATGGTGATGGTACCGTATGATCTAAAAAAAAACGGCGTCAGCGATGGCTATGAAATGAAGATCGCTATCATTTTATATGTAAATATATATGGGAAATGTCGATCGTCATTTCCCAGCCCAGTGGACGCATTTTTTTCGAATATATGGCGCCCAACGTGGGACCACAATACTTAGGGTTTAAATTAAACGAGAAAAAAAGTGTAAAATCATTAGGACTCGGTGTTTTGCTTGTTGCATACATTGTAGCTCCATTCACTAACATGAACTAAACAGATGTATATAGTTATCAATTATTAGTCACAAAAAAAGAAGTTTGTTTCAAAATCTCGTGCAACACGCTGTGGAATTATCACAGAAAGAGCGAAAATAATACTCGTACACATAAAGATAAGCTCACATTATCAGAAAAAAATATAAAAATACATGAATATCCACTCCAAGCACACCGCAGATAAAACAATATATCTTTTGTTAGAAATATGTTATTTTTAGCAAAAGAAAAAAAAAACTGCTTGTTAGATCACATAGAGTTATTTTGTGACTACAAATAGTATGACAAATAAGGAAGTACCCAAACCTGACGTGGATAGAATAGAAGGGTGAATAGTACTTAAGTCAATGCGACAGTAACCAGGCATAGCTAGAATAGTTCCAAAGGATTTAGCAAAAATGTTTTAAATAATGGTTAAGAGAGATTATATTAAATTGAAAAGAACTTATTTCTCAGAGTTAGAGATTTTCTTATTTCTATCCGTATTTATGATCTATTTGAAGATATAATTCTTTATTTTTTTTCTTAAATTAGTTTTTTATTTAGGAAATAAACAGAAAGTACTCACGAGGCCTGGTGGGTACTTCTGCGGGTTCGTCCAACATTTTCAATTCTACCTCCAGTTTAGCAATCTCCAAATAATTGTGCTGCATCAGTTTCATGATTTTCTTGATAAAACCCACATAATCTACAAAATTAAACAACACAATTATGTATATACAGGGTGTCTCAGGCTGGGCGTGCATTAGAAGTTTCTGGAGAACTACAATATCTAGATCGGAGATTTTTTGCACATCATTGTTTCACGACAAGATCTATCGATTAAAAATATTGCCATTAGTTATCACTAAAATACGAGATGTATTTTTATAAATTCACTTTATAATAGCTACATAAAATCAAGAAAAAAAATACGCTTTAAAACTAAATCTTAAATAACTTAAAAACGATTTATTTTAGGTATAATCAAAAAGAAACGAATTGAAAAACGTTTTCAATAGTGAAATAAAAAAAGTGGGTTTCCATTTGAAAAAAATTAATTATAATAATTTTAACAATTAAATAAACAATTTAATTTTTGAAATAGATAGCCATATGTTTTCACTTTATGTCCCAGTGTCTGTGGTAATCACTAAATTTGACGTTTAGGCTATACACATTTTTTTGACAGGCAGTTTCTTTCCTCCAAAAATTCTAAATATGTTTTTTCTCAAGAACGGTTAATGTTTGACATAGAGTATTTGATATCAAAATTCATAAAATTTTACAGAGAATTTAATCATTTTAAGCACGTGCATACAGAGTGACACAAACTGGATGTTTTGGTGTTTGAACCATCTGTATATATTTTTTTTTGGCAGAATGCTAGTACCTCTTGGGAATTCCTTTGGACTAACGAGTTCCCTGAAAAAATCTTGAGCCACTGCCGCCTGGTTTTCCTCGCCTAGATTGTCCTGGCAGTTTTTAGGTGTTCTGAACCAGAACTTTAAGGTGCGCGCTTCCTGGGTGTGCTTCTTCGTTTGTGCGTTGATCAGGAACACTTTGAACACTAGAGAGAGCTGTGCTGGGACGTATTCTCCATTTTCTAGAAAAAAAACAATGTTCTATTTTTTTTTCAGATGGAAATTATTTTTTTACCTGTCGCTGTTTCCTTATTTATAATAATGCCTGTATGTTCACCTCCGGCCACGTGCATTTTCTCGTTCGTTGTTTCCACTAATTTTCTTTCTATTAAAATGGTGGTTGAATTCGATGTTTTCCCTTTGGGAGTCATCACCACCCTCTCTTGCTCTACGAGCGATGATTCAGTCATATTCTGAAGCAAATAAAGTAAATAAGTGCGCTAGAAAATATTTTTTCATTAAAAATACATTCTTACCAGAAATAAACATAAAGATTATCATAAAAAAGACTCATTTTTTTATGATATTGAACGAAAAGCATGTTTGAAAAAGTAATAAATTAAAAATTAAAAAAATAATTAATTTTTAATTTATTAATAATAATAATAAATATAAAAAAAATATTTTTACGCGTATAATGGGGCTATTTAATGGCAAAAATACCATTTCTCTGGTTGTGCCTTTTTTATATACCATTTCACATAGGTAAATAACCATACATGACTCAAGGACTGTATATATTCTAAAGGACTGTTCGATCGCGTCAAATTGCCGCTGTCGTAGTCGCCGTGGAATGCTACGTCACGCGCTGACCAGCGCTCCACAGTGCGGCGGATGGTTATTCTAGCGGGACAAAATCTCAAGAGCAATGTTTGGGACTTAAAATCTAAGAACGTAGCAAATGGTCTAATATATAGCAACTATATGGTTAAATTTATTTATTTATTAAGAACTTAATTTATTGATAAATAAATACAAGATAATAAAACTATGATATTATTCGTACATGACACACAAAAAACCGTATTGTAAACTATTGCCAAATACATAAAATTATGATATCAAAAAACTCTTTACCATTTTTTTTTAATTAATTTGTAATCTTGTGACACCCTCTATAATTTATTTAAAAAAATATATATTTTATTTTGAAAATAATAAATAAGATAGATATTCTAATTTTAATTTTAACACTCGGTAATTGTAAATTCATATATAGTAAGTATCCAAGACAATTTTTTAAACTCAGTGCCTTTTGATGAAGTTGTTTTGTTTTTATACTATCCGATTGAAATGAATCTTTTTGGGCATTCACCTGTTAAGCTTGAACTCCCTGTGACTGTGACTACCTGTGTTGGTAACTATTGGTAACTCAAAAGATCTACATCATTCAATATATCGATATTTGAAAAAAAAGTGAAAGTTTGATATCTGCAGAACAAAGTCACGAAGGATTTTAACAAATAATATACGTACTGTAGAAAAGTACATACCTTTGGCAATCTTCAACATAATTTGGCTTTCTAATAAAATGTATAAGCACTTGTAAATAATTTGTTTTCGTATGATCTCTGCCTTGCTGAACAGAAAACGACCAAATTTGATTGATAAAAATGTATCGAAATACAAAGAATATTAATGCATTTTTGTATCAATTGGAATGTCTACTATTTATTCTTATCAGTACACATTTTTTGGTTTGGTTTGGTTTGGTTTATTTCTAACCAAACGCTTTTGTCCCGCTAAATTTATCTTCCAACGCACTGTGCGCTCGTCCGTCAAATGCAAAAATAACTGTCACTGTCTAAAATCTTTAGCGCCAACTCTTCAACTCGGTCAGTAGATGCCGTAAAAAAACTGACAGTGCAGGAAGATAGGAATCGAACTATCCTTATATGACTCATATTAAACCTGGTGTCATCAAAAAACGCCAAATTTAATACCCGTTTATTTTTCTCCTGAGAATAACATAATTTATAACAATTTTCTTGATGAATGATGCAAGTTTGCAAGTAGGTCTATTAAACTTTCATCACTTTCAACGGTTTTAGAATTGTGGTCGACAGATATAGTACAATAAGTGATTGTTTTAGCTTAAAAAAGAATTAAAAGGAGAACAAAAACGATTGTTTCAGCCCCAAAACAAAATAAAATAAATTTAAAAAAAACTTTATATCTAGGGGTGGTTTAGCTTTACTTCTAATAAATAACATTTAGATTTTCTATAATTTTTTGAAAGCAATGGTCAGCCTGGCCGCTTCAAGTTGCAATTCTGTACTTCTACTAATCTCGACGACTGATACGTGCCTTTCAGACGTTCAGACGAAAATCGTCTAAAAATAGACCAAGTTGAGCCTTTTTGCCATTAAAATTCCATGAATTCAAAATACAGAACCGCTTGGCACAAAACTATCGTATTTCTTTAATTTGCCGACAAAATTTTCATTTAAGAAAGTTTTCTATCCAATACACTGTTAAAGAAAGTGTATAATTCAATATTTTACATTTTACCACAGATTTTACATCCTAGATACCTATTCCCATAATTTCCAAGATACATAAAAAAAATGTACCGTTTGTGTCGGGGAAGGGATCATAGTTTCATAGTCAGAAAAGGGATCATAGTTTCATAATCAGTACATGTATATTATTTCGTATATTTTTCATTTTATTGATTTCATGGAAAGCACTGTTCATTAAAATGTTGTATCCGATATTATAGGGACTCTTTCTACAACTTTCTCTCTACAATTTCCCGTCTCACAATGTACCGTTTGTGTCCGGGAAGGGTTCATAGTTTCATAGTTGTCGATTTTCGAAAGAAATCAGTACATGTATATTATTTCGTATATTTTTCATTTTATTGATTTTATGGAAAGCACTGTTCATTAAAATGTTGTATCCTATATTATAAGGCTTGTTTCTCTCTACAATTTCCTGTCTCACAATGTACCGTTTGTGTCCGGGAAGGGTTCATAGTTTCATAGTTGTCGATTTTCGAAAGAAACCAGTACATGTATATTATTTCGTATATTTTTCATTTTATTGATTTTATGGAAAGCATTGTTCATTAAAATGTTGTATCCTCTATTATAGGGCGTGTTTCTCTTGCAGAGAAACCTCACAACCTCATTCTATTCAGACTGTCATTTTCTATCGAATAATAAGTAAAAAAAACTTTTTTTTGCCGATCTTAATAGCCTACCATACCTATTGGTATGGTCGGCGAAAAATACCGACAGTGTCATTTAAAAATCAAAATTTTTACGACGTACTAAGTCTCATTTTTTTTATTTAAAAAATAGAGAAGTTATACGGTTGAGGCACTTTCGAGAAACACCCGGTATAAGCTAGTCCGAAATAGCTTTATTTAATATTAAAATAAACAAGTAGGTATATGGATAGCAGTGGCGGACTAAGGGGGGGGGGCGGAAGGGGCGGAGGCCCTGCCCTTCGTTTTTGAGGCCTTTTTGGAGCTGGGGCCCTTAATCCTCTGGTCGGGGCCCGTCGGGTCCCTACATAAAAACGGCACTGCCGATGAATAACATGTTTATATCTACAGAATGTCCGCGGACTGTCTTCATAAAAAATTTTTGCTTGTTCTAAAATGGTAATTCCTGTTTATACTTTTCCAAATTTCCATACCGTTTTAGACATTGAGTTTTAGAGAAAAATAAAAAATAAACATGAAAATGTAGTTGAATTTTTGAACTAGTAAAAATAAAACGCCTTTCTATGGTAATATAATGTCGTTCTCATTTTTTGATAGATTATTATTAACAGAATTTTAATCAAAGTTATATTTTTTGCTGTTTTAAAATGTTAAAGAAGCACAAAATTTATTTAGTTCGATGCTACGGAAAGGGTGATAATAGTTATCGGAAAATGTGACACTTTAACATCAAAAAATATGACGTTAATCAAAATTAATTATAACGATTTATCAAAAAATGAAATCGAAATTATATTACCATAACCTTTTAATTTTTAGGACTTTTAGTTTTTTAGGATTTTTTGGGGAAAAATTACGTTAAAAACTACATTTTTATACTTTTTTATTGTTCTAAAACGGTATGGATATTTAGGAAATAATAAACGCCATTTTACAACAAGCAAAAATTCTTATGAAGAACGCATTTTTTTCAAAAAGTCAATAATTAAAAGGTTTTTCCTCTTGTAATCTGTGTCTGTCTTTTCCTCTCGGTGCGTCCCAGAAATAAGTGCTAGTATTTTCACTGGTAGTATAGTTCATCCCCAGAAACACGCATATGAGGTTTTTTTCGCGAAAAAAAATTGAAAACTTCCCAAAAAATTTTTGGGGAATTTTTTTAGTTTTTAGTTAAAAAAAAACATAATTTCTTGTTACTATGACAACATAGGTATTAGATTAAATTTACAAGAAAGAAAATCCAGAAAAGATGCAGTGGTTCTCAAAATTTTAGCAAATTTTCGTAGTAAAATAACTCCGTTATTTTGGACTTATTGAAAAACGATAAAGAAAAAATTTGTTTCTTTTATCTACCACCCCTTAAAATACTTGCACTTATTTCTGTGACACCCTGTATATATATATATATATATATATATATATATATATATATATATATATATATATATATATATATATATATATATATATATATATATATATATCGATTTTTATTACAATTAGTAGGTACAGTATATAAATACTTGAAATTTGTCAACCATTATTCATACGTCATTCAATCTTTACAAAATTTGCAGACCGGGGGCCACATTTAGCTTTGCCGCCCCGGGCCCCCGACAGGCGTCCGCCACTGATGGATAGTTTAGTTAAAACACATTTATTTTTAAAATGGTATGATAACGCAGACTTCCTAATTAGTTTTAAACAAGTTTATATTTTATTCAATGACACATTGTAAAAGATGTATTTCAAACCGATATTACACATACTGACGTTGGCCAAAAATATTATATTTAATGTTTAATAAGGAATAATTACTGTGGTTTTTAAAGCTCTTTAGCATCGAAATTTAGAGACAGCTCATATCTATAAGTAGACAAATTGACACATTAATCACATTCAGAAAGAAGGTTAATAATGTTAATATTAACATTAACGTTCTATCCATTGAATAAAAATTTAGTTCTCTTTGATCGCAGATCACATTATAACAATGTATACAGGTCGAACAAGGTAATGCAAATTATAACGAACATACTCTAGAAAAATGTTAGAAATACAGGAATAGTATTATTTTACATATAAATACTTTTTATATCAATTTTGTATGTAACTTATAGTTAGGTGAAAGTAAATATGCACGACCCAAGCTTCATAGAAAGGCTTAGATAGACAGATACACAGTTTGCTTTAATTATTGTATCTATACTACACAATACCAAGGTCTTTGCCATTTAACAGTAACACAACAACATTGTCCTACATTTATTGTGTGATAAACACCATCTGTTTCAACAGCAGAAGAGAGACTGTTTTATCTTCTTCAGCAAGAGAATTATTTACTTTACAGTCTATAATACTGTGAGCGATATAAATAGTTTTAATTCCTTTGGATTTAAGACCTGAAAGAGCTAAAACTTTTCCAACAGGAAAACGGTATTTTGAAGAGTTTTTTAGCAGGCTTAAAATAGAGATGTCCAAAACTATCGATATTAAAAATATCGATTTCTAATTTAATTATCGGATAAGAAATAAAGTGACAACCCGTGACAAAAAATTGCAACCTCTATCGAGGCGAGGCCAACGGAGGGAATGCAATCCCGCAAATGCGGGATCCCTCCATGATTCCACTGCGGGATCAAATTTGCGGGATTTACCTTGCGGGATCGACACCAGGGGATTCCCCTTACGGCTTGGCCATTAAAAATAAGTGAAACAAACAGGTTAGTTATTAGATTTCTTTCTGGCGTGCGTAAGTGAAGAAAAGCGTTTAACTAGTACTTGTGGACGATTTCGTCAAATAAACTGCCGGACATAATTATCGGGACAAGCAAAATTTTAGGGTAAATTTAAAGTTGAATATCTCTTGAACTAAAAAAGATTTTGGGATGCGGTTTGGACCAGGTTTTAGATGCATCTATTGTGATTAAGATACTATGTGATTTTCGAAAATATATTTACCGAATTCTCGTATACAGGGTGTTTTATAATAGTGCGAAAATTTGATCAAGAATCTTTTTACCGCAAATTTACAGTTTTTAAAAAATCGAAATTTTTACCAAGTACGACTAATCTGTATTAAAACTAGAAAAAACAATTTGAGCGGTTTTTTTTGTTTTAAGGAAAATACGACGTTTTTTTCGAAAAATATGCATTTTTAGTCATACGATGGCCCTAAATGGTACAAAAAGCTTTGTACATTCTGCATATGCCAAAAAATTATTCATATAGAGTGTATCTAAAAGCAGATAACTAACACAAATTGAAAAAAAAAACCTTCAACATCAGAATAATACTTTTATTTATAAAATAAAAAATAAGTAGATAAATTATAATAAAATTTAAGTTTATTTAATATTAAATATATTTTTTGAACACTCTGTATACATCGGTCCAAATTTCTGTTCAGCTAGTTTAAGATACACGCTATATCAGTATATTGTGGGCCTATGCAAAATGTACAATACCTTTTGTACCATTTAGGACCAAATGTATGACTATAAATGCATTATATTTTTGGAAAAAAACTCGTATTTTTCTTAAAACAAAAAATTTTAAAAAACACCAAATTGTTTTTTGTAATTTCAATACAGATTAGTGGTACATAGTTAAAATTTCGATTTTCAAAATTTGTACACTACTATAAAACACTCTGTATACGAGAATTCGCTAAATATATTTTCGAAAACCACATAGCATCTTAATCACAATCGATGCGTCTAAAACCTGGTCCAAACCTCATCCCAAAATCAGAGAGAAAAGAAGAACATTTAAGTTTGTTCACAATCCCGCAATTTTGCGGATCCGCGGGATTGATTGCTTTAATCCCGCGGGTTTGCGGGATTGAGATTTTGGTGCGGGATTGCATTCCCTAGGCCAACCTCTATTATTTACTAAAAATTGACATAAAACTTGTCAAAAAAAAACTAATTATAGAAAGATATATTTAATTGTTCATTGAATCTCTAAAATTTAAAGTTATAGTCAGTTGTTGATAGTGGGGCAAAACAAAATGAAACTATCGTACAGCCATTAAAATATCGATACATGTATCGATATTTTTCTAATAAAATACACATCCCTAACGGAAAAAATATTAACACTTTAACTATTAAGTGAACATATTGCAACAACAATCAATATTTAACTGAATAAGATATTTGTTTACTATTCATCATGCAAGAAATGAATTTGCTAAAAATATCCCAAGAAATACCTATTCGCTGAACAAATTATTTTAGCAAATATATTTTTATTCAAAAACTTGCTTATAATGGAAATGTCACGTCATTGATACCTATTCCCACAATTTCCAAGATACATAAAAAAATGTACTTACCCTTTGTGTCGGGGAAGGGATCATAGTTTCATAGTCAGAAAAGAAATCAGTACATGTATATTATTTCCTATATTTTTCATTTGATTGATTTTATGGAAAGCACTGTTCATTAAAATGTTGTATCCTATATTATAAGGCTTGTTTCTCTCTACAATTTCCTGTCTCACAATGTACCGTTTGTGTCCGGTAAGGGTTCATAGTATCATAGTTGTCGATTTTCGAAAGAAATCAGTACATGTATATTATTTCGTATATTCTTCATTTGATTGATTTTATGGAAAGCACTGTTCATTAAAATGTTGTATCCTATATTATAAGGCTTGTTTCTCTCTACAATTTCCTGTCTCACAATGTACCGTTTGTGTCCGGTAAGGGTTCATAGTATCATAGTTGTCGATTTTCGAAAGAAATCAGTACATGTATATTATTTCGTATATTTTTCATTTTATTGATTTTTTGAACCACGCCATTAAAATATCGATACATGTATCGATATTTTTCTAATAAAATGCACATCCCTAACGGAAAAAACTATTGAACTATTAAGTGAACATTGCAATAACAATCTATATTTAACTGAATAAGATATTTGTTTACTATTCATCATGCAAGAAATAAATTTGCTAAAAATATCCCAAGAAATACCTATTCGCTGAACAAATTATTTTAGCAAATATATATATATTTTTATTCAAAAACTTGCTTATAATGGAAATGTCACGTCATGGTACAATGGCAAAAAAACCAAGACCAACATATTTCAGGTCACACAGACAAGATCAATAGAGGACATATTGATGTATATTCATATTTTTTGATAATTGCGACAGCAAAAAATAAAAAAAGCGATAAAAAAGTAGAATTGGATCATTATATTCGCATCACAATTATCTCTAAGATTAAACAATAAGTATTACGATCAATAATATAATATATTTCTGAAATTATGATCACATTCATCGAAAATAATATAATATAATAAAAGCACATAAAATATTTAACATATACAGATCAGCTTTTGTGTTTGATTTGACACAAAATTAGAACGGAAATAATACATTTATCGCTAGGGTATACAAATTGGTCTCTGTTTAACGCTAGATTGAGCATACACGGTTCTTTTATAGTATTAAAATATCTAATTATATAATAACAAATCAACCCTCAATACTATTAAAATTCACCATTGCCCATTGCAATTGCAAGTCATAGAAATCTTTATGAAAAAACAAGGTAAATAGCTTAATAATTATAGGTTTTATATACCAGAATGCCTTAATTTGGGTCACTAAATTAGTAATTCTCTCCCTTTTATTGAAAACAAAACTAGGGTGAATATTGTAGGTTACAAATAAGGGGAAAAATTTGAAAAACATCATAACAAATTTTCAATTTCAACTTTCACCCAATAATAAAACATTGACTTACGTTTATTTTAAGTCCCTTCCTTTAAAAATGCACTAAATTCACCCAGCTATCGCGTTTTTTTGATTTACGCCCTTAAAAATACGAAAATTTCTACCCTTAAATTACGGCAAAAACGAAACAACATACAACACGCACTCCTCTTTGAAAACTGAAGAAAATTTCTTTATGAACCAATGAAAATTTAACGTGCTTGTTTTCCGTCCTTGTCACACTAAAACGAATGTGTTGCGACATCTTTGTCAGTGGAGCGTCATTTCGTATATTTATCAGTGACGTCATTTGTCTGGTTGCCATAACTTTCGATATATCATAAAAATTAAATACTTAATTTTACGATTTTTTAAAACAAGCATTTCCGTCTTAAAATTACATAATTACGAAGTTTATTTTAAACATTTATAACTCTTAATTCTATTTCTTTGTTATATAATTCAATTGAAGGGTTTAAAAGATATGTTAATTATTGAGGTACTTGAAGAATGAAACTATGTGGCAACTGTGCAAAGGTTACCGAAAGAAATTAAATCAAGAAGTGTTATTTAATGAAATTTCTTGGGGAACATGACTAATTGACTAATTGCATCAAATTTGAGTCACTAAAATTATCAATAATTTTCAATTAGGAAAACGTTATTAACGTGATTTCTGTGTAATTTCTAGTTATATAAACTACTCAAACAATTTGCAATTTAATATGTGATTTTTATATTAATTATTTCATTAAATGTACTATCTATGACATAATAAGCATTATTAAATTATTAAAATTAAAAAAATTAAAATAAATTTAAGGAAATAGTGTTTTACTGGTTGCCTACGGTTGCGGATGCAACAAAACGATCGATTGGCGTGCGTCAATTTTGACGTCTCCGTTATCTGTCATGAGAGGTTATAAAAGGAACAAAAACTTTGTTTTCAATTTAGTACATTTTCGAATAACATGGCGATAGCGTTAACTCGCCGCATGAAAAATGTATCCTGCCTCTTGATATTTTTAGTTATCAGCGTCCGTGCAACGGCTGAAGAGAATTCCGACCCGGAATTCTACCATTTGGAACAGAAATCGATCTCGAACGCGACCGTGGACGATGTGCCCCAAACCAACGTCGTTTTGGAGGTCCGCGGCAAGAATATCTACCCCAAAATGCGGGTTAAAGTTACGCAAATCATGTCGCAAAGGAACGCGGGGTGCAAAGACGCGAATTTCAAGTACAACGTCAGTGAGATCAGTACGGACCAGAAATGGGGACAGTTTAACTTGACCCTTCCGCAGGACGTGGTGGGAAGGTTGTATTTTTGTTTACCCCATCGCACCAAAGAACAACAACATGGCAATATGATAAAGCCGAGCATTTTTAACAGTGAGGTGTTACAGTGGTTCCATCAGGGACCCGATATCAGTGTACAGATTGGGGAAGAGAGTGCCCAAAAAATGTAAGTAGTGTTTATAAGAGGCTGTCAGCTTTGTAAATAAAATACTTATTCTCGATATAACTGTTTAGCCTTGCAAATCGCTAAAGTGGCAGACCGGAATATCTATTAGCGTGCTCGGGAATCATTTACATAAAAATAACTGAAGTAAGCGATGCCACGCGTTAGTTTTAAATCAATAAAAGATTGCCTCTCGGACCTACCAATTAACCCGCAATTAAATTCAATACAAATGTTTGATAGTTTTCCAATAAGATTCATGTTAATGGATCTCTAAGTTCCCTTTAATACACAGCGATAATACTCATTTTATCTGGTTTGATCTGGATATCCGGTTACCTAGAATTTGTGTAACGATAGCCGGAATATTTGAGAGAATAGAAAGGACCTAGTGCATTGTTTTTCCTCCGCTTAAAAGAGAAAAGATCGTGAAATTCATAAACTCCAGAATGTCACGTACAAAGGAAATTCCTCTTGTGATTGATTTTATAGATACAAATATCAGTCAAAAGTTCTTGAGAGATTCTTAAAAAGTTCACGTTTTATATTTTTATTATACAGGGTCGTCTGAATTGTATTCGGGAAACTAGGCAGCATATTTTGCAGATAAAAATCAGTAAAATAGTTTATAGATATAAATGTATGTCCTGCAAATGCATACAGGGTGTGAAAATTTCATTTTTATTTCAATATTTTCCAAATAATTTTTGAACTATAGTTGATATTTGGATAAAAATGAGTGGCTGGGTGTTTTTTGACATGAGAAATTTGATTTCGATGTCAATATGACTCCTACTTGTAGGAGGCGCCACTTACATGTTTTTTAACAGATTTGAAGAGTAATAACTTTTCTCTGCGCCATAAGTAATCATGGGTCTTACTATCATGGTATACATCCAGCGCAAAATGTTAGGGGCGCAGCCCCACCTATTTCCCGCCAGTCTTCTGCACATCATGAGAGCCTTTGTGGCTTTGCTGGTAATGTTCTTAATATGCCTGTTCCAGAGAAGTTTACTATCCAGGGTTATTCCCAGATATTTCACTTCCTGTGATGGCAGTATTTGCTTTCCATCTAGATGGATTCTTTTCAAGTTTTTCACACTTCGCTTTCTGGTGAATGGCACTCCTGCGGTTTTATCTGAGTTAATACTCAGCCCGACAGTCCTGCACCATCTCTCAGCGATGCGGAGTCCTCTTTGGATAATATCACACAGGGTGCCTTCATGTTTCCCCTGTGCAATGATGACTATGTCATCTGCATACCCTATGCAGTGTATTCCCGCTAGAGTTAGTTCTTCCAGTAGTTCATCCACTCACCATCCACTACCAAGCTCCACAGTAGGGGGGAGGTCACTCCACCTTGTGGAGTTCCTTGCGTTGTTTTAACAACTACAGTGTTGGTACCTATCTCAGCCTCTGCTGTTCGTGTTGAAAGCAGTTCCCAAAACCAGCGAATTATCGTACTGTTCACCCCTCTTGTTTCAAGAGATCGCTTGACCACCTTGTGAGGTATATTGTCAAACGCTCCTGCAATGTCCAAGAAGGCACAAAGTGCTGTTTCTTTGCTATCCAGGCTTGCCTGTATTAGCTCAGTTAACTGGTACAGAGCAGTTTCTGTGGATCTGCCCGCTCTATATGCATGCTGACAATATCGTGCAGTGGTTTAACCTGTAGATGATTTACTCTAATATGGTTGTCTACTACTTTCTCCATCGTTTTTAATATGAACGATGTGAGACTAATAGGCCTAAATGATTTGGGGTTAGCCCACTCAGTTTTGCCTATTTTGGGTATGAAGATGACTTTCGCTCTTCTCCAGATGGTTGGTATATATCCCATCGCTAAGCTGCTTCTTGTAATGTTTAATAGATGGAGTGTAGCTATTTCCTGACCCTTCTTTAGAAGGGCAGGAAAAATCCCATCTATTCCTGCTGTTTTATAAGGCTGAAAGGTGTCAATAGCCCATTTCATATTTTTTATTTAACCTGGAAAAATAGGAAATGTAGGTATAGTTAAATATTAAGTAGAAATTTTTCTGAATTATATATGTTTTGATATAGATTGGCTTTCAGTTTGTATTAGGTATTGATTGGTTTTCTGGAATAATAATCTAATAGAAAAATCTCTCAATATCTTTGCAGATGTCTTAGATCATTGCTATGCCTCTGTTGGTGTTAACTGTTAATCAAACAGAATACAGCCACACATTTTTTTTGCAATAACTTGTTAACATCGACTGTACTATTTATTGTTTAAATTTCATAAATTATATTTATATACAGGGTTGTTCACGCTATTTGACACGGAGTATTATTGTAGCCAAACGACTAGATTTTTAGAAATTGTGAGTAATGGGATCGTTGGAGGACTACTAATGCTACAATTTAAAATAATTTCAAGGTACAGACTGTCTCAATGTACGGCAAATAATTTTAAATTGTAACTATCGATCCCATCACTCACAATTTTCAAAAATTTAATAATTTGGCTACGAATAGTATGTCTTATATTATCGAATGATCATTGATTCTCATTTCAGTGGCTACTCTGACAGAGGTTTTATTTCGATCGCAAGATGCAATCAGATGTTTATTAGTACATTGTTTTTCTATAATAAATAAGGCCTTACAGAATAAGCTCTTTTATTAAATGTACTTTTTCTGCAGATAATAATATTAAACGGGAAGTATTTTGTCGTTTAACGCCCACAGATCAGTTTAGAATAACGTAATTTTAGATATTTTACTCAATTTTCACAACTGAATATGTAGGTTAAGAAAAAACTGCTAAAAATAGGTCTATTTTTTTAAATTTTCATTTTTAAAAAATTCTATTCATTCCTGGATATAAACTCTACTATTACTAATTATTATAAGAAGTTTTTTTTATAGTAGATATCAATTAAATGGCATATTTATATCAAAATGATTTATGACACTGAAAATACCTATAGTTCGTACAGAAATGATTGAAAACATACGACTTTCAATAATGAGATTGAAATACTCTATAAAACACAATATACTGTTTTTTTTTCTTCTAGGAAATCTCCAGCTTCTAGATTCATGGAGGGTAGAAACAGGCGGGAAGGCAACGGGTCCTTGCCCACCTCCATTAGGATCAGAGGTTTGCGTCTCGAAGCTACCGAAAAAGAATCGGAATTCGACGAGTCAGGAGTTCCAATAGTTCTGGCAGACTCGCCCAGTACTTTCCGCCTGTTTGGTGATGGTCTAGTCTACGACATGACGGTGACATTTACATCAGAAAGCGGAAATTACGGAGACCCTTGCTTCCTGCCGGTTATCAAGGGCTTTGCCGTAAGTTTTTACCAAACGACTAATAGTCTAGTCAAATTATACCGTGAAAAAGTGCCTTTCACAGCCATCGCCGACGCCGTTTTTTCTCCGATCATATTGTACAGGGTGTCCCAGATACAAAGATGCGGTTTTCACATCACTATGCTACTTTTTTATGAAACTACACTTGCTACACATAGATTTGTCCTAGCCCTCTTATTTCCTGAAATACACGTCGAAATTGAAATTTACTTTTTTTCTCCTTTTTTTTATGTTATCCTTTAAACCTATATAGGTTGCTGGTCGCTAAATCGTACAGTGGCGTAACTAGTTTTTCGCTAAGAGCTGTCATTTAATATGACACAAACTGTTGTTTTTTTAATGGGACATCCTGTATATTATTTTTTGAGTATTGTTATTTAATTTAACCAGATAATTTTACTTTCTGTTGTGTTTTCTTGCTTTTTTACCGTGTATTTTTCGTGTAAAACGGGTCATAGACGAAAAATTTTGTCGGACGGCAAGTTGTATGTTTTTTTTTATAATTCCGCTTTACAGATCGAAAACGACTCTTTAACTCCAACCAGCGGTGTTATAAAACTGAGTCTGCCACCCCTACACAATGCAGAGACGTTTTATGTGTGTGTTAAGAGCGGCCCCCCTAATTCAATCAACCCTTTCGTACACCAAGGATCGGAACCATGGGTACAGATCAAGACCTACGAGAATATGATGCCGTTATGGGCATCCATAGTGGTCATCTTAGTCTGTATATCGTTTTCTTCGTTGTTTTCGGGTCTAAATCTGGGTAAGGACGATGTTTTTTTCGATTCAAGAACAGCATAGATCGTGTATGTTTGATTTTTTCAGGTCTGATGTCCCTGGACAAAACGGAATTGAAGATTCTCTGCAATACCGGTACAAACAGAGAGCGTAAATACGCCAGAGTAATTCAGCCAGTGCGAGACCACGGCAACTACCTTTTGTGTTCGATCCTGCTGGGCAACGTGCTGGTCAACTCTATTTTCACCATCATATTGGACGGCTTGACCTCGGGTCTGATAGCCGTCATTTTCTCCACTCTGGCCATCGTCCTGTTTGGCGAAATCTTTCCCCAGGTAGGGATGTGTAAATATATCGATACCGTTTCGTTTCAAATAACCCATTCCTATCGCTAAATAGGGATGTATAAAATATATCGATGTACAAAAATGTCGATGTTTTTTAATTTCAACTAGGGATGGGTATAATGTCTCGATACATTAAAATATCGATAGTTTTATTGAATATCGATAATTCTATTTTTAGGCGGAACGTGTAAATTTATCGATATGTAAACATATCGATGTGTTTTAATTTTAACTAGGGTTGGGTAAAACATATCGATATTTCTATTTCTAGGCGGGATGTGAAAATATATCGATACGTAAAAATATCGATGTTTTAATGACAACTAGGGTTGGGTAAAATGTATCGATAGTTTTATTGAATATCGATATTTCTATTTTTAGGCGGGATGTGTAAAAATGTCGATATATAAAAATTTCGGTGTTTTTTTAATTTCAACTAGGGATGGGTATAATGTGTCGATACTTTAAAATATCGATAGTTTTATTGAATATCGATATTTCTATTTTTAGGCGGAATGTGTAAATATATCGATATGTAAAAATATCGATGTGTTTTAATTTCAACTAGGGTTGGGTAAATATATCGATATCTCTATTTTTAGGCGGGATGAGAAAATATATCGATACGTAAAAATATCGATGTTTTAATGACAACTAGGTTTGGGTAAAATGTATCGATAGTTTTATTGAATATCGATATTTCTATTTTTAGGCGGGATGTGTAAAAATATCGATATGTTAAAATATCAATTTGTTTTAATTTCAACTAGAGTTGGATAAAATGTGTCGATACATTAAAATATCGATAGTTTTATTGAATATTGATATTTCTATTTTTAGGCGGGATGTGTAAATATAAAGATATGTAAATATATCGGTGTGCTTTAATTTCAACTAGGGATGGTTAAAATCTATCGATACATTAAAATATCGATAGTTTTATTGGATATCGATATTTGTATTTTTAGGCGGTATGTGTAAAAATGTCGATATATAAAAATGTCGGTGTTTTTTAATCTCAACTAGGGATAGGTAAAATGTGTCGATACATTAAAATATCGATAGTTTTATTGAATATCGATATTTCTATTTCCAAGCGGTATGTGTAAATATAACGATATGTAAAAATATCGATGTTTTTTAATTTTAACTAGGGTTGTGTAAAATGTATCGATACATTAAAATATCGATAGTTTTAATGAATATCGATATTTCTGTTTCTAGGCGGTGTGTTCGCGTCACGGGTTGGCCGTCGGTGCCAAAACCATATACATCACCAAAACTGTCATGCTGTTAACGTTTCCGCTGAGTTACACCACCGCCAAGCTGTTGGACTGGGTTTTGGGCGAAGAAATCGGCAACGTTTACACTAGGGAACGTCTGAAAGAACTTGTTAGGGTAAGTGTATTTTTTGTTGATTTAATTCCATTACTGAAGTACTTTGGTGCAAAAATATATTTCAAACATTTTTTTTTCGCCAAAAAAAACTTACTTATTTCTGGGACACCCTGTATATACCATTTGTTATTTAACAATTAAATCTTCAATCACATGACTTCATACACACGTGCTTTCATAAGTACTCGATTGTACGAAAAGAACTGATACAGTTTTATTGTTGAGTACTTATTTTTAAGTGTCCTAATTGACGTTATTCTTACTTTGAAAGCACTATAGATAAAGTCGTTTACGTCAAAATTTACATGTCCGTATTTACATAGATGTACGAAAAAAAATCTATTAAAAAAATAAATTCAATACAAGAAGTGTATTGAATTAGAAGGAAATAGTCTTGGAAACCTTCCCAAAATTTGTTTTCTGATATAATATTTAAAATAAAATACCGCTTTTCGAATATAAATCTGGAAAAAATAGTATCTGGAATTAATTAAAGTATACAGGGATATTAAAAAAAGAAAAAAGGACGAATGGCCAATATAAGATATTATTTATCCAGTAATATATACCGGGTGTGTCTAAAAACCTGGCTCAACCCTAAAAGTTTACTTTTTCAGGTAAAAAAACAAGATTTAGTACGTTAATATATAACATATGATATGTCATTCTATTCAGAGTGTCATTTTCTATCGAATAAAGTGAAAATATACCGAGGGTGTCGTTTAAAAATCAAAAGTCGTAGTCATTTCCGGTGAAACAGAAAGTGACCAAAAATAATTGAATACGTCAATCAATCCTAATTTATGTCATATACCTACCAACTAAAAGTTTTATAAGGTAATATTTCTGTGCATTATTTTTTCTACTAACACTTTTTGTAATTTTGAAATTATTTCTTATTAAATCAAAAATTATACAGTGGTGCAAGTACGAGTGTCACGCGTTTCTTATTGTTTGGACCGACAGAGTTGTTAACTGAGTGGGTTGCTAATGAAGTCTATAATAAGGTAAAATGACGATAATTAGTACTAATTTTTCGCTGTCTAGTATACAGTCGTGTGGATTCTTCTTGTATGCTGCCAGAACAAGTATATTCATCATGTTACTTCACAGAAATATTTTTAATAGATTTAACGTTTTATGTAAAACTGCCTAGGTATTTTTACACAAATGAAGAAGGAAATTAAAGATAAAGGATTATACTATATCGGTATTGTAGCACATTTTTACACAACTTTTTATTTTTAAGATTTTGATGGTAAAATATCACCAAAATATTCCTTATGTTTGGACTAAATTTCTCGAAAATAAATACATAATTTAAAATTCCGTTACAATACGGAATTTTATATTTTTTTTAAATTTTGAAATGAAAATTTATTTTTTCAAGCAGATCCATGTACACCCTATACATATATGTGACGCATACTAAACTAAGCCAGACAAAATAGCAGACGCAATCAAATATAATTTTCTGGCAAGCTGCTAACCATTTTAACCTATTTTTTTCTGGATATTCGTGAATCTCACGAAAACCGTTCACCTGAATACCAGTCCAGATGAAACTGAAAGACATTGTTTTACGATATAAGTGATTTTCACTAAGGAAATCTATGGGAAAGGCTTTGTCTTATCGGAAAAATTAGGTTGAAACCGGTATTTTCCGCGGATTATAAATAGAAAAACCTTAAAGCCGAACTAAGTTGTCGCTATCTCTGTCCCGCTCGTCTACTAGACGAAAATATGTTCAGAATTTATTTTTATTCGTTCTTCCGATAGTATTCTTAGTGAAATATGGCCTAGAATTTAGTGTGAACGTGAAAATATTTCAGAAATTTTGCATTTATCTTTTAATTTTTTTTTTCCAAATATATCGTAATTTTTTATTTTTCCTGATTTTTATTTCTCGTTCTCTTATCGATAATTGGTTTATCTAAAAACGTAAACAGATTAAAACGTTTATTCTAGTTCAAAGATTTATTAGGTGTAATTAAATACCTATAATCTTAGTTTTTTTTCTATCATAATCCTTTATTTCTTTTAAAAAGCCCTTTTAGCAAATAATAATAATACCAGTGTAGCGGGTGTTTTACAGTTTTCTTGAATATTTTCAATCAAATTGAAAAAATAAATCTTAATAATTATTGCAGGGTATTTTGAAGTCATTATTTAAGAGCCTATTACCACAGATTATACAGATTATAATCTTTGTTTTTTTTTTATTGTTTTTCGTGGTTCCAATTTTCGGAATCGGGCACTAGTTAGGTGACTAGTTTGCGCACAGCACGCCCACTTATGGCCTCTAAAATTGTGCACAGCGCCTGACCGGCACAGTTATTAGAGAGATATCGGAAAACCGAATAGCGTCATCCAGTATTTACGCGTACCTTATGGTTACGATATGCGCGAGTCAATTTTTAACGCAACACCCGCTAATAACGTTACCGCCTGACGTAATTTGCGGATCAGTTACACCAAGCGTTATTTCTAAATAACGTTTAAAAATTGCTTAAATGGGCATGTGCGGGTATTTGACAACCGGAGCCGGCCGGCGAGATCTTTTATTTTTGGTTATGTTTGAATTGTTTTGAATGATTGCTTTAGTTTTATTAGGTAATTTGATATTTAAGTAGCTGGGATTAGTTTTAATTAAATAAATATGGCCCAAAATATGGATTCCACCTCTTCCAATACTAAAGAACCTATAAAGAGTCTTAGGTTTGTATAAAATATTGCCTTATCAGATCCAAGTGAAAGCAAGAAAATTAACAAGTGATCTTAGTACTTATGAAACTTAATATTTAATTATCTTTTTATCGTTTTTGCCGTTGTGGGTCAAGTACCTGTCAAAGAATTACAGAGAAAAATTAGTTCAAGCCAATTTGTAGTAATCAAATGCAAAATAAATTTTTAAATTTATATTATCGATTTCAATAGAAAATATAGAGTATTTTCATAAACAACGCATGTTATTTTTTATATCGGATCGGTAAAGAATCATTAAAATTTTTATTTTTTAAAACAACCAGGTCAGGGAAGATTTCATCATTTCCAGGGGATAGAATCAAAAAATGACAGAAAATTAAATTTATCTCTGAACTAAAATGACAGAAACACCTGTCACTGTCATGTGTCGTCTTGTGTGACTCTTTTAAATAAGTACAAATATTTGTAGGGGTGGTATATTTTGACCCCAGGAATACGTCTATGATTTTTTTTTCGCAAAAAAACGATGTTTAAAAATCGTGCATTTTCTTCTCATTATAAAACTTTTTAGAACTGCCTGTCAACCGCAAATTTTACCATAGACAAGAAAAGTCCGGTGGCTCTCAAATTTTTTTAAAAGTAAATTATTTTTTTTAAAATTTTCAAACTTGAATAACTCGGTTATTTTGGACATATTTGAAAAACGGTAAAGAGAAAATATGTTTCTTTTACCGAGATCTACCAGTCCTGAAAATATTTGCACTTATTAAACACTCACCCTGTATAATAGAAAAAAAAAGTGACATAGTTCAGAAAGCTGAAAAATATGTATTCAGATATAATGTTATAGCGATTATGACAATATAAATGAAAGGAGATATCCATTCGCATACACACACCCTTTTATATCATCAAATTCACGCCTACTTTGACCTTTTATGAGAATTAGTTCAACCCTTTTGATATACAGGGTGGCACAAGACCTAGCTTTGCAAAAAGCTCTATGTAAGTCTTTTTTATATAATAAATATACAACCGACACCTCTAGTGCGCATTTTAAAAATATATTTGTGTATATAGAGAGTGATTCAAACATATTTTCAAACTAAAATTGTATATTTTTAAACGGAAAGGATTTATTATTAAATTTCTTCTTCAAATATAAACCATAATTTTGTTTTTGGCTAAATTTTCTGATTCCAAACCACATTAAAACACAATTTTCTTTTCTTTTTTATCGAGATTTTCTTCAATATCCTGTATCCTGTCAGTATCTCGGATTCGTTAAAAAATCTTGTAAATATTATTCCAAAGCCGTATTTTCATAGCGATTGTTTATAATAACAATAACAAGCGTTCTGCGGTTTCATAAGAAAGTTTTCCATTATGTATCCAATCACCGGCACTTTCATTTCCCGGTAAAAAAGGGTTTGGTCTGTTATATCGAAATGATTTGAACCATTACAAAATGCACATAGAACCGTTAAAATTTCATTTTCATATTCTTAAACCAATCTTCTTCTGATTATTTTTTAAATTGTAAATTATTTTTTTAACGACCGCTGTATAATTTATTACTTTGTCGCGTATTTACAGTTCTGTTGTTGTTTATGCACAATTTCAATGGTTTCCTGTTGCAAAATAGACGTTCTAATGACTCATTATTTTTATTTCTATGAGACTGGCATAACATAACATAATATCGTTCGAAAAATGTGATTACTGTGCCCTTCTCGAAACCAGAAAAATCCGGTATTTTATCGATAATAACGTACCTCTCGAGTTTCACAACCCTGTTATTCTACAAACGGTCGCAAAAAACACGAGATAAATCAAGTGTGAACTGAAATTTGTAAATAAATCCGATTTTCAGACATCAGATTGTTATTTCTTTCTTCACATCATCCTAAATATGTCCTAAATGCATTTTTTTATTTTTTTTTTAATTTTCCCGTCAGTTAGGCAACTAAATATACACATTTGTATCAAGAAAAATATATAATTCAACCAGATATACAAGAGCTTTCTAAAGTGGGATATAGACGATAAAGTTTTGCCTACGCCTGTCAGTGTTGCCAGAATTGAACGGTTTCCTTCAATATGGAGGATTTTACAGTCAAATTTCATCGATTGAAGGGCTGAAGTATTTTTATCCAAAAAAAAGACAATATGCAGGTTTCTTGCAGTTTTGCACAATAAAAACTGTTAAAAGTTCATTTGAACTGTCTTGTTTAACCATAGAGTAGTTTATTTGTCCCGAAATACTTTAAAATACAATATTTAATTTATCCCGCTATACTTTAATACACAGTAGTTCATTTGTCCCGAAATACTTTAAAATGCAGTAGTTAATTTATCCAGCTATACCTTAATACACAGTAGTTCATTTGTCCCGAAATAATTAAAATCCAGTAGTTCATTTGTCCCGAAATCCTTTAAAATCCAGTAGTTCATTTGTCCCGAAATCCTTTAAAATCCAGTAGTTCATTTGTCCCGAAATACTTTAAAATCCAGTAGTTAATTTATCCAGCTATGCCTTAATACACAGTAGTTCATTTGTCCCGAAATACTTTAAAATCCAGTAGTTCATTTGTCCCGAAATACTTTAAAATGCAGTTAATTTATCCAGCTATACCTTAATGCACAGTAGTTCATTTGTCCCGAAACGCTTTAAAATCCAGTAGTTCATTTGTCCCGAAATACTTTAAAATGCAGTAGTTAATTTATCCAACTATACCTTAATGCACAGTAGTTCATTTGTCCCGAAATACTTAAAATTCAGTAGTTCATTTGTCCCGAAATACTTTAAAATCCAGTAGTTCATTTGTCCCGAAATACTTTAAAATGAAGTAGTTGATTTATCCAGCTATACCTTAATACACAGTAGTTCATTTGTCCCGAAATACTTAAAATTCAGTAGTTCATTTGTCCCGAAATACTTTAAAATCCAGTAGTTCATTTGTCCCGAAATACTTTAAAATCCAGTAGTTAATTTATCCAGCTATACCTTAATACACAGTAGTTCATTTGTCCCGAAATACTTTAAAATACAGTAGTTTATTTTTACCGTCTTAATATGTAGTAGAAGTATTTATTGTTTTTCCTACATGTATTCTTTTCACTTTAACGGTGTTTAATTAAGGATGCCTCAGTTTAAAGCAAAGTTGCTGTCAAAAAGTCCGCAATTTGAAAGATTTTAACATTTAACAAAAAACTGATAGATACATTTTTATCTTTCAACACGTCTAAAAATTTTATTTAAGCACATCGGGGTCCAAAAATTGCCAGAAATAAGTTCTGAAAAATTTTCTCCTAATTATAAAATAGGTAAAATACACGAAATTTCGTGATTTTTTACAAGTTTTGCATTTTTTTGTGAAGTTGAAGGAATATGAAGGTTTTTTAAGGCTCCGTTGAAGAAATTCTTTCGAAAATTTCTGGCAACACTGTGTACAACTTGTGCAAGCATTGATATAAGCAATGACTAAAGAATCCAAGGACAAATAACACCCGAGAGCAAATTGTTACCATGTCACCAAACAGTGCCGTGGCGTTAAAAATCGCTAAAATTGTCGCTGGTGATCAGCTGGTTAATGGCCAACGCCAAAGAATGGCGTCTAATGTCACAAATTCTGCTGCAGCCCGTATATGGACGTTACACGTCTTTATATTCTTTAGTCGTTGGATAAAAGAATAAAAATGTTTAAGGAATTTCCCTAAACGATAAATTATAACGTATTTATTTTGTAGGTAACAACAGGCGATAATGATCTCGACAAGGACGAAGTCAACATCATCAGCGGAGCTTTAGAGCTACGTAGGAAGACTGTAGCTGAGGTTATGACCAAAATAGAGGACGTCTTCATGTTGGACTATGAAGCAGTGTTAGATTTCGAGACCATCACCGAAATAATGAAGAGCGGTTACTCTAGGTTCGAACTATACTTCCAAATTAAAATTTTAGGCTGTATTTATATCGATTTTTTTTATTTTAGGATCCCGGTCTACGAAGGAAACAGACAGAACATTGTAACAATGTTGTACATCAAAGATCTGGCGTTTGTCGATCCTGACGATAACACACCGTTAAAAACGTTGTGTCAGTTCTACCAAAACCCGTGCAACTTTGTGTTTGAGGATGTTACATTGGACGTTATGTTCAAAATCTTCAAGGAGGGTAACAAGGGACATATGGCTTTTGTTTCCAGAGTCAACACTGAGGGTGAGGGCGATCCTTTCTACGAAACTATCGGTATAATAACTCTGGAGGATGTTATTGAGGAGTTGATTCAGTCTGAGATTGTTGACGAGACAGATGTTATAAGTAAGGACTTTTTTTTACTAAATAATTTAAATTATTTAGTAAAAAATTAACTATTAAAACCTGTAACATATAACATTATTTCATTTTTGCAGCGGACAACAGGACTAAAAGAAGAAGAAAAAACGCCGATACCAAGGATTTCACCGTTTTCGCCGACAAAACCGATAAAAATAAGGTTAGGATGAGTCCCCAGTTGACCTTGGCTGCCTACCAGTACCTCAGCACCAGTAAGTACTCGATTTCTATTTAAAAAAATATATAAATAACCAAAATCTAAACAATAGGTGTTGAACCGTTCCAATCAAACGTCATCTCCGAAACCATCTTGAAGCGTTTATTAAAACAAGACATCGTGTATCACATCAGGAAGAACAAGGAGTGGAGAAGCGATCCCGTCAACGTCATCTACAGCCAGGGCAAGGCCGTCGATTACTTCGTCATTATACTGGAAGGTCGCGTCGAGGTCACCGTCGGCAAGGAAAACTTGGTGTTCGAAGGAGGACCGTTCACTTACTTCGGTACCCAGGCTCTGGTACAGACGGTGGGAATAGGTACGTCGATATATATTATAGTAGTTCATTTGTACCGAAATAATATAATATACAGTAGTTCATTTGGCCTGCCATACTTTAATACACAATAGTTCATTTGTCTTGAAATACTTTAAAATAAGAAGTTAATTTATCCCGCTATAGTGTAAAACACGGTAGTTAATTTGTCCTGAAATACTTTGAAATACAGTAGTTAATTTATTACGCTATACTTTATTACACAGTAGTTCGTTTGTCCCGAAATATTTTAAAATACAGTAGTTCGATTTGTCCCGGAATATTTTAATATACAGTAGTTTATTTGTCCCGCCATATTTTAATACACAGTAGTTCATTTGTCCCGAAGTGCTTTAAAATGCAATAGTTAATTTATCCCGCTATACTGTAATACACAGTAGTTCATTTGTCTCGGAACCCTTTAAAATAAGAAGTTAATTTATCTCGCTATGATATATATCGGTCACAGTAGTTAATTTGTCCTGAATACTTTAAAATACAGTAGTTAATTTATCCCGCTATACTGTAATACACGGTAGTTCAGTTGTCCTGAAATACTTTGAAATACAGTAGTTAATTTATCACGCTATACTTTAATACACAGTAGTTCGTTTGTCCCGAAATATAATAAAATACAGTAGTTCATTTATCCCGTTATACTGTATTGCACAGTAGTTCATTTGTCCCGGAATACTTTAATATACAGTAGTTATTTGTCCCGCCGTATTTTAATACACAGTAGTTCATTGGTCCCGAAATACTTTAAAATACTGCAGTTCCTTTGTAACGCAATAATTTAATAAATAATAAATAATACAGTATTTCGTTTGAACCGTCGCCGTCGTGTGCCGCCGTGTAGTAATCAAACAGTAGTTAATTTGTACCGTCATACTTGATTATAGCAAGTTAATTGTACAGTCGTACTTGACAATACATTAGATATTTTATGCGGTAGTTCATTTGGACAGTAATGTTGGATAGTCGTTCATTGATAATCCATACTAACATTTGAGTAGTTCATTTGTACCGTCATGATTTAAATAGTTCTCTAAGCAGTACTTTATGTGTACCAACATGCTTTACTATACAGTAGTTCGTTTGTACTACCATGTTTAACAATACAGTAGTTCATTTGTGCATTTTTTTGCGATAGAGTCTCCCGCAGCGCCCTCCGGCATGGGCAGTCTCGAATCGCTCAACATCGATTCGATGTTGCGCCACACGTTCATACCGGACTACACTGTGCGAGCCTCAACCGAAGTCCTATATTTGAAGATCAAACGCAGCCTGTACCTGGCCGCGAAACGGGCCACGCTCATGGAGAAATCGAAGAGAGACCAGAACGAGACCAAAGAACAATTCGACGAGGAAATTGACAAGGTAGGGACGTTTTAGACGTATCGATTTTTTAAATATCGACACTTTTTTGGCGACATTCTGTAGATGAAATAATTTGTTTTTTCGACACTGCTACTAACAAAAAACAATCAAAAATATTGCTGGGTGCTCTTTTGGTCTGTATTAGATGTTTTCCTTTAAAACAGCGATATCAACCCTGTCAAATCCTGTCACTATTCCTAATAATTTCCCGTCCTTTTTCTTAATCAGGTCCTGAGTAGCTTGGAGAGTTTCGAAAGCTTTTCCCAAGAAGAAACTACCTAGCCTAATATGTCAGGTTGGTTACGTTTCATAGGTCATTATTTCAAGAGCCAGGAGTTACGTTTCATAGGTAAATAAACAGTCCACTCCAACTTTTTAGCGTTTTCTTATTGAATTCGATAATTATTCTTCAATTTCAATTAACATCTATATGTACTTGATTTGTGCTATACATCGATACTAGTTTTGTACCTTTTGTTAACATTTTAATACGTTTTTTTTTCGTAATTAATTAATATGATACACCATAGGCGTAGTCAAAACAATTATCAAAAAATATAAATATTGCTTCAAACAGCTAGGTTAAGAAAAATATGTGCCACGGCCAAAGGCCACGGCACTGCTCTCGGGTGTTATTTGTCCTTGGATTCTTTGTCATTGGCGCTCCTATTCAATGGTTCTTAATGTATTACTGGTTGCATACTAACCCACACGTTCTCTCCGTTCTTTCCAGCTGTTGCACGCCGTCGACGACGACGAAATCAGTTCGGGCCGCATCACACCCAGACGGAAATCGTCTCGGAATCTGCAGAACAAGAGCCAACAGGAACTGATCAACCAGATCGAGGCGCAGAGCCCCCTGAGGGGCCCGGCCAGTCCCCCCAATCGCTTGAACGTGCTGCGGGACATCAACGGCTCGCTGAAGAGCAGCCCGGTGGACGACGACCAGCTGCAGGACAGAGGTGAGGAGGTGTCGCTGTTGCCAAAAAAGTCATAACACAACGAACAGGTCCTGTCGCAGGAGCAGGACCATGACGGTTGTACTTAAAGAGGGAATGCGGGGAACAGAAGGGCCGAGAGAAGTACCCCCAAAGTAAAAAAAAATAGTTTTTTACTACTTTAATGATATTTCTTAGTGAATAATAATCATAGAGATATAGAACTAGGGAGAATGAGCATAAATGTGTGCAGAAATTCTAATCATGACGGTCGGCATGTTCGCGCTGTGGTCTACAGGGGGAGGTCAGAAAGTAATAGTGATTATATAAGTTTTCTGAGGGTTATCTTTATTAGGCTGTATTCCGTTGCAAAACCAGGCGAACCAGACCGGTAAACTACGGTAAAGAGCGGTTCCTTGGTTTGATAAAATACTATAAACGTCAAATGTTGACGTTTTCTAAGTTTCAATACCTCTTTTATAAAATTTATCTTTTATGCATTTTTAATGTACCTATTCTCTGCTTTTACGTTTGCTTCTTCTTTTCAATGGAGTTTAATATTGAAAAGTACTTTATTAATAAACTGTTAAACTCGTTAGAGAGCTCAAGTGAAGATTCGCAGGTCCAATATTAAAACAGATCAATAATAAATAAACAAACTTAATCAATATTTATTTTTTTTATAGCTTACAAAACATTCGCGATTACTTGTTGTCTTGGTTTTTCATGTTTTCTTTAAATGTTCCTGACTTTAAGAAACAATGGCTGCATGATACGTTTAAATGGTCTTAAAAAGTCATTCTATTTAGTTAATGAAATTTATTTACCTTTACTGCCTACCTCCATTGCTTTTGGATGTAAATACAAAATATTATTACAAATTTTAGAAATTAAATGAGAATTTCACTTAAACTTCCAATATTTGCTTGATTTCTCTCACATAAATGACATTGATTGACAAACAAAAACAGAAAAACCAGCCTTCTCGCTCTGGTTAGTTTGTTGACAGTTACAACCGAATTTTTCCGTGTTCCGTAATAAGAAAACTTTCAAGAAACCGATAGAAACGGAATACACCCTTAGAACAAGCAAAAATTTTTATAAAGAATGTTTTTTTCTGAAAATGTCAGTAATAAAAAAAATTCCTCTATATATATATAACAGTATGTATACTGTATCCATACTGTATGCCCTAAAATGAATTTACATTTCATGTAGAATTCAGAATAATATGAACCAAGCTCATTCTTCGTGCCTCTATATCTCTGGATTATCCCCAATCTCTTACTTATTGCTCTGTGGCATAATAGTCCATATTAAAAAAAAAAACTATGTACTTCTTTTGGCCCTTCTTCATGTTTTAATATAAGATTTAAATGTCGGAGAAGAATGATACGATTTTAAAAAGAAGGATATTACTGAGGTGTATATGTTTATATATGTTGCACTTTAAATGTTTACCAAAATGTTAAACGTACTTTTCATAACCCTTTCCAAAGAGGAACATATATGTGCGAAAGTTACTTTCGTTTAAGAGTAATTGTTGAGGGAATCTTGTTCCCATAAATTCAAGGAAAACTTAACAATTCCCTCTACTCTTACCGTTACTTTTTTTGAGGTTCCTGTATAGTAGGTGAAGTCAAAGCAATACTTCCGTCTATATTAAGTCCCTTAAACTCATCAGAGACCAATACTTCTATTAATATTATTTACATCATACTGTAGAAACAAGAATTTGTACTTAAAAGGCACTTAAAAATATTTAAAAAGTACTTAAACCAAAAAGTACTAACACACGCCAGGGCTAGTGAAACGAGTAGTTCAAACGACCCAGTATATTATTGGTCTCTGTTTTCTAGTAGTTAGTGAAAATGTCCGTGTTTCTTAGTCTGATACAGATATATTTTGGTCATATACGTATAAAAGAATATACTGCGGGTATTGTATGATTTTTACAACAGGCTGTTTTACAACGAGATCTATCGATTCGAACATATGGCTCTAGAGGACAAAAATGCAAAACTTCTCTTTTATTGTAGGCAATTTATTCAAACTAGGTTTATTTGAGACAATTGACGAGTACTCTCATTGTACTAAATGATGATGAAAAAAAATCTTATAAATAATAAAAATGTTGGAGCTGTGTTCACAACCATCTAAGGAAATAATAATTTATAGTATGAAAACGGTGTAAGTATTAAATAAATCCTTGTGATAAAAAAGAATTGAAATAACATTAGAACATGATTCCTACAATATAAGACTAATAAAACCAATAAAACTGTTTTTCTTTAATGAAAAAGAAACATTAATGTTATACATAATTAAAAATCTTAAGATACTATAAATTTACTTTAGGACAACAAAATGCATAGATCGTAACTACTCTGAGTCAGAAGAATCACTTCTGACAGAATCTTCCAAATTTATAGTATCTAAATTACAGGTATAGTCTGTAAAACGAATAACTTTGAATTTGACAGTTCCCGCGGGCTTTTCTAGTGTTAATTTTATTAGGTTAGCAACTTGCGGCCATGCTGACGCAATGCCGTCTCTAATAGAACAGCCTCGGAGCGAGATTTATGACGTCACGCTAGTTAGATACTACGGATCATATCCATATATTATTTTTCCTTTTCTCGGGTATGAGGTTTTATAATAAATTGAAAGATGGAAACTTTTTTATGCGACGTTTCGCTCCAACATAGTAGGCTTTTTCAGGCACAAGTGGTGTCTCATTTGACTGGAAAGTTTATCAATATCTAATAAAGAATACATTTTTTGAAATACAAATAATTTTGAGTTCTTGTCCTTATGATCAAGCCAAGTATTAACCAGATCGGCGTTGCTTATCAATTTTACTCCATCTGAAAAGTCTTATAAAATAAAGTTCGTCGCAAACAGACGCAGGTGAACTATACAAAAATTAAAAGTGTATGAATATGACAACAAAAATATTCAATAAATACGATATGTTTTTTTAAAATGCCTTTTTAATGAAAATAATTTTTTTCAAATGGAAACCCACTTGTTTTATTTCACTAGTGAAAGGTTTGTGAATTCGTTACTTTTTAACTATACATGTTCCTATACCTAAAATAAATCGTTTTTAAGTTATTTTATTTATTAAGTTTTTCGTCCAAAAATATATCCTATCTAGATCCTATAAGCCAGTATATTCTTTTATATGTATACGGTTTTGGTATTTTATTAAACATAACCTCAAAATTTATTTTAACGCAAAAAATCTGCACAAATGCCTCTATGTTAGGGTGTGTCCATTCTTTTTTCCTCCGTAGATTTCGTACTAAAGCAACGTATTTAGTAGCTGTTCGCAAAATAAACACAAATATATAGGTATTATTGTAAGGAAAACAAAACAGAGTTTACTGCAAAGAGATCAAATCAATTTATATAGAGTTTTTAAGCAAAGCTAACAGATGGTAGCATGTAAGTATCTCTTCCTTCTTGTATTTCATTCTGTCACTCTACAGTAACGTATTTTTCTATAAGGTTTTAGATTTTTAGGTGTTTACTCGATGTTACGCCGAAAGAATGTGAAATAAGCCTATAAATGGTAAAGTTTTGTAAGATTCTTTCGTTTGACATCAGTAGTTTGTTCACATTACCTCTGACATGCGTCTTCTTACCATTTTACTTACTTATTTTTGATAGATTTTAGCAATTATAACCATTTAGCTTACCCCAGTTATTTTTTTACCCATACTGTACAAGGAATTGTAATATAATAGCAATACATATGGGCTCTCTACAATTTTTAACAATTTTTTGTACTTACCCTGTATATTAACTCTTCCTGCATCGTTATAAACTTAACTAACACTAACACAATACAAATTTTGTATGATTTTCTATAAATTAGTGCCAAAAATACCAACGCTTAAGGTTCCTTCCCAATAAAAAACAATGATGTTTTTATTTGCGCTCCCTGTATATACGGAGACGTCCCTATTATTTTTTTAAACTACCCAACTAACAATGTTTCTAAACTGTTTTTATTTTAATCCTTCGCTATGTTACAACACTTTTTGTTTATTGTGATTCTATTTTTTTAATAGTAGTACTTTATTTTATGTTTTTTTATGCGCTATATTACTAAGAAAAAAGCAGAACAATTAATGTGAGACATGAGATGGTGCTTTTTATTTTGTTGTTATTGTATTTAGATATGAATTTGAAGAATTAAAAAGTTATTATTAAAGGTTTTAAAACTTTTCGTGTAGTTTTTTACCCTTTATTTTTTAAAATTGCATTTAAAATAAAGTTAATATTCAATGGTAGGCAACCAGAAATACAATATATTTGAAAATGTGACAACGGAGGGCGCTGTCAAATTTAATAAAAACTTAATTTGAAAATTTTGATTTTCAAACAATAAATCATGAGAATAATGTTTATAAATAAAATATGTGAGAAATACAATATTTACAATTAATTTTAGTCCATTCCCAGTGAAATAATAAGGTAGGTAACTTTTTATTGGACGTTTGCCAAAATTTATGTCAGTTATTTCAAATGAAACTTACATTTGTTTTACTCGCTTTTACCATTATTTTATTCCAAACTAAAGGCTGTTTTCCACCATTAAGAAAATTGAAAAAAGCCAAATCAGAATCAAAAACCGACAATGCCCAAGTTAGGCAAGAAGTAAACGAAAAAGTTGCAGAAGAGACTAACTGCGAAAATTGCACGTGCTTACAATGTAACTATACTTTACCGGCTCCCAAGAAAATTATAAATCCTTATAAAGGTGAATTAATGAGCTTGGTACCTCAAAAATCTTTTGGCAGTTTCTGTGTAAAATGCGCTGCATGTTTGGCAGTAGCAAACCAGGTTTTAAATCATAAATACATAGAAGAACACGAAAATATACTTCTGTATTGTAGATAGAACATCTTATAAGAGATTTGAGCTACGAATGTGAAACAGATCCTTTAAAGAAGAAGGTTCTTTTAGAAAATATAGTTAATCATATCAACACTCTGTGTATTTCAGGTTTTAAAAAGTACAAATATATGTTATAATAGTGTTTTTTTCGAAGACATTACAAAGGTTTTCAATTTTTTTAGTTTCGATTTAAGAGAATACAAATCACACCATATTATAACAGACGACTTTAGATGTACTCATCACGTGGAAAGTAATATGGACGGCAATTGGACTAAAAAGTGATTTTTAAACATGAAAAGTGTGTTTTAATAATGTTTAACACTATTTTAGATTGAGAGAATTATGTAAACTGTATACTTCAAGAGTAAACATAGAAGATATAAGTTTTAACGTCTTGGATTCTGTGGGTAATTTAACAGATACATTTTGCAGGTAATACACCACAAAACATATAACAAAAAAGCAATTATAATGTATTTTCGTGTTCTAGAAGCACAGGAATCTTTCGAGACTGCCTGAAAATTAACTCCCATCAAAATAGTACTATCGACTGTTAGAACAAAACGAAGATAATATCAAAACACTAATTTATTATAAGTACCATCCTAAATCAATTATAATAAAAAAATACAGCACTGATAATAATGTTTGTTGAAGGATGATTTAAAATTGTAAAATATACAAATAATCGATGAAAGACCTTAAACCTTAACTTAAGAATTATTAAAAGAGAACACAGAGAAACCTGATAGTGTACTAAATAAATAGATTTTTTTGTTTAGAGCGTTGTAAGATTTTAATACTCTTCGAAATCGACAAAATTTTTATTTGAAAAGAAGTGTTATATGTTTCCGGATCCAGTTCATAGTTCTTGATGGCTCATGGCTCTGGCTTGTGCCTTGACCCGTTTCTCATATTCCAAACGATTCTGACAGTAAATGGTGTAGGCTTCGGCCTGGGCGGGGTCTTTGACATTAGGCTCGTTCAACAAATCCTGAATACCTTTATTTAACAAGAGAAATTAGGCTATTAGAAAGATATATATTTATTCAGGGCGTTTCAAAAAACGTGTGTTCCTCATGTAAAAATAAGATTTTTGTTTTTTACAAGCCCTGATGCATTAGCTTCGTATACTATAAAGAAAATTGGAGATAAAACTCAATAAAAACCACTTTTGGCAAAAAAAGACAAGTGTTTCTTGATAATTAACATCAGATAAACATATTAGAATAAAAATGCCCTGAAGAAAAGTAATAGAAACAATTTTACAAGACCTGGTGCATCAGCTTTGTATATTATAAAGAAAATTGGAGATAAAACTCAATAAAAACCACTTTTGGCAAAAAAAGACATGTGTTTATTGATAATTAAGAGATGGAACATGCTTTTTGAAACACCCTGTACTTAGTTTGTTACTCACCCAGTAAGATTTGTTTGATTGTAATAGCTGGACGCCAATCCTTTTCTTCATCAAGTAAAGAGAGACACACAGTTCCAGAGGGATATACGTTAGGATGAAAGAGTGGTGGCTCAAATTTGCATTTTGGTGGACTTGTAGGATAATCTATACGATTATTTCAATATAAAACATAATATATATCATTATAAATACTTAAACATACCCTCTTTGAAGAGCATTCTTAGTTTGTAGTGTCCCTCTTCCCAGGGAGTCCCTTTCTTTCCCGGAATACAGCATTCCCAGTTCATCAAGTTCAAAGATCCATCGGCGTTCTTGGAGGGTCGGGCTACGAATCCGAACGGGTGGTCTTTTCTCCACGCTTTTCGTTCCTCGGCTAATCTGGTGGCCGCTATGCCCGACATCCTGAAATCAAGGACGCCACTGTGTTTTGTTGTCAAAAAAATATGAGCGATCAAAATTTGTCAAAAAACGATGCTAAAACTGAGCTCCCGAACCAGAAATCTCGCACTCCCGTGAAGAAATTCTTGGTAAAATCGCCCCCGAAGCCTGACGAGGCGAAAAATGATGCTGGAAATCCGGAAAACGTAAGCGACGACAGTTTTTTCTCGGTGGAAAACGAACCTGCGACTATTTCCAGTTCGGAGAGTACTTTCGAAAGTGCGATACTATGTGAAACCACCGAAAAACACAACGAATCCGAACAGAAATGACTGTTTAAAGTTGTCGAACTTGTGGAGCTTGGATCCGCCATATAATTTTACAAACTTGCCCTGTTTCTAGAAGTTTAGCGCCAAATATCGTATAATTTTCGATTGTGTATGGCCCATTATTAACAAACATGTCGTGCACGAACTAAAATATACAAAAAGTTATATTTTCTCACCTGTTTTTATTGTTTGAAAACTGGAAAATGCAACAGCCCCTTTTCTGATTAAAATTTTCCTGCCTCTTAAAAGTGAGGTTAAAGAAAATGCTATTACAGATTTCTATATTTTATGTCATATTGTTTTCAAGTTTCTATAATACAAATAAGATGGCGCCACATGTACCAAAAATTTGAATAAAGAAAAAATTTATTTTTACTCTAAAAAAAAATCAATAAACATTGGAGAGCATTAAAAAACATTTCTCAAAACAAAAATATATAGTTTATTTACCAAGAAGGTAATGTAAAAAATCTTATAATAAAGTTTCTGTTATAAGTAGTGTATTTCTATTTGTACATCCTCAGAACTTATTCTCACTCAAAAAGAAAATAGAAAAAATATCTTAAAGTATAAGTTTAAAATATGAGTCTCATATATCTATAGCTCGACTTTTTCCACGGTGCCAAACTTTGGATTGTGTTTTCCTTGGTATACCTTGGATTCTATCGTAACACTCTCACACTGTTCTTGCTCTATTAAATAGTCTTTAGCTGTCCAAGCTTGAGATCCGTCTTTAAATAGAAATATAGCTCTGTTATCGTCAACCATATACCTAGAAGTACCCCAAAAATATCAATTTTTTTAAATAAAATTGTTAATTTTTATTAAACCTTTCTGCCTGGATATGGTTGTTCCACAAACTCGTCTGCCAAAGCTTAGTAATCTCTTCGGCTTCATTCCGAGTTACTTTACCAGCTACCTGGACGAAAGTCATGAGAGTTCGACCCTTTTTAGTCTGTTCGAGTAAAGCCTCAGGGTTATCTTGGTCAATTTTGCTCAGATCTATACTGGGTACGGGTCTTAAATGTTCGGGTAACTCGTCAGGCTCAAGTGGCTCTTCGTCTTCCTGAAAATAATCCTGATTTTCAGTACTTTTGTTAAGAATTTCGAAATACCAACCTCCCACTGGTCAAGTAATCTTTCCATGTCGGCGTCTGAGAAGTCCCTGATGTCTTTTTTGGCCCAATCTGGTTTTTCTTTCGGTTTTTTCGATAAGACACAACAAAGAGATGTTAAAAATATAATAATACAAACGGTTTTATTCATTTTAACTTTAAAAATAAGCAGCCTTTAAAATTTAAATACTTTTTTGACAAAATTTCTAACCTCATTTATTTTAAACATGATTTACTGGTTGCATATACGTCTATTTTATTTAAATTATTGAACTTGGTTTTTAATTTATAAAATATACCTGTCTGCTGATAATTATCGAATGAGTAAGAAAGAGCGTCATCAAAACTTTTTATTCTTAATCTAAGATCAAAACCAATAGATTTGTTTTTTATATTTTATATAAAGTATCAAACAAATCATAGATTTCTATATCACAAATAAATAAGTATTCTATTTTATAGTACGCAGGTAATTGTACAAATTTTACATAATTAGACCCTTAAAGTACTTCGATTCGTATAATCTGACTCCGCAGGAGCACTAGGCCTAACTGGATTGTATTTATAACCATTTTTGCCTAAACTCGATACACTGGTAACACTGCCAAGAGTTTTGTTTTCTTCCTGTATATTCCTTCTTCTAATCTCTAAATAAGTGAGCACACTGACGCCCAGGATACTCAGAACACATATTAACGTAATCAACACTATCCTAGATATAAATTCATCGGCAAATATCCACACTAGAATGCCTGATGTTACTATTAGCAGTATTAGGATAATAGTAATAATAACAACGAACAAACTGGGTCTATCTGTAAGAATAAACAAAGAAATCAATATGAAATATGTTTTTTATGAGAAATAAGGTATTTTTTAACTCACCAAAATACGTTTTTGTTTTTGTTCCCATATTTTTCCTGATTTTATTAACGCCTATTTAAATTACTCATTTGCCATGATTTCTGATAACACTTATCATAGGATGCAAACTTAAACAATTTCAAATGTTATCTAGATAACACTACTTGATTATTCTTTCCTTATCTCTATTATTAAATGTTTCACTTCAGTTTTAATCCTAAATAATCCACATTTTTTTTTATAAACATATTTTATAAAAAATAGAAATAATGCTTTAATTCAATTTGTCAACTTGCTGGACGCGACCAGCGATTACTACGCTTGTTATTCTGTTTTCTGTTAAATAATGAGTAGGTTTGCTTACATAAATAAATCAGAAAACAAGACCTTTCACCTTGGAGAGGTAAAAATTCGCATGCAATCGCTCAGAGCAGAATACAACAATTATTACAAAGAAAGTTTGATATTGACCAGGCAATAATCAGCGTACTATAACTAATAACTTCAATAAACGGTATTGTTAAAGGCATTTTAAAGATTTTTAACTAATAATTAGTCATTTTCTATTCCAATTGACCTAATTATTCACCATTTATTAATAACAAAAAACTTTTCTGTATATTTAGTTGCATAACCAGAGAAATTTTTCTTGTAAATAGGCAACTAGTAAAGCGAGAAATATCAAATTTAGGGTTCAGTTTTTTATAAACATTTGTTTTTAAAATGTCTGGAGAACAAGGTATCTAATTTTAATCAGTTTTAATTAACAAAATACTTTTTAATCGTGCCAAATGATGCTAGTGATTCTATTTTCAATCGATTTATTTTTATATCAACTACACCTGCATTTCTTAATCTATTTACATAAGATTCACCTGTTGTTTTTGTTTTAATTGTTTGTGATTCATTTTATCCTAAAAATATCATCTCAGACACTATTAATACCGCTCTCATTATGTCATCGATCTCACAGGTTTCTAGACTTTGTCCACAACTAACATACAAAGAAAATTTCAGGTGATATCGAAGCAATGCATGAAAAGAAAGTTATAGTTCCGCAAGGAACCACAATCCATCAGGAAAAGCCTTTTGTGTACATTTTGAGTTCGAAATATCGTACAGAGTGTTGTGATTTTTGCTTTAAAAAGTAAGGGCAGTAGTTTTTTGTAGTATCTTCTAGCAAAAATTAACTTTTTTCAGGTCAAACGACTTGGCTAAATGCTCCAGCTGTAAATACGTTTATTACTGTGGGAAAATATGCCAGAGACAAGGCTGGGGTATACACAAACAGGAGTGTAAAAACTTGAAGAAAACATTGCCTAGAATCCTGCCAGATGCTGCAAGACTTCTTTATAGACTTTACAAAACTTTAGATAACGGTGGTGATACTTTTCGATCATACTACACAGAAAAAAAGTACAGAGTATGGAGAGATTTAATTTCACGTATGTATTGAGATACTCTTTTTGTTTAAAACTTTGAAACAACTAAAAATTGGTATAGATTATCCAGAAATAAAGAGAGACAAAAAAAGAATGGAACATCTGACATCACTGTACGGAGTTTTATATGAGTTTTGTGATGGGGAGATGTTGCCAAACATTGCTGAACTTACTGGATTTTATGGCAGAGTGAGTAAAATATAAATTTAGATTAAAACATATATATTTAACCAAGATTTTTGATAGATGTGTGTGAATAGTTTCAACATTTGCAACCAGGAGCTTCAAAGTTTAGGCACGGGTATCTATTTAGGTGCCTCTATCATTGATCATTCCTGCCAACCTAATGCAGTGGCCGTATTCGAAGGTACAACAATTTTTATAAGAACCCTAGAGACTTTACCCTGTTTGGATTGGTCAAAAGTACATTATTTTGTATTTTTCATAAATATTTACTTAAAAAAAATGTTTTTTTAGGTTAGAATAAGTTACATAGATGTATTAGCTTCGACTGAGGAGCGCAAAAATGAACTGAAAGAAACTTATTACTTTATGTGTGACTGTCCTAAGTGTTTGGGGCCTGAGAATATGTCTGAAATGTATGGAGCGGCATGCCAAAATAGAAACTGTGATAATTACATAGACGTTAGTGAAAAAATATGCAAAAAATGTGATAATGTTTTGAGCGAAGATTTTGTGGAACATTTTAGAAATATAATGGAATTTTCATCAATGCATTTGGACTCTATGAGAAACACTACATGTATCCTCTTCTAACAGTTATCATTATTTCTAAATTTGTCTTTTTTTAACTAAAAAAAAATATTTTCTTTATGATAGTAGTAGATTTAGATGTTTGCAGAGTGTGCTTGAGGAAACAAGAAGGTGTCTTGTACAAATACAATCTAAAACACATTAAAATGCTAGATCTAGCCTTTGAAAGCTCTATAGATTTGGAAGCTTTCGACATAGCTGCTGAATATGGTTTAAAACTTATCGAATGTTATCAGTAAGAGATATATTTTCTTATAAAAAGGTAAAAACTCATTTAAAATATGTCTTTTAGCATGTATTATCCTACCGTACATCCACTCACTGGTCTGTTACACTTAAAACTCTGTAAATTGCTGCTGTATCAAGATAAAACCAAGGAAGGTATCGTTCATTTAAGGAAAGCAAGTGATATATTAAAAATTACCCATGGAAATAGTAGCATATTATATAAAACTGAAGTATTACCTTTAATTCAACAATGTAGAAGTATGTTAAAAGGAATAAACGGCTTTAAATAATCAACACTTGTATTTTTTGTGTTTTAAACATCTTGAAATCAGAAAGTAAGGTTACGTGTCAAAAATTGAGGTTATGTTTAGTTTTTATGTGGTAATGTATGGATATTTTTAATGAAAATGAGTTTATTTAGAATAAATAGGGCTTTAGTTCCGCGTTTTTTACCCAAATCAAGTCCATTATCTACCTCGTTATCTCCGGAAAATGAAGAATACAATACAACGCCACAATATCCCCCAATTTTGGACTTATCTCGCGAGAAAATGCTTGAAAGAAAAAAAGAAGCTATTTACGATGAAATTAAGTCAGTTAAGACCGTAGAAGAAAAACAAATCAAGTTAAATATGCCAAGGTAGTAATTAATAGTAAAATAAACGAATTCCACCCGTTATTTTGTGTTATTTTAAAGGTATTATGGGTTCAGAAGTTACATGGTGTCCGAGGATGAAATATATTACAATGACTTATCATTTATCCAGCACATAACTAGGACACATATAATAAAAAATAAAGGTCTTCCAGACTATTATAACACCATTGAAACAGATAACATTGCAGAAATTAGAAATGGGATTGAAGAAGCATTGTTGATGGAACTTGATGCATTTCAGTATGGTTGAAATTATAGAAAAAACATTATTTTTAATGTATTCATATCGTTTTATAGGAAATTCCATGATCTCAAAAATGCAGAATTATCAGATGGGGATAAAGAAAATATAATAACCAATAACGTAGTCCAACAAATCAATAAAGTTTTAACCAATAATTTAGTTCAAAAGTATCCTCACTTATTTTCTAACGAAGTAACTGCTGTAATGTTGTATTAATATAGTTAGAAATTAATTAAAAAACTGTTTTAAGGTTGATACTAATCCAAGATTAGAGACTGCCTGGTATGTCGGTGGTATAAACCCTCCAGAGATTGTAAAGAAAAGTCGTAGAGGTTCAGAGCTTGCAAAAAAGTATGAGAACGACCCAGTGGATAGACTTTTGTATTATACTGGGTCACCAAGTTTAACAGTAAGGTTAGTAATGAAAAATCCCTCTTTTTTTGTATTTTATATCTGGTATTGTATGGATTTTAGATCAGAATTGCCACTTCCTCTACTTTTAACACCTTCCGAAGCTGAGAATTCTTCGTTTGACGTTCCCAGTTTTAGTTATGATCCCCGAGTTTTCGGTGTGGGTATTGAGCACAGATATATGGCTAATATACCAGGTTTTTTTTAGTTTTAGATTGTTTTATGATTAATATATTTATAAAATTTACAGGATTTTGGCCAGGAGATTCAAATTCTTTCGGTATAATTTCCTACCTGAAAAAAGGTCACTTATTAAAGAGATCTCAGCGTATTAAAGACGAAGAAGACAACAAAAACGCCTTGGATAGACAAGCTGTATTATCGTCATACGCTTGGCTTCATGCTCAAGCAAATTTTCTGGGATTTACAACATTCAACGATATAACATATCCCCTGGTAACCCAAACCGTAATGACGAACGGCAAAGAATTCAATTTCTTCATTTACCAACTAAACACCATCCTCCTACACTCGAAGCACATCAAGGAAAACCCCAAACGAAACATCTGTTGGTCGAGCGAAAGTTTCAAGCTTTACGAAGAAGTGAAAGATGGCAAAATTGTCGGGTTAAACGACGAAACTTTGAGTATTTTAGTTAAATTGTACTCTAACACGCCCAGCGAGAGATTAGGCGTGAATTTGAGGCCTTATTTAGGACAGAAAGAAAAAATAATTGCGGATTATCAGGTAAAAAGGTGTTATTGCATGTGTTTTTTGGTTGCCTATGATTTGTAGTAAATATAATATGTTTTTATGGTTGCCTACCTTATAAATATGTTTTTTGGGTTGCATAACATTGGAAAAAATTCAAATATTCAATTTTTTTCGATTTTAGGACGACGAGAAAAGAGAATGGCTTGAGCGAGAATACAAATTCCTGGTTTCGAACAGGCCCCGGTTTCAGGAGATGCCTCAGATCTACAGTTACGAGAAAATCTACAAAATCGATCACGAGACGCGTCAAATGGACAAGAGGAGGAGGTTCTTCGAGTTGGGAATCAAGCCTCAAGACAGGAAACTGAACGATCGGTTGGGCAGGTACATTCCTCGAGCTCACAGGCCTGACTTGCCCCGACACAAGGGCAAACTGGCCAAAGAATATTGGCCTTAGGTTGTTAGTCTTTGTTTTTTATATCGAAATAAAAATTATTTATGTTTAAACTGTTTACTAATTTTCCTGAGATGTAACGCCCATATACGGGCTGCAGCAGAATTTGTGACCTTAGACGCCATTCGTTTGATGGCAAACAAAGAGTCATCATCTGGTCCCCAGCGACAATTTTAGCGATTTTTAATAGTTTGTGTGTAGTGAACTTTGTATAAACTTTATTACAATGGTGATTAGTTGTTCAGCTTTCAAGTATAAAAGCAGCAGCGATAAGAAAGAGCCAGGAGTTACGTTTCATAGGGAAATAGACAGTCCGCTCCACCTTTTTAGCGTTTTCTTATTGAATTCGATAACTATTTTTCTGATATGTGTGCTATACGTCGATACTAGTTTTATACCTTTTTTTAACATTTTAATACGTTTTTTTTGTAATTAATTTGGATGATACACCATAGGCGTAGTCAAAACATTTATCAAAAATATAAATATCGCTTATATTCTTTAGTCCTTGAATAAAACGCTTGAAAATTTTGTTGGCCACTGGATGTTTATATTACATTACACAACAATCAAAAATATAACAAAAAAAAACACATTTAAAACTAAAATATATTAAAGCTTTGACTTCAATTTGACTAGATTTTTTGCTTTCTCTCTCAATATTCGTCTCAGAATCTTTCCGGTAGGGTTTCTGAGTATTTCCTCCGTAAAGATCACCCCACCGCGCAGATGTTTCTGATGCGACAACGTATCTTAAACAAAAAAAATACATTTTCCTGAAAACGATTTCCAAAAAAACATTTTTTTATTACTTACCCGCTACGTGTTTTTTTACTTCTTCCTCCGTGATCTGTTGGCCTGGTTTTTTCACTACGTAGGCCAGAGGTAGTTCTCCTGCTTCGTCATCGGGTAAACCAATAACGGCACAATCCTGAATGGCGGGATGTGTTAGCAGTAGGGCCTCTAATTCTGCAGGGGCAACCTACAAATAATTTAATAGAAAATACGAAAAAAAATTGAAAAATCTCGCGAAATAATAAAAGTAGTTCATATGTACCAAAGCTGAGCTGGTATAAAACAAGTTAATTTTTTTATTCAAAACTGCGAACATAAGTTTTTTTCAGTTTCAAACCTAGTAAGAATGGAAGTTTTTGACATGTAAAAAACTATTTTTTTTAAGTTAAGGTTTTTTCCTGGCCCATCCCTGATTTGGACTAATGAAAAAAAAACGTTTTGGTGTAAAAATTAGCCATTTTACCTGGAATGCTTTGTACTTAATCAGTTCCTTAATCCTATCGACTATAAAAAAGTTTCCCTCTTTGTCATAATAAGCTACGTCGCCTGTATGCAACCAGTGATCCTTGTCTATGGTCTCTGCAGTAGCCTCGGGGTTTCCCACGTACCCCTTCATTATCAAAGGCCCCTTAAAACACAACTCTCCCTCTTGGTAAGGGCCCAAAGCCTGCCCTTCCTCATTTATAACCTTTGGAAAATAATATTTCAGGATTTTGTAAATAGTGAAATAAAAAAATGTAGTACCTTTGCCATCATGCCTGGAACTACCTTTCCAACCGAACCTAAGACTGGTTCTGTACCCTCTTCGGTTGTTAGTACCCCTAAAGTTGTTTCGGTCATACCGTACGCTTGCGAAACACTTTTTACTTTGAATCTGTCAAGAATATCCTTAAATATACTTAAAAAAAAACGTAAAAAAACAAATTTTATCTACCTCTGTTTTAGTTCTTTTTCCATTTCTTTCCCTAAAGCTGCTGCACCACATCTAATCTCTTTAATGCAAGACAAATCATATTTATTGGTTAGAGGATGTTTCAACATAATTAATAATACTGGAGGAGGCACAATAACTCTTCTGACCTAAGAAAAAAAAAATAAAAATTGTGTGCACTAACGTGTAAAGAACTTTTTTACAAGTAATAAATAGTTTTTTACAAATAAGAAATATTTTTTGACGCGTAAAAAATAGTTTTTACGCATGAAAAATAGTTTTATATGCGTAAAATAAAAAAAATAATAAATAATTTGATTCACTCTCACAAAATTGTTGAAAAAAAAACATTAAAAAAGATTTAACATTTAATAGTTTTTTAAGTAAAACAAATAGTTTTTTACACGTAAATAATAGTTTTTTTTCGTAAAAAAAGAATTTTTACGTGTAACAAATAGTTTTATATGCGTAAAATAAAAAATAATAAATAAATAATTAGATTCACTCTCACAAAATTGTTGAAAAAATAATAAATAAAAAAAAATTAACGCATAAAAAATAGTTTTTATATCTAACAAATAGTGTTTACCTGTAACAAATAGTTTTTAACACGTAAAAATAGTTTTTTTGCTTGAAAAAAATAGTTTTTAACGTGCAAGAATTTTTTTTAAGCATAAGAAATAGTTTTTTGGCGCGTGAAGAAAAGTTTTTACTGGTAACAAATAGTTTTATAAGCGTAAAATAAAAATTAATAAGTAATTTGATTCACTCTCACAAAATTGTTGAAATGTTGAAAAAGTAATAAATTAAAAAAAAATTAACGCGTAAAAAAATAGTTTTACGTATAACAAATAGTTCTTTATATGTAACAAATAGTTTTTAACACGTAAAAATAGTTTTTTTGCGTGAAAAAAATAGTTTTTAACGTGCAAGAAATTTTTTTAAGCATAAAAAATAGTTTTTATGCGCGTGAAGAAAAGTTTTTTACTGGTAACAAATAGTTTTATATGCGTAAAATAAAAATTAATAAGTAATTTGATTTACTCTCACAAAATTGTTGAAATGTTGAAAAAGTAATAAATTAAAAAAAATTAACACGCAAAAAATAGCTTTTACGTATAACAAATAGTTTTTTATGTGTAACAAATAGTTTTTAACACGTAAAAAATAGTTTTATATGCGTAAAATAAAAAATAAATAACTTGATGCACTCTAACAAGATTGTTGAAAAAGTAATAAATTAAAAAAAAATTAACGCGTAAAAAAATAGTTTTTATGTCAAACAAATAATTTTTAACTGTAACAAATAGTTTTTAACACTTAAAAATAGTTTTTTTGCGCGAAAAAAAATAGTTTTTAACGATTAACAAATATTTTTGTGAAAGAATTTGATTCACTCTCACAAAATTGTTGGAAAATAATAAATTAAAAAAAATTACCCGTAAAAAAATAGTTTTTGTGGGTAAGAAATAGTTTTTTACATACAACAAATAGTTTTTTACACGTAAAAAATGGTTTTTTGCGTGTAAAAATAGCTTTTTATGTGCAACAAATATTTTTTTACGTGTAAAAAATAGTTTTTTACATGTAATAAATATTTTTATACGCGTAAAGTAAAAAATTAATAAATAATTTGATATACTTTCATAAAATTTGTATTAAAAAAAAACGATGTTTGATAAACACTTGAACTGATCGTTACAACTAGCTCGTGTGTCACGACCGTCTCGATAGCTCGCGTGTCACGGCCTTGCATTTTTATTCCCAGCGCGTTTAAAGAAGTTTCACAAAAATCTAGCCCAAAAAAACTTAGAAAAAATTACCTTGTACTTTACTATAGTATCTAAAAAGACTTTCAGCTTGAATTTCCCAATAACAGCCATCTTCTTGCCTCTTATAATATTCAAAAACATCAACATGAAGCCGAAAGAGTGAAAAAATGGCGTTAAACCAATGATAGCGTCGCTAGGATCGTCATTTTCGACAAGATGTGCCATAATCATTCTAAAAAATGTGATTTTAAGTAATGATTTTAAGCTAGCGGCATGGAATACATACCTACCGACATCTATGTATGTTGTCATGTTATCGTGGGTGCACATGACACCTTTTGGAAGCCCCGTCGTGCCTGAAGAACACAAAATAGTAGCGACAGTCTCTTTTGTATCAATAGGCACGGCTTTGAACGTTTCATCAATATCATTTACACCTAAAAACAGTTTTTGAGTCAAATACAAAAGTTATAAAAAAATACAGTGCTTTACCTGCAACAATATCATTAAAACTGACCACTGAAGGATGTGAATGCCTTCTTCCACCGAACAAAACCAATTTTTGTATGTATTCATGTTCGGGCAAAATAGAAATGACTTTATCTATGGTTTTGTCTGAGCAAAAAACTATTTTCGGTTTTGAGAGTCCTAAACAATGTTTCAATTCAGCTGTAATAATATAATAATGCTTTTAGAAGCTGTGTTAAGTTAAGGAAGATGTTATTTTAGGTTACCAACGGTATAATCGGGGTTAAGGGGTGCCAAAGTGACTCCTAATAAGAACGCTCCGATAGGAACTATACCAAATTCAAGTCTATTTTCACACGTTATCGAGACACTGTCTCCAATAGATATATTTAGGGACTGGAACCATTTTGCTAAATGTATGCCTCGGGCTAGTAACTGCCTCGCTCTTAGTTCTTCATCAGAAACTGCGTCAACCTTAAAAAAAACATAAATTAATTGAAAATCTTTACATATTTTTGTTCTATTCAGAAACAGGTTTGATTAAATAAACGTAATTTTAAGCTAACTGGATTTTTTGATGAAAAACTTGTTTTTTGTTAATAAATTAAAGTTTTAAAAAAGTCACCTTGAAATGGTGATTACTAAATTTTAATAAAATAAAATCAATGAAGAATTTTAAAAAAATATTTTCAATGTTTGGTAAAAAATGTTTTAAAGGTCAAGTACAATCGGATTCAAAGTACTCAAAAAATATCAAAATAATTGTAAGGCATTGTTTTTTTAAAGAATCGAAGATATGTATTCAGTAAGATAAATTAAAAAGATATGAAATAAGAATTTGACTATTGGGGACATTTTTATTGATTTATTATATTAAAAAACAAACTAAAAACATATAATTTACCAATATAACATTATCCTCGTGTATTCTCATCACCATCAACAACAGTTCTCCAAGTGATACATCCAAAACCCTTTCAACAGGGCGCCCTTGTAAAATATTTTTATTATCACTCATTGTTAAAGGAGAAGAACTCAACAGCGTCGTACACTTCCTAATTAATTCAACAACTAAATGAATAGTAAAAAAGCCGGATTCTCCAACTTAACGAAATCAAACAAATTACAATCAAAGGTCGAACACGTAATCTGCGTGAATTTAAATTTTTGACTAGATCTGTAATTGCGAATACAAGTTACCATTGTTTTAAGCACATGCAGATTATTTTACAATCGATTGCGATTGTAAAATATTAATTATGAAGATAAAGAATCATATCTTATCGATTTTGTTTAAATAGATTTCAAAATCTCCCGATTTTTCTTGAAACCTTTCTTGAACCAATCAAAACAAACTATAATAGGTTATGTTTATATTGTTATATGGAAGTAGCTAATTGACAGCAACTAAAAAAAAAATTAGTGTTTTAAAACAACTTTTATTTCATGAAATAAACCTTTTCATTGCATAACTATTTTATAAATTTAAGGTAATTAAGCTTTGAATATATACTATATTTTTAGATTTGTGTAATTTAAATTTATTAAATTTAAAAAACTATAAAGTGGATCGGTACTACAAAGTTCCGCTATCCGTAATATAACCACATACCCACAGCACATACCACATCCTGCAAAATTTTACCACAGATTAATATTTTAAATGTTTTGACGTTTGACTTAACGATAACCATATTTTTTCAATACCAAAATATTATATATTTTTGTTGTTTGTTGTTTAAAAGATATTAAAAATTTAAAGATGATTTTCTTATAAAATTCGTTAAAGATTCAATATGTAGATAAGATACCTTTATGAAATGTTTATAACAACCTATAATAGGTATGGAAAATTATTTAATTTAAAATGGAAGAATTAAATTCCAATAATTTGCCACACGAAACTAGAGAGTGTGAAGAAAATATTCAGAATAATCCAATAGCGAAAGATAATAGAAAGGGCAAAACGATTACTGGGTTTGCAAGGGAAATTATTATAAAGGTTAGCATAGAATTGAATAATATTTTTGTCCCTTTATAATGGTTATTTCAAAAAGGTAGCAGAAATATGCGACGAGGAAGCGAAAAATAATTATTGCAAATACCCGCTAACGGCTCCAACGAAGAGGGCCTCAATATATACAGGCGTATCTCAAAGAACCATTCAAAGAATAAGAAATGAGATTAACTCAGATGAGTCTGTGGTAATATCTATTTTATATCAAACTCAATATCAAATTAAAGTTATTTTTTAAGGCGTATAAAGGTAGTTCTGATGAAGAATCATTGTACCATACTAAAAAAAGAACAGGCAAAAAGGGACAAGTCATTCCTCATAGCGCCAGAAATATTATAGCCAAAGTTATTGAGGCTTGCGATAAAGAGTTTAAGGATGGCAAATTTTTTGTGCCTCTACTATCCAGGAGTAAAAGAACAGCTTTGTATACAGGTAAAATAAAAGGATACTTAATAGAATGTGATATATTCATTTAAAATTCAGGTGTGTCTCAAAGAACTGTTCAAAGAATAAGACAAGAAGATGAAAAAAGAAACAAGATAGACCAAAACGAGATACTAGCCACACCAGGAAAAAAACGAAAACGGACAACATTCAATGACAAAATCGATGATTTCGATTTTCAGTCAATAAGAAGGCTTATTGATTATCAAATTTTGATAGAGAGGGTTAATTTAACTTGTACGGGACTTCACACAGCGCTGAAAGAGAAAATAAAATTTCCCTATAGCGAGGATACTTTGTATAGGTTATATAAAATGCATTTATACATCAAAATAATGTAAATATTATAAGTCTGTTATTTAGGTTGTTACATTTGAAGGGTTTTGAGTGGTATAAAGGCTTGAAAGGTAAGAAAATGTTAATAGAAAAGCCGGAAATTGTCAAGGAACGTTTGAACTACTTGCAACAGATCAAAAATCATGAAAAATCTGGAAAATTCATTATATATCTGGACGATAAGTGGATTGGTGTGGATCAGATAGACGAATACATAAGTTGTAATAAAATTTTTGGTTGTGTCGGTGGAATTTGTTGTTCTGGTAGACTGGTAATATTAAATGAATTTTCTGCTATGGGATTTGTTAGCAAGGCAAAAAAGTTATATAAACCTAATACAGGTATGGTTATATTGTGGAAAATCAAATTTGTAAGTAAACAGTATTTTTTAGATAATTCATTTTCAACACCTAATGTTGATAGAGTGGAACAATGGTTGAAAGAAAAATTCTTTCCAAGCATTCCTTCAAATAGTTTAATCATAATGAGTTCAGACTCAAACCATGAGGTTTGTAAAGTTATTTTAACAAATTAAAACATTCAAAAAATCTCTTTTAGAGACTCAAAGACATCCCAAACGAATACAGCACCAAACCTAACCTCATAGAGTACCTTAAAAAGAAAAACTTACCATATAACTCACACCAGACTTGTTCAGAGTTACTCAGAATCATTAAAAATCATTTGGAAACATCACCAGCCAGACAGAGACACATAGATGTAATTATAGAGCGTTATGGTCATGCTGTATTGAGATTACCACTGTACATGTCGGAATTTAGCCCTATTGAGCTCGCTTGGGCTGATATAAAGCGTTTTGTGAGAGATAAACAGTCTTCTTCAGGTTATTCAGGGTTAAAATCGGTGCAAGAAGTCACTCTGCAAGCTGTTGAGTCGTTTCAAGCTGAAACATTGCAAGGATATGTCGATCACGTGATACAAATAGAGGATTATTTTTGTGAGCGACGGAATTTGATGCTGGAACATTATAATGTTAGTGATATGACCCCAAAAGTGAATTATGAGACTGAGATAAAAACTGTAAACCTTCCTGTTAGTTCTGGTGATAATTATGATATTGGTTTGAATAAAATATCTCATTCCAGTATGCCAATAAATGAAATAAGTTGTTTGAGTGATAGTAGAAACGTTGTGAATAGTACAGACGGTAGTTTTTTATTGGTACAAAGTGTGGAAGCTGATGTTAACCAATCTGGGCCATCATATTTATGCCTTTAAGTTTTTTTTTTATTTTTATAACATTTGTTACTGTTTAATAAAGCGTTTTATTAAAACAAATTATTTTTTTTCTTAAAACAAAACAAGGAATATTAAAAAGCATAGTGCCAGTGTATTTAAATTCTTGCACTCTTTTGTCAGTTATAGTAATTAGGCAACTAGTAAAACACATTTAGCCGGTATACAGGGTGTTCCTTGATTACACTCTAATATTTAAGGGGGTGATTCATGGACTTATTCTAAGAGAAAAACTTCATATGAAAGTATGTCCTAAACGTCTTAATTTCTGAGATACAGGGTGGTAAAATTTTCTAAAAAAAACTTTTTCATAATAATTCTGATTTTATTATATAGAGATATCTTTATGAAACTTAATACATGACTTCTATGCATCAAAATACATTTTTTAGTGTACAAAGATTTTTATTTATATCAACCAGTGCCGTCAATACGGGTTTTATATTGAATATTTTTGGAGAAAAAAGTGGTACACTCTCAGCTGGAACGATATTAAGAAATAAAACAATTTTTTTGTACATCAAAATAAGCATATTGATGCGTGGAAGACGTTTATCAAATATAACACCAGAGATATTTTGAAAAAAAATTAGAAAATTTTACCACCCTGTATCTGAAAAGTTAAGATGTTTAAGACAATTATATTCATATGACGTTTTTTTCTTAGAATAGGTACAAGAATCGCCTCCTTAAACATTAGTATGCCATTAAGGAACACCCTGTATGTTACAGTAGTTCTGTCATACCGTTAAAAAAATATTTGGTAGTTCATTTGTACAGTAATGTCGGACAGTAGTTCATTCGTAATTCATATTTTAAACATGAGTAGTTCATTTGTACCGCCATGATTTAAATAGTTTTCTATGCAATACTCTATGTGTACCGATATGCTTTACTATACAGTAGTTCATTTGTACCGTCTTGTTTAACCACAGAATAGTTCATTTGTACCGTCAAGATTTAAATAGTTTTCTATGCAGTACTCTATGTGTACCGACATGCTTTCCTTTACAGTAGTTCATTTGTACCGTCTTATTTAACCACAGAATAGTTTATTTGTACCGTCAAGATTTAAATAGTTTTCTACGCAGTAATCTATGTGTACCGACATGCTTTACTATACAGTAGTTCATTTGTACCGTCTTGTTTAACCACAGAGTAGTTTTATATATGAAGTTTTTTTTTATTATAGAATGTCCAAGAATCACCTCCTTAAACATTAGTATGTCATTAAGGAACACCCTGTATGTTACAGTAGTTCTGTCATACCGTTAAAAAAATATTTAGTAGTTCATTTGTACAGTAATGTCAGACAGTAGTTTATTCGTAATCCATACTTTAAACATGAGTAGTTCATTTGTACCGCCATGATTTAAATAGTTTTCTATGCAGTACTACTCTGTGTACCGACATGCTTTACTATACAGCAGTTCATATGTACCGTCTTGTTTAACCACAGAATAGTTCATTTGTACCGTCAAGATTTAAATAATTCTCTTCTATGCAGTACTCTATGTGTAACGACATGCTTTACTATGCAGTAGTTCATTTGTACCGTCTTGTTTAACCACAGAATAGTTCATTTGTACCGTCAAAATTTAAATAGCTTTGTATGCAGTACTCTATGTGTACCGACATGCCTTACTATACAGTAGTTCATTTGTACCGTCTTGTTTAACCACAGAATAGTTCATTTGTACCGTCAAGATTTAAAAAGTTTTCTATGCAGTAATCTATGTGTACCGACATGCTTTACTATACAGTAGTTCATTTGTACCGTTTTGTTTAACCACAGAGTAGTTCTATATATGAAGTTTTTTTCTTTTTAAAGAATATGTCCAGTCCAAGAATCACCTCCTTAAATAGGCATGTCATTAAGGAACACCCTGTATTTTATCCTCTGTTTAAAAAAAATCCTGAGAAGCTGCAGTTATTCTTTAAGTTTAGATAATATAATAACTGTGTAAATTTATTGTGTAGAAAATTAAAAAAAAACGGTATCTATTTTGATGGTTTTGGCGAAAATCTGAACGCTTTAAAGAAAAATTTACATTAAAAGTGAGAGTTTATATATACTACGTATGAGACAGAAATAACAAAATATATTGATAAATATTTACTATTTTATCTAAAACTTTCGATAAAAAGTTCTTGTAGCTTATAATTCCTTGCACGCATTTTGGAAATTGCATCGTCATGTACAGATCAAAGAAAAAAAGCTGATGCTATTGACATTTTGAAGTGAAAGTTCGGTAAAATGAATTTAAATAAAATAAACTTTTTTACAAAATAATACCTACCGCTTATAAACACTTATAATTATTTTTAATGATACACTCTAATAATCATTAAGGATGTTTTTAACCTCCCAGAATGTTTTTAACATTTAAGATGCGTTTTTTCGATGCAAAGTTTATGGGATAGGCTCTACGACAAAAGCAAATTCAAATATTGTTGTTAGATGACATTAAAATGCGCGTTCTTGCAAAAGGAAAGTCAATCAAGCACGGGGCATTATTAATTTTGGCGTTACTTGTTCTTTGGTAATACGACCATAACCGTAGAGCCCTATACAGGATGGTTCGAACTGTATTCCGGAAACTTTGGCAGTAAAGATAAGTAAAAAAGTTCGTATAAATGTATGCCCAAAAATGCTTAGTTTCGGAGATACAGGGTGTAGAAGTTTCATTTTTATTTCGATTTTTTCCAAATAATTTGCGAAGTAACGTCAATATTTGGATGAAAATTGGTGTCTAGGAGTTTTTTGACATGAGAAATTTGATTTTGATGTCAATATGACCTCTACCATAACTAACATGACATACAGGCCAGAGGCATCGATTTGTGACGTCACCGCACTAGTCGGGCTTTTGTATTGTGCCATATGGTACTGCATATAGTTTTTGCATAAATAATAGTATTTATTGATAGTTTTGCCAGATATAAATATGAAAAATATTATACAGAAAGGTATTAAAAAATAACATTAACTTTTTATCGCGTTAAAGTAATTGAATAGCATTAAAATTTAGATCTAAAGCACGAATATTAATATGAAAAAACTACAGCATAAGATGAACAAAATAAAATCTAGATAATAAAAAGCGTGTCCTAAAATTGCGTTAGCGAGTATTTAGCAACTAGTAATAATATATCTGTGATAAAAGTTTCCAAATATTAAAAATTTGAAAACTATAATACGTTTATCGACAAGTTAAGAAAATGTATTGTATATGATAACGGCAGAATACATTTTAAAGTTTAATTAAAAATAATTGTAAAAATTTGCCTAACATATTTAAAAATGTGGATATCAGATAGAATTAACTATTAACATTAAGTAATTTGTAGTTCGATGTTCATCAAGTAACCATCTCCATAAATCGTAAATAAAAAGATAAAGATATCATTTTTTTTTTATATAAAATACTGAAATAAAGTACAAATTCATTTAATTTCTTTAAAATATATTGCCATTTCGTAATAATAATATATATTTCATAATAATAATAATACTTTTCAATATTTATTTCATCCTGAATTTCCAAATCTTGTTTTCTTTCATCGGGACGTTTTCTCTTTATGGGAACATGCACAGAGGGTCCATAAGAGGGTTGATTTGGAAAAACTGTAGGCACAGCATGTTCTGTAGGTTTTGGACGTGATCTCTAGTTACAGTTAATATTGTTGGGAAAGAGAATGTAGACAGATCCTGAGGACTTATTATAATTGCTGCTACAAGGCACAGGCACAGAACAATATCGCGGAATTTTTTATTTCACAAAGTAAAAATAAAGAAACGAAAACTGTTTTACATAAAATACACGTCACTTACGTTGGTTTAACACTATACACTAACACTAACGCTATTAATTATGTTTTTATATAAATTCCCCAACTTTTTCCTAGTCCGGACACACAGCCGGCATCGCCGGTGTTACTATAATTTTTACCGAAAGTATGTTTTTTTTCGCGGGTACGATGTTATGAATCGGATCTAGATAGTTCACTATTCTCTCAAAATTAATTAGTATAATTTTATTAGCATAGAAACGCGTAAAAAACACAGATTTGGTGCGAAACTAATGAAAACAATTGGTTTGTTTACGACTACTAATTCTGGACCACTTCGGTAGAACTGTCAAAACAGTCAGGCCTTGAATATGACATTAGCCACGCCTCTACTTGTAGAAGGCGCCACCTACATATTTTTTAACTGCATGGTTTGAAGAGTAATAACAAAGGTAATAATTTTTCGTGCTGATCTGTATAAAACTACTGAGCAAAAAATATACATTTACGACGTTTTTTATGCAAAAGAGGTCTCTTGGTACAAATTGCTACGAGTTGTAATAATTGTTCTCGAGATATTTGGAATCTAAATTATCAATACCTGTCATCATTGACATAAATTAAGCATGTTTTGACTAAATAGTTATTAGACTGAAATCATAAATTTGAAATGTTTTTCTGTCAAAAAGTACCCAAATTTATTATTTCATTTAAATAACTATCTACTCAACATGTTTATTTTAGACATGTATCTGACTATTACCATTTTAAATATCTCGAGAACGGTTGCTCGTAGAGATTTTTACCAAGAGACATTTTTTACGTAAAAAATTACGGAAATGTATATTTCTTCACTCAGTAATTTTATACAGGTACGGACGAAAAGTTATTACACTTTAAAACAGTTAAAACACATGTAGGTGGCGCCTCCTACAAATAGGAGTCATATTGACATCGAAATCAAATTTCTCATGTCAAAAAACTCCCAGACACCAATTTTGATCCAAATATTGACGTTACTTCAGAAATTATTTGGAAAAAATCGAAATAAAAACGAAACTTCCACACCCTGTATCACGGAAACTAAGCATTTTAGAACTTCAATTTATACAAACTTTTTTACTTATTTTTATCTGCAGAATATAGTGCCGAAGTTTCCGGAATACAGTTCGGACCACCCTGTATAAGAAATTAAAATATCTTTACTAGTAGTGGGAACTATCGAATGAATACTATCGAAACATTCGATAGTTGCAATTCATTCGAATAATTCGATAGTTAGTAAGAAAACATTCGTTGAAATCTATTCGAATAACAATTATCGAATAGATCCGTCATCTGCCTTGAAATATTGTATTCTAGTAATTCGGCAGCAAAACCATTCATTTATAAAATTCATTTATTCGTCAGGATCGATTATAATAAAATATTAAGTGAATTTTAGTTGTCGCCCGGCGACGTAGGTTTTCTTTCGAGAAACCCGACAGCGGTCGGTGGCAATGCTATGAAAGAAGCCGGCATCTTTGATTTTTGCTGAGTCAGATATAGATAAGGACACATTATTTTTTTTATTGAGGTGCTAGTATTTACACAGAAAATACATTATGAAGGGCGCTGTTGCCATATTTTGGTATTAGTTGATATTAGCAAAGAATATTATTGTTTGGCTTTAGTTAGTTAGGGTTAGTATCTCTATATATTCTGCATTTTTTATTAATATTCTGTTGTTACACTGCAATAATACTTGTTATTTTGGATGTAGGAAAATGATTTTAATGTTTTTAAGCAAAGACTGGTTTAATAAATAATAATAACAGTAATAATTTGTTATACCTATTAACAACAAAATTTAAAATCATTTAATATAAATATTTTTTTTAAGTAGTAGCAAAATATAAACAACAAATTAGATGTCAAAATTATTTATATTAGATCCTATTTAAAAATAATATAGTCTCTAAATTTTTTGTATGTGGCAACGTTGGTTTATTAAAAATAATAATTACAGAACTAATTTGTTATATTAACAACAAATTTTAAAATCATGAAATATAAACATTTATTAATTTTCTAAGCATGCAGTGTAATGGAAGGAAAATATAAATAAAAAATTAGAAATCAAAATTATTTATATTAGGTGCTTGATATTACTATTTAAAAATTATATTTACTTTTACTGGCATTTACTTTAAAAAATAAATGAAATATTTCTTCGCAAAAAACTACATGTAAGAGAATTAGCATAAACAAAATACAAACATCGTTAACTTTTTTTTTAAATTGGCAGGTGTAAAACTTTCATTTTAATTTTCTCACCCCATAGTTCGATAATTTGTTTGATACATTGAGTTCGATAACCCCATTTACTTAACCACATTACTTAAATATGATTATTAAGTTCAACTAATTCATATTATTGAAACATCTAAAATACAAATATATATTTTTAAAATTAATTGTAAGTTCATCTCATCTCTCTTAAAAATTGCTACTTCTCAAAATTTCCCATTAAAAAATAGACCATATACCATATAAAATTAAATAATTGAAAGATCGGACTACGGAAAACCACACAAATTATCGAAAAAATTTTGACCACCTGCACATGCACACAATCGTCAATAAATAAAATTAAAAAATAACTACTATTTTAGTATTTTAACTATTTTAATAAACGCAAAAATAGCACAGTATTTATACGGCGAAGTTATAAAAATTTGGAAGAACCAATAATGCACTGACGCATACAAAAATCAAACGAATACTAAATTTCATTTATCAAAAGCATTCGATAGTCGTGGCTCAACGATAACCATTTAGTCGCACGGCGAGGTTGTCACATATGCTTTAGTATACAAATGAATGAATGATTTTATTCGAATAAAACCATTCGATAGTTGAAATCATTCACTCATTAACCATTCGATAGTCTAATTCATTCGATAGTTCCCATCGCTAATCTTTACAACTCTTCACACGAGGAAAAACTTTTTTATTATTGACATTTTCAGAAAAATGCATTCTTAATAAAAAAAATTGCTTGTTCTAAAATGGTTAATATCGTTTATAGTTTTACAAATTGAAAATTAAGAAAAACATATAAAAATATAGTTGATTTTTTATTAATTACATAGTAAGTAAAAGAATATGAAGTTTTTATTCTATATTTACTTATTTCTCTGAAATCTCTGATAAAATTTTACCGCTCTATGTTTACTTATGTCGATGGGATCTCCCCCTGGAGTTGTTGTGCCATTGGAACCCCGTAGTGGTACTTTTAGAATTCTGGGTGGGTACTTACGTACGCCAATGCAAAAATTTGTTTTGATCACCGGGGTGTGGCAAGTATAAAGCAGGTCCCGCCGTGATCTGCGGTTTCACTTGGTCGTTGTTCGTCGCGTAATGCCAGTTTTTGTGTGAAGGTGGCTTAAGAACATTTGATCATGATCAGGACGACAGTATGCCTACTGGCGGTAAGTATTTTTAAATTTTTTATTATACTTTTCCAGTACGTTTGAAAAAAAGATCAAAGGAATTATAAAACTAGTATCTATATACTGATATACAGGGTGGTCCGAACTGTATTCCGGAAATTTCGGCAGCATATTCTGCAGATAAAAGATAAAAATAAATAAAAAAGTTCGCATACGAACTTTTATTTCTTGCCAGGACAGCCCGGCCAGCTTCTTTGTTGACAAAATGGCCGCGGTATCATGATTTAAGCAATGTGAGTGACAAAGAAAGCCAATGCCTGGCAGATGTTGCTTTCTTTGTCGTTGGTCCTGGCACGTTTAAATTTGACTGTTGCCTGTTTTCCCATACAAGTGACACCCCCGTGATTTATATTTTTTACACAGTAGTTTTATACAGGTACTGACGAAAATTGATTACTCTTTAAACCAGTTAAAAAATATGTAGGTGGCGCCCTCTACAAGTAGGGGTCATATTGACATCAAAATCAAATTTCTCATGTCAAAGAACTCCCAGAAACCACTTTTCATCCAAATATTGACGATACCTCATAAATTATTTGGAAAAATCGAAATAAAAATGAAATTTCTACACCCTGTATCTCCGAAACTAAGCATTTTAGGACATACATTTATAGGCACTTTTTAGTTATTTTTATCTGCAGAATATGCTGTCGAAGTTTCCGGAATACAATTCGGACCACCCTGTATAGGGTGTGCACTAAAAAATAAACGAATAATATAACCATATATACTAGTAAAAAAATAAAAAAATATCTGCTTTCATAATTTTGTCCAGGCTTATAATTTTTTAAAATTATCTTATTAATTTACTCTTTTAAAAATCCTAATTTCTTAATATACACTTCCTCCACAATCATAGAATTTTTACTAGGTTTGGGATGGCACTCCCCCTGTATAATACTAAATAAATGAAAAAGTTTTCTACATAAAGGGTGTATTTTTAAATTACTGCCGGGGTGAGTCTTGAATAAGTGCATTTATTTTTAGGGATAGTATATTTTGCTCCCCAAAGTAAGCCTATGAGGTTTTTTTCGCAAAAATATTTCGAAAATTTTAAATTTTTTGAAAAAAAATTTGGAACTTTTTTTAATTTTTAGTAAAGAATCATATCTTGATAATATGGCAACATAGGTAGTAGATTAAATTTACAAGAAAGAAGACCCACAAAAGATCCAGTGGTTCTCAAAATTTAAGCATGGAGTTATTTCAAAAACGGTGAAGAGAAAATATGTTTCTTTTATCGATATCTACCAGCCCTGAAAATATTTGCTATTAAGACTCACCCTGTATATTAAAGGGGTGGTAGATGTGAACAAAAGATACATATTTTGTACGTACCTACTTGCCATTTTTTAAGATAAATTGAAAATCAAATACCGGGAGAGTTAACAATAATGATTACATTTTGAGAACCGCCGACTTTTGGATTATTCGACGGCCTGTGTTGCCACCATGGGCAATAAAATAAAATATACGATTTTTTGTTAGAGTTTAGTTGAAAATAATTGTAAAATGTATTAGTGTGTGTTAAAAAATCAGTATACAGTGTGTTTTTATAGACATATTAGTTTTTGATAGAATTAAAATCATTTTTTTTTAATTTAAAAGTGTAGAAACGATGTTGCAACGTAGCTAACAAGAACTTAGATACACGATACACCGTCAAGAAATTTCGTGCTATTAAACCTGCGACAGTAAAAAGTTCCTTCTTTTCCTAGATTTACCGGAAAATTTCAAGAAAGATGTAAAATGTTCATAAAGTTATTTTAGAAAAAATACTTTTTTTATTTAAAATACGCAATTTGCATGTATTTAAGCGGCACCCTGTATACTCATACAATAATAAATGATTATTATTTAGCCATCAACGCAAAGCCAACATTTTTTGGTGTTAAAGGACGAAGTTCTGTAAAAATGTTCCTTAACTAACATAATTGATGAACACTAAGATCAGTCTTGGGAAATTCATCCTCTTAGGGAGTAAAATGGTGAAAAACTTTTGGATAACAAACAGGAACTTTTGGATAACATTTAGGAACATAAAATATTGTTTTATGTCATTCTTGAATACTTACCTAGTTTAAAATAATAATATGTTTCTTTTATCTACATTTTTTTCTGTTTTTTTTAAATTAATTATAATATCTGCAACAGCGAATGGTCTACCACACGCCTTTCCCTGATATTATGCAAATTTGTTTGTTTACCTTTATTTTACGTTTGTAATTAGATATAAGAAAGCAAAGAAATAGTAAAACATGATTGGATTGGAGCAATAACAAATTAAAAGTAGAACAAATTGTTAACGTGATGACGAAAAAAGTTGACATTTTATTTATCAATCTTTCCATATAGATATATACGATATTTCGAATAATATCGTTCTTATATACCGTGTCTGATAAATAACGTCTCGTTTCGTCTAATTTTAGTCACTTGATTAAGCTTGACCGGCACAGTGTTGTCTATTTTTATATATTTTAATCGAAATATCTTAGAAAACAAAAATAAATTAATTATCTATACTAATATATAAAATCCTTAAGTGACTGACATACTGATTAATCACGATCCTGCTCAAACCACTCAGCGTAAGAAGCTCAATTTTGGCATACAGGTTGATTCTAGGGTGTAGAGGTGCGATAAGAAGGGATTTTTCGAAATTCCAGTTCCAAGAGGGTGAAACCACCCCTCAAATATTACAATATTTTTTATTTAAAAAACGGTCAAGTTTCTGAAAAAACGCTTAAACACGTATATTTTATTTTGTTTTTTACATATTTTAAGATTTTTTAAAAATGTATACAGGGTGTTTCGAAAAATCTGGTCATTGATTAATCACGATCCTGCTTAAAGCGCTTGACGTAAAAAGCTGATTTTTGGAAAACAGATTGACTTTAGGGTGTAGAGGTTCGATAAGAAGGGATTTTTCGAAACTCGAATTCTAAGGGGGTGAAACTATCCGTCAAATATTAAAATATTTTTTTATTGAAAAACCGGTGAGTTTTTCGGAAAAACTCTTAAACATGTATATTTTATGTTGTTCTTTTACATATTTTAAGATTTTTTATAAATTTATACAGGGTGTTTCATAAAATATGACCATTGAGTAATCACGATTCTGCTTAAACTGCTTGACGTTTAAAGCTTGTTTCATATAGACGCGAATCGCGAATTGCGATTTTGCGAAACTGCTCTCATTGGTCCAATTTTACTGATCATGGCGGCGCTGTCAGAAATTTTAAGATTTTGGCGATTCGCAAGATTTAAAATTTGGGGGGCGGGAAAGTTAAAGTGTTTTCAACTTTTGCGAATATTCGCGCGATTTTAAGGTTCGCGTTTGCGCAGAATGGTGTTGTGATCCGGTTATCGATTATTTTGACGACGCTGTCGCAAAGTAACTTGAAAGCATTTCTCCAGTTGAAATGGGTTCTCGTCAAATACATAGTCAAATACGTTTAAAATAATTTAAACGTATTTGGTTCTCGTGCATATGTTTTTGATATATATGGTGACAATTTTTCAACTTCAACCAAGTTATCAAACTCCTATACAGACAATCTGTGAAAATTCCTAAATTTTAGTATTGAAAATACTTCTGGCCGCGTTTATATGGGACCCATCTTTGAAAAAACGACATGCTCGATGCCACACGAGTTCAATAACCTGCCTAATCAACTTGTCAACACGTAAGTCGATAGTTTAGCCGGCGTTGATCATCGAAGGACGTTTGAGGGCCGAAATGAGGTCTTATTAATTTATCAGTGTGTGTGTGTGTGTGTGTGTGTGGGCCATCTATTTTATGGATATGGATGTTTGTCTGGGCCGGCGGATAAAGAAAGCCCATGTTATTATAAAAAAGAATATGCGTCAAGGCATATGAATTGTTAGGTACAGTTTGGCTATTTTAATCTAACTCTTTCCGTATGAGAAGCAAGGGGCAAATTATACGTGAAAGCGTGGAATCACATAAATAATAAATTTAGACTAATGCAATATTTTTTTCTTGGCGCGTAGGATAGGTAAATGCATTAAAGGGAATAATTAATTAAATCATTAAGTTCCAAAACATAATAACTCGGATCTCATCGGATCTGCTGATACATTTTGCTAAAATTTAGGCTATTAGGACCTATATTTTTTATGATTATTATTTTTTTAATTAACAACTTAGGCCAAAGAAAAAGCTTGCATGGTTTCCATCGCCAACAGGCGTAAAAACACATGAATCCAAGGCGCAATCTAAAATGTAAAATAAAGATCGTAAACACGAATAAATATGTATAAAACAAATTAAGTTATCTCAGGTTAGGATTTTTTTTGGTAACTTTCAGTGGAGCAAAAATGAAATGTCAAATGTCCCTAAAAATTCGCGACTGTATGAAATAGGTCCAAATTTTGCGAATATTTTTTGGCGAATCGCTTTTCGCAATTCGCGATTCGCGTCTATATGAAACAAGCTTAAAGCTGATTTTTGGTAAACGGACTGACTGTGGGGTGTAGAGGTTCGATAAGGAGGGGTTTCTCTAATCTTAAATTCCAAGAGGGTGAAAACGCCCCTCAAATATTACAATATTTGTTATTTAAAAAACGGTTAGTCTTTCGGGAAAACGCTTGGACAAGCATAATTTATTTGTTTTTTTTTACATATTTTGAAATTTTTTAAAAAATCATACAGGGTGTTCCAAAAAGTTGGGTAATTTCTTAACCACGATTCTGCTTAAACTGCTTGACCTAAAAAGCTTATTTTTGGCGAACGGATTTTTCGAAAGTCAAATTCCAACGAGATGAAACTACCCCTCAAATATTACCAAGTTATATAATAATATCGCCATATTGTTTTTTCTCATGCTGACATAAATGTGAGAAAATTTTATCCAGTTTGTATGTTAAAGGAAATTCTTGCTTTGCTTTATCATCACCATTGCAAATGATTAATTCGACGCGAACGTAGTCGCGGGTACACGCTAGTAAATATA